ATAGGCGCCCAAAATATCAATAAATGTTAAGTTTGCGCACCCTGACTCTGTTGTGATTTAGGAGGAACGGTGGGGGGGGCTGGTTTTCGCAGGTAGCAGCGCAGTTAAGACAAACGCGTTTCCCAGGGAAATCCTAGAACCAGGGACCGTCCGTGAAGATTTAAATTACCTTGATTCAGCCATCATGGTTTGCATGCCGCCTGTCGCCTGTCTGCGTCTTGTATCTGTTCCTTAAAATTCACTGCACCATATGCCACTTGCAATAAAATTTTATGATCAGAAAATCATGAGTGTTTTTTTTGTGCTTACTGGCCTTTAGACTTCGAAAGCCGCTAATTTGTTAAGCCATGCCAAATCGAAGATAACATATGAGATCAGTGCGTGCCCTCAACCTGAACAGCCACCACACAACAGCCCCGAGCGTGGGGCTCTCCGCGAGAGTACGAAGGAGACAGAGCGACAAACCACTCCTCTCTGTTCCTTCGGCCGCCGGCACGGCGTCACTGGGAATGAATGGGTCACGACTATCGCCCTTTAAATGGGTGACGCTACTTCGTTGCCCAATTTCGGGTGACGGAATATTCATCACCCGTGGTAACCGGCGTTAGGTCGCCGTGAGGTCCCCGATGGCGTCCTTCCAGGGCCACCACGATGACCGCCACGTGGCGTTGAGGCCGCCGTGAGACCCGGCGGCCTCAACGCCACATAGTGGTCATCGGAGACCTCACGGCGTCGCTGACGGCGGTACCCAAATTTGCGCGACCTAATTCCGGTTACCAAATTTCGCGTGATGGACATTGCGTCACCCAAAATTGGGCAACGGAGGTCCATAGCCCATTTAAAAGGTGATGGTGGTGACCCATACACTGCAAGAAAAAGTGTAGATAGTACAACAAAAGTACAACAGAAACTGTTCAATAAAAGTACAACAGGGATTGTAGAAAGTACAAAGAGAATTGTACAAACCACAAGGAGCCCTGGACTGCACAGCACTCCTCCATAGCCCATTTAAAAGGTGATGGTGGTGACCCATACACTGCAAGAAAAAGTGTAGATAGTACAACAAAAGTACAACAGAAACTGTTCAATAAAAGTACAACAGGGATTGTAGAAAGTACAAAGAGAATTGTACAAACCACAAGGAGCCCTGGACTGCACAGCACTCCTCATGCCGTTTCCATTGTACTTTGTACAACAATTGTTGTACTTGAAATGTACACTAAATTCCTAATAAAAAAAATTTACCAGAAATTTGTGTACTTTTATTGTGGTCATTTCCTGCAGTGATTCATTCTCAGTGGTGGGCTTCCTTGCGGTACTTTGGCGGGTCATGGCGGCCCGCCTGCGTGCGCCTGCCTGGCCGGGACCTCTTCAAGCTGCGCCGCTGCGCCTGCGGCCGATCCGGTGCGAAGACGACTGGACGCGATGCGGAGGCTCCACACTGACTTGCCTGCCACGCCCAGCGACTGGCTGGACTGGCCAGACTCGGACGGAGGCGAGGGGAGCCTCGCGCACGCAACACTTTTAAAAATGGATGCGTCGTGGCACGCGACCCTTCGCACGCCAGCCGCCACCTCACACATGGCGCGCGCTTCGCAGTGCACTGCGCATCGTCTGGGAAGGCGGCACTCCACGCTGCGTTCCCCGTGGGGCTGCCTCGCCCACAGCCGGTCGGACTGCCTGCGCTCTCGAATGCCGGAACTCGCAGGCGAGTGTTGTCACTCTGCGCTTTGAATGTTGCAAGAAGAAATTTACCAAAATTACGAAGGCAATGGCGCGAGCATAATACGAAAGTGCGACTTCTTCGTGTTACGAAGGCCCTACTTTGCATCTGACAACGGAAGCTCAAACGAGGGGTGAATCACTAGTGTACTCATGTGTAGGTACAAATTTGCCTGTACTCAGTGTTCCCACAAGTTTGAAAGGGGCGAAATTCACTAGTTTTTGGCCCGTCCCGTTCTTTTTTTTGTAAAAAAAAATGACGGAGGGACGGGCATATAGTATGATCCCTGCTGTGCGTCCGTCCGTCCGTTCGTCCGTCCGAGGACTTCCCGTGGTCCGATCTTGACCAAATTTGGTATGCAGCCTCCTTGGGTGACCCTAAGAACCGCCCGGTGGCAGCAAATCCGATCCGAGCCCCGGGGTCGCTGCTGCAGGTGCATCATGGTCTACATGGGGTCGAGGAGGATCTCGGCAACGGATACAGCTAGCAGGGCATGTAGGGGTATTTTTGGAATCGGGGCGACGAGAAAAAACCAATGGTGCCAGTTTCGAGAGAATCGGAGAAGTTCGGACCCGGGTTCAAATCCCAGCGGGGTATTTTTTAAACATTCTTTTTATTCGAGTTTTTGCATTGTTTCTGACGTTTTTGAGGGTGCTGATGACGAAAACGACATTTATTTTAACCCCAGACTCAGGTTTAATTCCCGTCAGGGTCAAACATAGGCGAAATTCGTACGTATCTTACTGTACGGGACGGGCCAAAGTTGCCGATGTAAATCGCTACTTTTCCTGTTATTTTCGACCGATTTGGCGTTGAGTGCCGTTTAAAACGATAAATAAAGCCTTACAATGTTTACAAATGTGAAATTCATGAGTAGAGCAAGGTGTACTCACCCGTACTCATGTACTCACCAGAACGCAGACTGATTCGCCCCTCGATCTCAAAACAGATTGAGAGTGTTAGAGAACATTGCTTCGTATTATGCTTTCGCCGAATTCACACGACAAAAGCAATACCGAGATTCCTAGGGAGCCGTGTTAGAATCCCATGTTGCACTGCCTTTTCAGTGCACTGGATCATAGCTCAAATTTGATTCGAGGACATTAAGAGTGTGTCGAAGGATTGCCCGATAGTTAGTTCTGTACACACGACTCCGGAATCCTACGATTCCGATCAAATTCCCAAAGAAAAGTGAGGATTTCAGGAGAATTTTCTTGGCGTTTGAGTGTTTTGTAATCATTACAGGATAACGATGATTTATCATTGAAACGTTCATGATATTCGTTAAAATTTGAGCGAATTACGAATGATTTTTGAATTGAGAGAGTGTAGTACAGACGATTCCCGGAGTGGATAACCCCTCCCCCTCGGAAGTGGATATGGACAAGATAGGCTGCTCTTAGAGAGGTAGGAACCAAACCAAAAATACACGGGACGGGCCAAAACGGAAGTTTTAGTTGACCTATCAGTGGCTGTTTCCATGTCAAACGAACCTTGTCAATGTTCCATTGACATTCTTTTTATGGAAGCTTCATGTGAATAGGGATTTTTAAAAAAAATGTCCTCCGCACTAAATGCAGTGTAAACGGATTTAATTTAGTTTTATAATCCTTTCCCCGAGTTTAAGACAAGGTAGGTTTACGCCAGACAGCGTCTTGTCGTAACAGGCTTCGCGATGTCTCGCGGCCTGTTTCTCCAATCCGCGCCTGGCGTACCTACCTTGGCCTGCGGCGCTGGCCTGCCTTTGGCAGGCATTGGCTTGTCCGTCGGCGGTTACTTGTTGCATGCTGGGGGGCTCCGCCCCCCAGACCCCCCTCAAATATAGATAGAGTTGCTTCATCTACAGAGAACACGATCTTGACCCTCGTAACTTATTTACTTGTCGGGGCTGGGGGGCTCCGCCCCCCAGACCCCCCTTTCTTCACGACAGAAGTGATCTGCCTGCAGAAAACTCGATTTTTCGCCGTTTTTTAAGTGTTTTTCGGCTATAAAAACTGAACCAGTTGAGCTAGGACAGTGAAATTTCGCGTGTGGCGAGCCAAGAACATACCTAATAAGCCTGCAAAATCTCAGCCAGATCGGCCGAGCCGTTCAGGAGGAGTAGTGTACACACACACACACACAGACAGACAGACGGACAGACAGACAGACAGACAAAACTTTTCAACCGCACTGGAGTAACAGGCTTCGCTATCGCTCAGCCAACAAAAATGGGCGTTTCAACTTGATCCAGGAAGCGGAAGAAGGGAATAACTTGACTTATCCCTAAATTGAGTTTTTATTTTATTATTGTGCCTTAGAATGGTTTCCATCATTACACCAAATTATTTGACTGAATTCCAACCAGTTTAGGAGAAAATCCACATGGAAAAAGGGTATAACTCGACTTAACCCCTTTTACGGTCTAAATTTCATTGGAAAATGGAGATAACTCAACGGAAGTCCACATGAGTCCGTTTGACAAATTGGCAAAAGGATATAACTCAACTTGTATTTTTATGAATCTAGTGTAAAAAGAATCAACTCAACTTAACCCCCCCTAAATTTTAAATTTCAATTCGGAAAAAAGAGCTAAGTCCAAAAAATACACCAGGGTAACATACACTTTATGCAGACTATTGTTCCACTTGACTTGTCTCCAAATTCCTCTTTGTTTAGGAAATATAAGGTGAGCTGACTCTGTTTTCCATTTCAACGGAAAGTGATAAGTCGCAGAAATCCTCTACGGAGTGACCTTACACTTTTGGTTTTTTTCCAAAATTTTGCCAATGCTTTTTAAAATTATTAACATCTGCTACATTCATTTGTTTTGTTTTAGTTTACCCTGCTAACAGTTTTTGGTTTCTCCTGGAAAATGGCCAAAATTGAGTTATCCCCTTCTTCCGCTTCCTGGATCACTTCTAAGATGGTTCTCTGGAGTCAATACTCCCCAAAAATGTCCAAAACCAGAAATTCGCTAGTCCGAGTGCGAGGAGGCAACCACTCGCGAAATCCTGTGTACACTTGATTGGGCGAAATCTTGCGCGAAATCGGTAGAAATCTGGTGAAATCTCGCAAAATCCCATGAAAATCTGGTGAAATATCGCGAAATCCCACCAAAATCTCGCGAAATCTGGCATAATTTTGATGCGAAATTCTGCGAAATCTCGTGAAATCCCAACCATTAAAGAGTCCTGTGTACAAAAAAATTTCAAGTGGTTGCCCCCTCCTCCGAGTGTGCCTCGTCAAAGATCCTTGCCAGCTTTTGAAGTCTTCGTCTAAGAAGCACCTTGTTTCTTTCAGACATTTTTATCCACGGCCTAGATCGAACGCGACCTTGTCTTAAAAATTCGTGGACGTTTGCTTGCTTTCGTTCCTGACATGCGAACAGGATCAAACCCTTCTCCATATTTAACACGGGACAAACTGGTGGTGGGTGTTGCGGAGCAGCCAAGCGTCCATTCTGGTGAAAGCAACGGCATAAAAAATACGCCCTTCAGGCCATCGTGTCTTCTACGCCCTTCAAGGGGGTGAGATGGCAATGTCCTCAGAAGGGAATCTCAATTTTGCGCAGAAGTTTTTAACTAATTAACGTGTCAGGTTTTCAGGACATAAACAGATTTATGCCGTTCAAGGGGCTTAAATCGGTTACGCCAGGGGGTGGCAACGGCCTAGGCGGCGCGTGAAACGATGCTCCCCGCTCGGGCCGGCGAGCGACGAGCGGCCGACCACTGTGCACGGTGTCACTAAAATCAACATAACCTCATCAAAACTTCATCAAATTGAAAAACCCAGGTCATTTTCAGCATCTACACAAAATTTCCTATTTGTATGTAGTCATGGTTTACAGTTTTAGACCCGTTCAAAATGTTAAATCTCAATTTATAATCAAATTTACCGGCAATTTTAGCCAATTCAATATTTTGCAACGACGAAAAAAGTTATTTCCGTTCGTTTTAGGTCCATACATGCAGCGAGCCGATTGTTGGCCTCCACTTCCCCTATTGCGTAAGCATACTGGAATGCCGATACGACATCTGTGACGGTCACGGTGGCCCATAATGTAATTTGCAAAATTAGACCAAAAGCAGTTAGACTGACTTTGGGAATATTTTTCGTAGCTCTTTCGCACTTGTTTATCGTTCTGCAATAGCCTATACCACGCAGAATTTAATTCTCTATCGCCCTGTGGTAACGGTTTTTCAAACGGACGTTTCAGTTTTCACATTTCGAATTAGTTTTAAAACACTGCAAACTAACCCTAAAAGTACACGTATTTGGTAAAGCTTCACTTGAAGAAACTAGGTGTCGTATCGCAAATCTGACTTCACCACGTTGTAGAGCGGACAATTCTACATGCCCCTGTCAAGTTTCATCACAATCGGTTGATTAGTTTGATGACAGCATTCAATTTTCGGCAACTATGACGACATAACCGCCGCAGCGATTTCTCATACTTGGGCTGCGTGACCCGACTCGTCGCCAAGCCCAAGCGTCGTCTGCCTTTTGAAATATCTTTGAAGCATTCAAACCAATCAACCGATTGTGATGAAACTTGACGGGGGCATGTAGAATTGTCCGCTCTACAACGTGGTGAAGTCAGATTTGCGATACGACACCTAGTTTCTTCAAGTGAAGCTTTACCAAATACGTGTACTTTTAGGGTTAGTTTGCAGTGTTTTAAAACTAATTCGAAATGTGAAAACTGAAACGTCCGTTTGAAAAACCGTTACCACAGGGCGATAGAGAATTAAATTCTGCGTGGTATAGGCTATTGCAGAACGATAAACAAGTGCGAAAGAGCTACGAAAAATATTCTCAAAGTCAGTCTAACTGCTTTTGGTCTAATTTTGCAAATTACATTATGGGCCACCGTGACCGTCACAGATGTCGTATCGGCATTCCAGTATGCTTACGCAATAGGGGAAGTGGAGGCCAACAATCGGCTCGCTGCATGTATGGACCTAAAACGAACGGAAATAACTTTTTTCGACGTTGCAAATTATTGAATTGGCTAAAATTGCCGGTAAATTTGATTATAAATTGAGATTTAACATTTTGAACGGGTCTAAAACTGTAAACCATGACTACATACAAATAGGAAATTTTGTGTAGATGCTGAAAATGACCTGGGTTTTTCAATTTGATGAAGTTTTGATGAGGTTATGTTGATTTTAGTGACACCGTGCACAGTGGTCGGCCGCTCGTCGCTCGCCGGCCCGAGCGGGGAGCATCGTTTCACGCGCCGCCTAGGCCGTTGCCACCCCCTGGTTACGCTCTGTTACGGCTTAGATTTGAGTCTTGCCAGTGAAGCGTCACCTGGGACATTCCACGTGAATCCAACGACGGTTTGGAATCGAGGTCCTCGGATTTCGACCTAAGTGGTATCAATCGATTCAGTATCGGCCCCTGGCTCACCATGTAAATTTTTTTGAAAAAATTTTGAACGGTTTAGTTTTTGCACCAGTTTTATGGTTTTATAAGTTTAAAAATAGTAAAAACTAAATTTTTTTTTCAAATTTTTTTGTAGGTGTTCTTGAGGGTTTAGGAATGTGGAAAAAGCATTAAAAGTTGTTTGAGAACCATCTGGGAGGTTTTAAGGGTAGTGAAAACGGTGAATTTTGGTGAAAATTTGACAAATTTCACCGTTCTGAAAATACGTCATCATGGATTTTGGCCAAACTTTTTTTTTTCTTTTCCTCTACTATTGGTGCATACTCCCTTAAGAGGGTTTGGATGGCCCGCCACAATTTTTTCTTCTGGAGTCTATAACATGTCTAATTGCGGCATATTTTTCCCTTTAATATACTGTTCTTTTGTCGTTTCTCTCATGCGCTTACTTGGTCGACCATGCAGATCACTCAAAGTAAGGATATCAGGGCCCAACACAACTCCTGATAGCTAGCTCTTCTATATGCAGACTTTTATGGACCCATGCAATCATTATCATAGATACTTCAAACAATTTTTTTTTTATTTTGAGCACATTTTCACTCATAGATCTCGACTAACCTGAGACATGGAGTTTTGAAGTGGACAAAAGTTTAGCACTTGACAACTCACTATTTAAGGGTGGCAAGATTCAGAAATTCTTAATGGAAAGAGTAATCAAGTTGAAACATGTGCTGTACTACATAAAGTCCACTTCGAAACTCCATGTCTCAGGTTAGTCGAGATCTATGAGTGAAAATGTGCTCAAAATAAAATAAATTTGTGTAAAGTAACTGTAATAATGGTTGCATGGGTCCCTAAAAGTCTGCATATAGAAGAGCTAGCTATCAGGAGTTGTGTTGGGCCCTGATATCCTTACTTTGAGTGATCTGCATGGTCGACCAAGTAAGCGTATGAGAGAAACTACAAAAAAAACAGTCAATTAAAGGGAAAAATATGCCGCAATTAGACATGTTATAGGCTCCAGAAGAAAAAATTGTGGCGGGCCATCCAAATCCTCTTAAGGGAGTATGCACCAATAGTAGAGGAAAAGAAAAAAACAGTTTAGCCAAAATCCATGATGACGTATTTTCAGAACGGTGAAATTTGTCAAATTTTCACCTAAATTCACCATTTTCACTACCCTTAAAACCTCCCAGATGGTTCTCAAACAATTTTTAATGCTTTTCCCACATTCCTAAACCCTCAAGAACACCTACAAAAAATTTTGAAAAATTTTTTTTGTTTTTTCTATTTTTAAACTTATAAAACCATAAAACTGGTGCAAAAACTAAACCGTTCAAAATTTTTTCAAAAAAAATTACATGGTGAGTCAGGGGCCGATACCGAATCGATTGATACCACTTAGGTCGAAATCCGAGGACCTCGATTCCAAACCGTCGTTGGATTCACGTGGAATGTCCCACCTGCTCTCGAGTACCACGAATGAAACAGAAGAAAAAGAACAAAAGTAAGCCCTCAAAACAACATCTGAGCATGCGCAGACGTTCCCCCACCATCTGGTGCGCATGCGCAGAAGCTGTTTTAAGGGCTTTTGTTCTTTATCTTCCGTTTCAAGGTTCATTGGAGTACCCCATGGGAGCGACCCTCATTGCCGGGGTTACTTCGGACCGCTGGCTTCGAATGCGACTGAAGTAACTCCAATTTTTATTACATGAGTCAATAAAAACCGTCTTACGGTGTGCGGCTCTGGGCACTTTGAGGGGTTAACTGCATAAGGCACTGACAACTTTCCCCCATTGTTAATCTAAGCAGAATTTGTTTCTTCCAAGTACCAACCGATACAAACACTCATTGTAAATATTACATGAATTGCACAACATCCTATCTGTCAATTACGGGTATAACCTCGCTATTTCAGCTATTACAATCAATTACATCAAACAAATTAGCGGTTACTTACGTAGAGCAGAGCTAGTTGAGCAATTACTGACTAATGCAGCAAATACAAGCTGTGTTTTTCACTGCACTTACGTTCTCCATCATGGTCTTGGATTTGTCGTATTTTAGATCAAAGAACTCCTTCATTAGGCGATGTTTGGTTTGGTCGTTGTTTTCTAAGTACAGGCCTTTCATCTTATCATACATGGCCTTTGAGGTCTTCTCAGTTAGGATATGTTGTTTGACTGAAATGTCTATGCTATCCAATATCATCTTCCTTGCCATAGCGTCGTATATTTTCCATTCTTTGATCTCATCTTCTGTCGCGCCACGAGCTGCGGTACCTTCCACGTCCTCCATCAGAGATTTTGCTTCGAATGCTGTGGTGACTTCTAGATCCCACAGGGGATAGTTGCTACTATCCTTAAGTTTTGGCATATTGCCGTAATTTTCTTTGGAGTCCATGATAAGATGACTTTTCTTCTTGTCACTCAGATTCGGCCAGCTGGGCCCATAACCTGTTAATCTTCACCTGTTCTGACAGGAGCTTGTAGGACAGAGCAAAGAGATGTTCACTGCACACTGGTTAGCCGTAGAATGAATACTCATTTATTTATCCATAGTACGTTCCTCATAATAACATAACTTGAACTCTTATTAAAGAAGGCGGTGCTGCCATAGCAGAATCAGTCTAACTTCTAACAAGCTGATATAGCACAGTATTAGAATTAGAGCTATAAAACAAAAACTATAGCTGTTACAATGTCCTTTTCTGACATATTAAAACAATTTCTGTGCGACTACCAGCACCTTCCACACACCAACTACACATCCATTACACCCATTGCGGGGCAATTATAAGTATTATACAATAACACAGCATTTACACAGATAATACCGAGGGGTTACCCACTCCGGGAATCGTGTGTACTCTCAGTCCGGGAATCGTTCGTAATTTGCACAAAATTTTATCGAAAATCTTAAAAGTTTCAATGGAGAGGGATATGCAATAGACACAAGACACTCAAAAGGTAAGAAAAATCTTCAAAAACCTCTCCTTTTATGCAAGATTTGTTCAGGAATCGCGGGAATCCGGAATCGTGTGTACGCCCAAGTACCGAGTGGGTAACCCCTCGGATAATACCTATATCAGGAACATTTCCAGGGCCATTACACATCCTCCCACTGACTGATACCAGAGTAACTACCCCCAGTACCATACTGAGAATAAATGAGTCAATATCACCACTAGACTTTTGCGTGAGCTATCCTTTATCGTCCAAGTTTCGGTGAGAATAATTTTATCACCCAAATTGGGGTGCTAAAGTATACCTCGCTCAAAATTGGGTATTGATCAAGACTTTTTCATTCTCAGTGCAACGAGTTGACCTGGTCGGTCGCCTTGCAAGAACTGCTCTTTTTGCTGATTGATTGACCAGCACCCGAGTCGCACGCTGCCTCGCAACCGCCCGCCTTGCCGAAGGAATGGAGCGGCCCGCTCAACCAGCACTTGCGGTGGTGGCGGTGGCACGTCTGGGGGAGCTCCAGCCCCGCCCACGTCGTGTTCGCTTGGATCCGAGGGAGCAAGGCCAGTGTCACTTCACCCGCAAGCTCCTCAATCCACTGGAGGAACACACTGCAAATCCAAGCGGAGGATAAGCATTAACTCACTAGATTACCTGAGGCAAACTCGACGCTCCCTACAAGAATAATCCTAACTGTCAGTGCTGATCCAAGACAATCCTAACTGCTCGGAGGTTTCAGAGGAGGCTAAAACTGCTCATTAGCTCTCTTCAGACCAAAGCAGCGAATCATGTTATCACTGAATACAGCTTCCACGTTTGTATGCAAGGTTTATACTTTTTAAGGGGGGACCCTGGTGAAACTTTCAAGTAGGCTTCAAAATAATCCCAGGAAGTTGAAACTTTGCTTAATTATTAGGTTCATTATAGTGAGTTCCCAAAACAAAATTCAATCCAAAATGTTGAACGGTCTCTGAGAAAAGTGGCTTTTTAGTGTTTTTTGGAGCGTTGGGGAAAAATCTTCCTGCGTCTTTCATTGGGACGGAAAGTCTTGAATAATTTTTTGGGTTATCCTAAAGATGTATAGAAGAGATTTTAGTGACGGAATTTTCAAAATCAACTTCTGTCCTGAGATATGAGTTTTCAAATTTTAACATAAAAAAAAGTGATTTTTTTCCCTTTTTTCATACTTTTAGGTGTGTTTTAAAAGGAGGGCTGATATCAAGATTCCGTCACTAAAATTTGTCGACAAGTCATCAATGAATAGAGTCCATGCAAGACGACTCATGTAGGTGTCAACCAGGAACGCAGGAAGTCTTTCTACGACAAAATTTTTTGTCGACTGAGCAAAGCTGTGAAGTTGAGCGTAGAAGCCAACGACAACTGATCTCAATGTTATTTCCTTCCAAATGATAAAGAAACTACCCACTTAGCTTAAAGGTGTTCAACCTGTTGAATCTGAAACCTTCTATGCACATTTTTATTTATGAACTTACAAAATACAATTTATTGGAATTTTGGCGATTTTTTCACCAGGGTCCCCCCTTAAGTCCATTGCCAAGAAATTTAAAGCAGAATGTTAGCGCCATGGAATTTTATAAGGAATAGCTTCCTACGCCGTATTACAATCTGCGCTGACAGTTAGGATTGTCTTGGATCAGCACTGACAGTTAGGATTATTCTATTAGGAGGCGTCGAACTGTACGCTTGTAAGCTTGCGACAAAAGGTCCCACGTTTGTGAGCTGTCATAATACTAGTTCGTACTACGTAGAAAAGCCCAGAAGGGACAAGTGCGATGACATTTTCATCAAAGTTCCTTTACTTACTGCAATGGGCGTGACTATGTCATCAAATGTTTTTTGACACCCTTGTAAGAAAATTCAGCATTGAAATTTTCAAGTGATACTCCACTAATCGGAAAGCGTACATAGTATGCTGTACCTGGAGCATGCCTCCAAGCGCACTCTAGCTATCAGCGCAAGCACATTGCATGGCAAGTACACGGTAAAAACGATTCCTGGTTTTCCCAGGAACTCCCTGAAAATCGCCCATGCCTTCACCATTGTCTTCCTGGGAAAACCAGGTTCCGTTTTTACCGTGTACATGGCATGTAGGCACTAATAAGTGCATGCTTGGCAGGCATGCGCACAGTGTACAATGTACGCTTCTCGCTTAGTAGAGCAGCCTAAGTTTTGACAGTGCAGGTGGGGCTGCTTCTCAACGTGGTGGTCATGCTGCTGGCCGCGCTGGACGTGATCCTTGTAGGCTCCATCCTCAAGGGGCAGATCCCCGCCCGTTTCGGCATGGGCGTTTTCTCCTGCTTGTGGTCCCAGCTCATTTTTCTGCAACGGTCACCCATTCTGCTGGACTGCGTGCAGGGTCTCATCACACTGACGTCGCACCTGGAAAAATCAACTACTGCTCTCATGGCACAGGTATGCCCACCAGAGTCCCCTCAGTACCCAACAGGTTTTTGAGACTTGCAGAAGCAATTTTATACGCTTTATGCACAGAGAATGAAAAATTCGTGATCACGACAATAAATCTGGGTGAGGTATTCCTAATAATAGTGACCAAATTTAGGTGATAAAGTATACCTCTCTGAAAATTTGGTATTGATCAATACTTTTTCATTCTCAGTGTGCAGAAACGGTTGCTCCGCAGAAACGAACACAACAGTGTTACAAACGAACAAGTTCTTCGTTGCTTCCAAAGAAACTTCGCTGTAAATTTCATTGAAAATAACTTCTACTACGAGCTGCGTTCCTGCACTCCCTACTTCCTACTGAGCTCTTCCTTCGTAATAGGAGCCAAAACTTCAGTATGAAAGCTTTAAATCTTGCGAAGTATTTTGAGCATATTTAAGATACAAACAATGTCATTTTTAAGACTAAGTTCGTGAACTTCGAAGTATTTTCTTTGTAAACTTACGTGTCTGGTCTGACAAGTTTCTTTCTTTGTAAGACCTCAAATTGTGATGTTTTTAGAGTGCACTCACAGTCTCTCCTCTCTCCTAGGAACGCATGCGGAAGACTGCAATGCACAATGTGTGGCTGATCCGCTTCTACATCTTCTACACTGTGGGCACCCAGTGCATCATCATGGTGACGTTCGTGGCTGTTGAGCCAGAGTGGCACAAGGCCATCGCCAGCGCCGCGTCGTATTTGGCCCACGGGGAAGTCGATGAGGTGCGGAATACTTCAAGCCGAAAGTTTTTACTACTGAAATTCGAGGCGGTAAACACTTCAAGAACTGTGCAAATCGAAAAGCGTACATTGTATGCTCCTGGAGCACGCCTGCAAGCACGCTCTAGCTAGCGCCTGACTGCCAAGCATGCACTTCCTAGTGCATAAATGCGATGTACACCGTGTGGACGCTATCTGAAGCGTACAGTATGCTTCAGTTAGCGTGTACATGGCTTGTATGCACTAGAAAGTGGTTGCTTGGCAGGCATGCGCTCGCTAGAGCGTTCTTCAGGCATGCCTCATGGGCAGAGCGTGCGTATGAACGCTGTTCGATTTGAAGAGAAATCGTACAGACCACTCGGTATTTGGTGATGTAACGGGGACTTTACACGTGTCTTGCGGCGTTACAATGCCAAAATTTCGCACGATTACCCCTTAAATGGTATTACGTTCACGTGCATTACGTTTAATACACGGGTTTTGTGTACAGGGAATTGCGCGATTGCACTGCAAATCCAAGTGTAGGACAGGTCGACACTTTAAAGCGTCGACCAGTTTGTCCTACGCTTGCAAGTGTCGACCAGTTGTGTCCGACGCTTTGTAGTGTCGACCACTCTGTCCGACGCCTGCATGTGTAGGACACTGTTTTTCCTACGGCAAATTACACTGAGTTTCCTATTGTGACCCCACACTTCAGCCGTCGGACATTCTGTGGTCGACACTTGCAGGCGTTGGACACTGTGTGGTCGACACTTGCAGGCGTTGGACACTGTGTGGTCGACACTTCAAAGCGTCGGACACAACTGGTCGACACTTGCAAGCGTAGGACAAACTGGTCTACGCTTTAAAGTGTCGACCTGTCCTACACTTGGATTTGCAGTGTGTTTACCCCCTCGCAGCAATCGCTAGGTTTCAAGCAATCGAATGAGGAGCTTTTCGACCATTTTCCATAGAGCGTGACTGATTTGATCCTGATGGTGTGGCTTTCGCGTCCGCAGCGACACCTGGCGTCGTGGCTGCGGTGGGGAGGCCTGGTGCTGCAGTCGTGTGCCTTGCTGTGCTCCCTCGTGTCCTACTACACCATCATGTCGTTGGTGTTCCTGCTCCACGCCGCGGCCGCTGACGTCCACGACGTGATCGGCCGCATGGTTGAGGTGCTCCTTCAACACAAACACAGCGTCTGTTTCTCTCGTCGGAAACCTTCCAAACTATATTTGGCCTTCAAAGAAAAGTATCAAAGTACTTTGAGCATGCATTGGCTTACAAAGGAAATACTTCGTCATCTACGAACTACTATTTCGTTAAACAAACTAAATAGATAGTAGCCTACATATGCTCGAAAAACTTCGTAAGGTTTCAAGCGTGCTGCAGTTAGAAACAATCACGAAAGATCTGGATAGTACACGCTTAAAATCTTACGAAGTATTTTGATCATACATAGGATAAACTAATTTACTTTGTTAGTTCGCATAACGAGGTATTTTCATTGTAAACGTATGTATGCTCAAAATACTTTGCTCAACAAGCTGATTTTGTTTGTAAGGCTGAAAATCGTTTGAAAGGGTTTCAGAGAGAAAACTGTTTAGACTCTTCACTGCAATTACTAGTCTTACGGAGAACACTGTTAGTCCTGCAGAAAAGATTGATAAGATGCTACGGAAAATGTTGGGTTTTGGGTACGGAGAATCATAGGGAAAAAATTACCGTCAGTGCGTGTATTATGGACCACCTGTGGGTAATGTGGACAGCTCCTGAAATTCTTCTAAATGATCGGTTCGAGCCAAGTAACTTACAAGTTAAGATGCTAGCGGCCGAAACGGTTTCCCACGCCACAGGTAGGCGGCATCACCAATCATTGGCTGAGCGATAGCGAAGCCTGTTACTCCAGTGGGGTTGAAAAGTTTTGTCTGTCTGTCTGTCTGTCTGTCTGTGTGTCCGCACTACTCCTCCTGAACGGCTCGGCCGATCTCGGTGAGATTTTGCACACTTCTTGGGTATGTCCTTGGCTCGGCACACGCGAAATTTCACTATCCTAGCTCAACTGGTTCAGTTTTTATAGGCGAAAAACACCTAAAAACGGCGAAAAATAGAGATTTCTGCAGATAGACTACTTCTGTCTTGGAGAAAGAGGGGTCTGGGGGGCGGAGCCCCCCAGCTACGACAAGTTAAAAAGTGACAAGGGTCAAGATCGTGTTATCTGTAGATAAAACAACTCTATTTAGAATGTAGGGGGGGTCTGGGGGGCGGAGCCCCCCAGCATTCAACAAGTTAAAAAATAATCGACAACGGACAAGCCATTGCCTGCCGCAGGCAGGCTAGCGCCGCAGGCCAAGGTAGGTACGCCAGGCGTGGATTGGAGGAGCAGGCAGCGAGACATCGCGAAGCCTGTTACGACAAGGCGCGGTCTGGCGTAAACCTACCTTGTATAGAAGAGTTTTAGGGGTGGTCCACATTACCCACTGGTGGTCCATCTTACCCGCTTTCACGGTAACTGCTTTTCCGTATTTTTGTCACAGTGATCCCTTCATGTTCATGACGGCTCCGATTCTTCTTTCATTCAAGCCAAAGGAGACAACAAAGTTAAAGTCCCAGAAAAACCACAAAATCAGGGATCCTTAACTTACTTTGAAAGGGCACCATAACGTTATAACCCGTAACTTCTAATTTCTTTTGAAGAGGATAAGTTATTATTCTAGCTTCTTGTATTTGCGGAAGTGGTTGCAACACTCCATACCTTTGTCGAACACCGTCGTATTTTACGTTATGAAAGCAGGGTGTGTTAAATGTGAAGTTAAAGATCCCTGCACAAAATTCGATCGTAGGAGAATGGTTCCTCACCGCGCCGGGTTTGTGTTCTGCAGGCGTCGCCCTGCTCGAGGCTCCACACCGCCCTGCAGAGTGCCGTGCTGCGAGTCTCGTTGGGCGTGGAAGCGACGACGGCAGACATGCTGCCCTACCTGCTGGTCGTCGTCGTCATCCTCCCGCTCATCAGCACCGTGGAGGTACACATTCAACACTGCAGGAAATGACCACATCAAAAGTACTCAAATTTCTGGCAAATTTTTTATCAGGAATTTAGTGTACTTTTTAAGTACAACAGTTGTTGTATGGAACCGGCATGACGAGTGCTGAGCAGTCCAGGGCCTGTTGTGGTTTGTACAATTCTCGTTGTACTTTCTACAATCCCTGTCGTCTGTCGTACTTTTGTTTTACAATTTTTGTTGTACTATCCACACTTTTTCTTGCAGTTAACTGTGTAACGCGGTACTCTCTATCGTACGAAAAAAAGTGAGCAATCAGTTCACACTTAGGTGCTACACGCCAAATGCTTTTGTACTTTTTGTACATCAGTATTCACGTATTTGTGCTGGTGTGAGTTATGTACAAATATGTACGTAGATTGGATACAGTTTTATAAATACTTGCTCAACATATGAAGATATTGTCCCTTACTTATGAATTAAATTGTACGTAGCTCGCAACGGCATAAATATGGCAAAAACAATGGACAATAAATAATTGGTTTGAATATGATCACGGTAAGACTCTCAAGACACTCAAGTTTCAAGGAGCTCCTATGCTAAATACAAAGGAAACCCAGGACGGTCCTGGAAGATTCAGGACTGAGTCTTACCGTGATATCACATTCGTTGGAGTGCTGATACACCTTCCAACGAATGCGGTGGCCAAATAAAATGACCCTGTCATGTTCAAACGAATGTTACACAGTACTGGCTCGGACGAGTCAGAATTCACATCCTAACGAGAATGACGTCACATTCGTTGATCATCAGTGGATCCTGATGTTTTCGGCCACCTCCAGGTAGTGGCCAATGGGATGAAAGCGGATGTGTTCGCGGTGGGGACGGCACCACTCATCGTTACAGTCTTCGTCCCACTCTGTCTGGTAAGTCAGCTGGAGGTAAAGAGTGTCCCCCACCCAACAATCTGTCACGCAGGGAGCAGACTATCTGCGTCAGAAACGTCAGTAAGTGGGCAAAACCCGGGACAAAATCATGAAGTATCCCTCTCACACTTCCAAGCGTGCACTCTCATTCCAGGAACGTGACATCGCGTTGAAGTGAATGTGACAAAATGTGACGTTCCTTGGAGCATTGTGTCACATCCGTTTGAATGTGAATAGTCTTATATATGGCTGATTCACACCCAAACGAATGTGACACTATGCTCAAAGGAACGTGACTTTAGGGTGGATTGTTACTTTGTTTTGATGCGTGGGCGTTGTTCATATAATTGGCTGAGCGATAGCGAAGCCCGTAACTCAGGTGGGGTTGAAAAGTTTTGTCTGTCTGTCTGTCTGTCTGTCTGTCTGTGTGTCTGTCTGTCAGCACTACTCCTCCTGAACGGCTCGGCCGATCTGGCTGAGATTTTGCACACTTTTTGGGTATGTCCTTGGCTCGGCACACGCGAAATTTCACTATCCTAGCTCAACTGGTTCAGTTTTTATAGCCGAAAAACACCTAAGAAACGGCGAAAATCGAGTTTTCTGCCGGCAAATATCTTCTGCCTTGAAGAAAGGGGGGTCAGGGGGGCAGAGCCCCCCAGCCCCGGCAAGTTGAAAAGTAACAAGGGTCAAGATCGTGTTATCTGTGGATGAAGCAACTCTATCTGGAATGAAGGGGGGTCTGCGGGGCGGAGCCCCCCAGTATGCAACAATTTAGAAGTAACCGACGATGGGCAAGCCATGGCCTGCCGAAGGCAGGCTAGCGCCGCAGGCCAAGGTAGGTCCGCCAGGCGCGGATTGGAGGAACAGGCAGCGAGACATCGCGAAGCCTGTTACGACAAGACGCGGTCTGGCGTAAACCTACCTTGTTAGTGAAACTTCAACAGTCTGAGTACTTAGTAGTTGAGGTAATATTTACCGTACTGTTTTGATGCAATACTACAAAATGACAGGTTTGCCCCTAAAGGTATGCAACCCGTAACGCACCCCCTCCCCCTTTTTTAGTCGGCTCTAATTACGTCCCTGTTGGGGACCGTCCACTTATTACGTAACTCTTCTTTAGCTTAGCTGTCTTTCTTGCTCCTTTATGCCAGTGAGTGCAAGAGAGCATTGAAAACCCAAGCGTGGCCTAGACCGCACCACTGGTGTGGTCAAATGGGTGCCATTTCGACCGCATCAGTTGGTGTAGTCTAGACCACGTTTGGCCATGTTTGGTGTGGTCTAGACCACGTATTGGTGTAGTCTTTCCATGCAATGACCACACCAAACGCTCAAAACGTGATCTAGACCGCACCAACTGATGCGGTCATAATGGCACCCATTTCATCACACCAGTTGGTGTGTTCTGGCCGGTTCTGGCCGGGATCACGTTTGGTTTTTCAGTGAGAGATGAACCCTTTCTGGTGCAGGTGGGCGACGCGCTGGCGGTGTCGCGGCGCGGCGTGGCTCGGCGTGCGGCGCGCGGCCCGTGGCTGGAGGAGCCGCCCTCGCAGCGCCGCTACCGCCTCGGCCTCATGACCGCCGCGGGGGGCCGCGGGGCGCGGGTGCGGGGCCGCGGCATCGGCCCGCTGGACAGGCGCACCTGCGGCAACGGACTGCGGGCGTGGTTCAACTTCCTGCAGATCCTCATCAACGTCAAGCGCACCAAAGAGTGAACGGGCCGGTCGGGCAGCGGGCAAGGGTGCTGCTCTCCTCGCTTGAAGGGTTCATTCACGTGTTGCGTCATGTCGTCTGCCTCTCTGGCACAATCCTAAAATCCTGCTGAACTTTTTCTCCTCAATACGACCAAAAAGCTTAGAATTATGACAGCGCAGCGGAGGTTGTAATTTATAGTGCAGAGTTTGACCAGTTTCTTCGTATCACGTACCAGTTTCTCTGTATTCTGATTGATTCGTAAAGTAAATACTGAGAATCAGCCGAGTATTATGACTGCACGGCATTGCTCAGTAGGAGATTGGGACTGCAATCCGCAAGGGGCAACAAGGACAGAGGTATAAAGAAAAAACGTTACGGAATTCAAGTTTAGTTCGTAATTTATCGAACGTGCTAATCAAACAAAGTGATCGCACGTCTCGTACCAAATCTGTAAAGGGCCAACCGGGGAAGAACCGAACTCTTAAGAGGAGGGGGTAGAGGCGGAAGCTCCATTTTCAGACTGAATTCTAATGTTTTGAGACTTTGTAATACCAACACAAGTTTGTTCAAGGTATCGTTAACCAGTAGAGAGTACTGTGTATCAAATTGAGTGACGTTCCCCCGTTCCTGTTGTGTACGATTCTACCCGCCTTGGCCTTACTCGTGAACTTGTGACACTGGCGGCGCAAGTGCGGGGTCTCAACCCGTAAGGCCAAGAGTTGTTCATTTGTTATGCTTACACGGTCCTCCAAACGGGCTGCCCTCATCATAAACATAGGTGGAGTAAGATTGGTCACCCTGTCAAAAGAATAAGATAGTACGCATACATTGTATTAAAATTTATTGCCAAAGATTTTCCAAATTTCCGATTTGCTTTGTGAATTTTGCTGGAGCACCAGTTCCCAACTCTCGGCCGGACACTAAAATTCGAAGTAATAATTATCCCTTGTGTTCGCTTGCATACGAATTGGATTAGGAGTCAGGACAAAACGAACTCTGTACAATTGATGAACAAAGCGGTACGTGATATAAACTTGTTGAAGAATTGAGATATATCAAGTTTATTTTTATGAAATTCAAGAAAAACAAATAACTTTATCGTACACTTAGACTGTGGGCACAAGCTACCGGATAATGCTTTCTGTCAGCTTATATGGATCTAGAATTGACTGTTCAAATTGGGACAATACGCTGCCCAATTATCTCATCAGTGTACTCTTCACACTCTCCTGTGTTACACTGCAATTCAAAGGGTGAGACATCTCACCAATTTTCGGCGATACTAAATGTATCATCGAAAAAAAAGGTCGTACACGAATGTATCACCGAAAAAATGGTCGTACACGCATGTATCACCGAAAAAAAGGTCATACACAAATGTATCAACGAAAAAAAGGTGAGACGTCAGCGAGATTAGCCCTTGTCTTCCTGGGGAAGTATCACCCTTTTTCGGTGATACATTCGTGTACGACCTTTTTTTTCGGTGATACGTGCGTGTACGACCAGTTTTTCGGTTAAACATTTTAGTATCACCCTTTTTCGGTGGTGAGACAGTTATGTCTCACCCCTCAGGGAGCGAGATGTATCACTATTTGATTTTCAGTGTATCTGTTGGGTACATGAGAAGGAGGATGAAATGTGGGAAAAGACAGCATCATCAATGCATACGACGAAGCTTCAATGCGCTGTATTAACTTACTATTTCAAGATATCACGTCAATAGAAAACCAACGGCACACATCATAAGCTTGCAGCCATTGGCAAAGCAACTACTTTAAATCTCCATTTAGGTGTTGATATAACAAACATCAGGAAAAGAAATGATGACCTCCGTCGACTACACTCTGATCCCCAGCAACGATGGCACTGCACGGCAAAAACGGTATATGGTTTCCCCAGAAAGCCTAGGAGGTGATCTCAAGAGTGTTCCTGGGAAAACCAGGCACCGTTTTTGCCGTGGGCTAAGGCTTTCATCGTGTGATCTGTGGCTGCACAATCCGAAAGAGAACTCAGCAGTTCACCCTTCCGGAGATGCGCCATAAAACTGTTTCCTAGACTCTATTAGAGTCGCCCTACTCACACTTTGTGCGTTCGGTCCTGGCGTACTCTGGCGACAAACCAAACCATCAAAAGATGCGGCCCCATTTCAGTCGGCAAAAGAAGTACGATGAAGACAGGAATGGTTTCGTAGGTTGCACTAAGTGTATCCATTTAGTTAAGTAACCAGTGCCCCTAGTTTTATCGCGTTCTGTTAAGCAGAGCATATATCCTTCATCGTGAACGGGCGCCATAGAAATAATTGTGCCAGGTGCGCATCCAAGTGGAAGGGACAAATTCACTTTGTGCCTGTAAGCCTGTAAGCAACTTTTGCGACAACCACCAACGGTTGCTCCTCGAGTGCTCAACAGTCTCGAGTTTTCAGTGCTTTCACGCAATTTTGACAAGGAATGAAGTGTCATTATGACTAAAGGCCCGTCTCTATCTGTCACGTGGGTTATCTCAGCCCAGCGACATTCAAAGTGACCCTGGAGCCAAGCAGTATTTGCAGCAAGGCGGCGATGCCGTTGCCCTCCATTTGACCTTGAGCACAGCTTCGCCCTCCATTTGACCTTGAGCACAGCTTCGCCCTCCATTTGACCTTGAGCTTAGCCTCGCCTCATATGTGACCATGAGGTCAGTGTCTCACCCTCTACCTGAGCTTTGCCTTGTAGGTGACCCTGAGCACTGCTTTTTTGACATTGAGCATGGCCTTGCCCACTATTTCCTAGCCCTCTATTTGACCTTCAGCACAGCCTTGCCAGTGTTTCCTCCCTTCTGCACGTCCAGCAGTGCCTTGGGCAGGTTCTCGAAGCCCTCGTACACGTGCTCGTAACACTTGAGCTTTCCCTGCAAAACAGAGAATGAAGTTAGGACAAGTGGACAGCACTGTGTCGTCGAGGAAGCACATCAGCCTTGAAGATGCTGCCTAAGCAGCTACTAAACTTGGATCGTCATAACAATGCGACAAGTAATCTTTTCATGACATCTCATTCGATGTCCGACTGGCCAAATGAACGCTGGGTAGCGTGTACCTGCAAGTTCACTTTTGCTCTGATTTATGTGCATAAAGTAGGGAACTTCAGCAACAGTGCACTTGCAGTACACGCCACCTGGCGTGTCCAATTCGCAGGCAAGCATGCTCCATGCGTGAAGTGTGCATGTCAGGTTGGCTTCAGGTGCAGTGTACTTTCAGTTGTGCTTCAACCTGAGGCATGCTATGTACACACTCGCCTTTGTAGAGTATGTGAGGTGCAAACTATTCAGTATTAAGTACAACGAAGAAGTTTGTAATTTACAAAGTATTTTCTTTGAAAGCTAACGTACGCAAGCTACTTTTCCTCGTAAGGCGAAAAAAAGATTTGTAGGTTTTTCAGACTGCATTTGTCCTCTGCTTCATGGAACTGAACAGCAATGGGCTCACGTACCAAACCGAGGGTTTATCAGTTACTACTTGTTATGGGTTTTAAAAAAAATCATAGAAATAAAATTTGCGTTCCTTTGACAACTGCTTCTGGACCTCAACCTACACGGCACTGCGAACTCCTGTACTTGAACAAGTAGTACCTTTCTTGTCATGCTACGTTAAATAAACAAGTTTTAAGTTTTAATCTTTATGTGCTTTGTTGTTGTTACCTCCTTGATCCAACCGTATATCTGCTCGTACGCCTCTGGGAAACGCGATTCATATCGGCTCACAATCAGCCCTTCCATTTTCAATTGCTTGGCGATGAAGGACGTCTGCACTGCGGGAACTGCAATTGGAAAGAAGATTTCATCTCAGTGCGCTGTTATTGACGAATGTGCCGTCATATTCGTTAGAATGTGAATTTTGTCACGATCATCTGAATACAATGTCACGTTCGTTTGAACGAGAATCAACTTTCAAATGATTGTGGCATCACTTTCAAACGAACGTGACAAAATTCACATTGTAACGAATATGACGTCACATTCGTTGAATGAGAACGTAGGGAGCCGCGATATGGCGCAACGGGATGTTGCCGGAATAATGAGTACGATATTGAATTTCCAAAGCACTTGGGATAAAATTGAGTTTTGACGCTAGATCTGTCTACCCGTATTAAGTTCTGATCAGATAATCTATGCTTTCTCACCGAGAGGCTGGTTCATGAGGTCAGAGTCGTAAGACGAAATAGCTCCGACGACTGCGATGCGGCCGAAAGTGTTCATTTGCGTGAGAACAAGGCTGCTGAAGGCCCCCCCAACCTGCAAAAAAGTCAACCTAAAACTACCAACCAGTCAAGTGGTGAACAATTACGTAACTTCACTCTAAATGTATTACTATGAAATTTGACCTATGTCATTCGTATGTTACAGTGAATTCGGCGCAAGCATAATACGAAGCAATATTCCTTCGTAATACGCATCTTTTTAACTTTTTCCAAGTAACATACAAAGAAAAACGTTCGGAATACGAAGAAAAGCCACCATCGTATTATGCTTGCACCATTTCCTTCGTATTATGGGAAATTAATTCTTCGAAACACATTCGGAGTGTTGAACAGTGAGCTCTGCTTTGGTTGTGTATTTCGCAGTATGTAATCGGCTACGTACTCCCTTTCATCCAACCAAAACATTCTAAAATATTTCCATAGTATAAAATTTGACATTTTGATTACGAAACTGAGAGCAAGGGGGTATGCACTTGCTGAAGAGTTGGGTCACTCTTTGATGGCACGCGTAATAGTATTAGCTAAAATTCTCTAATTTTTAACCGATTTGGGGGTGTTTTTAAATAGCAAAATTCCGATTATTTTGAGGCGTAATAGAGCGTAACAATCGAGTCACACGTTTTGAACGTGCGTACACTATCAGCACGTTACTGACTTTTTGATCATTTTGTCAGTACTTATGCAAGTAATTTGTGCAACCACGAATTAATTCGTACTTTTCATTTCTAACAGAACTACATAGGAATTTATAAATAGGGCACTGTCAATTCGTTTTTGTAATTAACTTTACGAAAGAAATTATCCTTGCTTAGACGAATACGTACTTAATGAGAGAAAAAGTCAATAACGTGCTGAGAGTGTACCTCCTCGACTGAGAGTTTAGCCTTGCTAGCGCCTCTCGGAGAGACCAGAACCTACTGACTCGTGATATAGTTCATCAGATTGGTCTCGTCATGGGCCCGATTGTAACGGCGTTTCCTAAATAAACATTTTTTTTTAAATAAATCCGACAATCACTGCAGCTACTGCCAAATTTACTGCATAGTTCCTGCTGCAGAGGGCTAGCAACAGAGCAGCATGTAGGAAAATCAGTGAAGTGAAACTTGAAACACCTGCAATTTAAATCGTCCTACATTATCGAAGTAGCAGTCCACGCCGTTGGGTGCAGACTCCTTGAGAGCATCCACCACGTTGCAAGTCTTGTAATTGTATGCAAAGTCAAATTGGAGTTCTTCCGTGAGCCACTTCACTTTGTCGTTGGACCCAGCAAAGCCAATGACGCGCAGACCTGGAACCGCAATTGTAATTAATGGAAAGAAAGGTGGTTTGTTCAGAGGAAGGAGCACCCTTATAAATTTTTCATGAATAGTTGTTGGTGGTAGTGACTTAAGAAGCGAAGTGCCACTTCCATCATGTTTCTAATGTTCTTTAAGGAAGTTGCCTTTCCATTCCAATGATTTCGAGATTGCACTCAGAATTCGAACGCTACGAGCGTTTGAAGCAGTTTTCATTGCACCCACTATTAAGTAAACAATGCTTCTGCATCGCACATGAAGTGCAATGCCCTCGCATGCACTAGCAACGGGCGATTTCAGGACGCATCGCAAGTAAGGGGTCGTATGTATACTCACGAAATAGGCTACTGTGAGCCCCCTCCTCTCCATCTGGTGACCTGGATAACCTAACCTTCACACGTATTTAAGATAGGCGTGTGGACTTAAACACCCCCCCCGGTAAATAGGACACGTTGTTTATACACGACCCGTAGAGTGCAATGCACTCGGCAGTGCACATCCAGTGCGATGTCTCAATGCATTACACCATGCGTGCCATGTTAATAACGTCGGGGATCACAGTGTGTCGATCGGAGTCTTGTGAGTGAAGAACGTGAGTGGCCACTCATGTTTATCTTCGAGAGCCTACCTTTCAACTTGGCAATCTGTCCCACTATCGTGCCCACTCCACCGGCCGCCGCATTCACCACCAGTGTCTCGCCTTCCTTGGGTTTGCAGACGTCTAGAAGGCCGAAGTAGGCGGTGGCTCTAGACAGAAGGAAAACATATCTCAATGTTGTGCAACACTCGTGAAATGAAGGGTCTGGGCGTGTGCCTGCCTGGAGCCGCCCATAGTGCAGATATTGGTTCACGTCATGGGCCATCGTCGCTCCAAGACCAAAATAAACCGCACACGCTAGCTGGAGTACTTTCCTGGCAGACTTACCCGATCAAGCCGAGAGCAGTGAGAGAATAGGACAAAGGCACGTCGGTGTACCGCACTCTTTCAAGCTTCGCGTCATGCATGGTGTCCTTGAAAGTGGACGGGTTCAGTACACTGTGGGTGGCCCAGCCCAGCGGCCCAGAAACGTATTCTCCGACCTTGTAGTTCTCGTCCTTGGACTGCACCACCCTGACAACAATGGTTACCTTCTTCAATCTATGATTTCAGGATGCCCAACAACCCTGATACGTTTATCGGAAGCGCTGTTTCCGCACTGGTTTTCTGATTCAGAAGAAAATAAATTTCGAACAACAGTGCATTGTGAAGGAAGAATGGAAACTGTCGCGTACAATACGATTGCCCGCATTACCCACCACTTTCATGTGTCCGATTTGACCAAGCTCGGTAACATAAAACATTTTTCAACGTTTCAATGATTTCTTCAGTATTTTAGACAAGCAACACCACGGGTCAGTTGGTAAATATTAGTACAACAGCAATTCACCTCCCAGAAGAAAAAAAAGCAGAAGCACAGATACACTCTTACTTCAGAAACGTGATATCACGTTGAAACGATTGTGACAAAATTTCACATTCTTCCGAGCATTGTGTCACATAGGGCACGAGCAATATGCGAAATACCGTGGAACGAATGCATGGTAAATCGGGTCGATCGAGTGCCAGCAGAAGATATTTAGGCGGTACAGTCGCAGAGTTCGTTTCAGAAATTATTCTTGAGTACCTATCAGGTCCTCTGGGCGAAGGTAAAGAACTTTCTGACTTACCACAAAGTTGGTCTTATTCGAGGACCACAGTGGTGACACTGAGAATGAATGGGTCACCACTATCACCCTTTAAATGGGTGATGCAACTTCGTTGCCTAATTTTGGGTGACGAAAAATTCATCACCCGAAATTTGGTAACAGGCGTTATGTCACCCAATTTAGGGTAACGTCGTCGGCGAAGCCGTGAGGTCCCCAATGACGTCCTTCCGGCGCCACCACGATGACCGGAGGCCCCAAAGCCACATGGCGGTCATCGTGGTGGCCCCGGAAGAACGTTATCGGGGACCTCACGGCTTCGCCGACGACGTTACCCAAATTTGGGCGACGGTTTTATGACTGCCCAAAATTTGGTCACCGCTGGATCGTCACCCAAATTTGAGCGACGATGCGTGCGTCACCCATTGAAAGGGCGATGGTGGTGACTCTTTCATTCTCAGTGGATGCTTTTGTTTGAAATTTGTAACGTCGGCTGCTCTGGCCCTCGAGTGCTGGGAACGTTCCTTTTCCCGGCAGTGACCTAACGGTACACTATGGCTCGCGCCCTATTCGTTTGGATACGAATCAGCTATAAAATAGCTCACGGAAAAAATTACTTAGCTAACTTAGCTAATATTCAGTAGCTAGACAGATTTAGCTGCACCGCTAAAAGTTTTATCGTTGCAGCTAATATTTAGCGGTCGCACTAATTTTATTTAGCTGCTCTGCAAAGCATTTTAGCAAAGCAGTTTGCAGTTTAGCCGAGTAGACTTAGCCATCCTGCTAAATTTCGTTAGCTTCCGAGGTGGCTAAGCGGCGAGGATAGTCTTAAGGTAGAAGGCCCGACGTCGAGGAGATGGCGTGATGGCGTAGTAGTAACGTGCGCGCCTCTCAACCGGCGAACTCGGGTTCGAGTCCGGCACATATCCATCGAACAATAACAAAATTAGTCACAAGGCTTAGATGTCAGTTGATTGGGGCAGATGACCCGACCAGATAAATTTTGTGAATCTCTAGTGCTAACATGGCTTAGCTGCACAGCTAATTCGGTCCAGCTAATAAATTTAGCTGTACAGCGAAGGAATTACTTATCTCTCAGAAAGCGAATGTTTTTAGCTGTACAGCTAACTTTTACCTGTGCAGCTAATTATTTTTTTCCGTGCTTATTCACAAACGAAAGTGACACTATACTTGCTCAAAGCGACGTGACATTTGGTCACATTCGTTCCAACGTGATGTCACGTTCCTGGAATGAGAGTCGTTAGTTTGTATTAAACAATTAGGACAACTTACTTTGCCACTTGCAGGCCCAACATCTTGGCTCCGGAGGGCATAAACACCATGTAGGCACTGCGCAGATTTCATATAGCTTCAGACAAAACACTTCAATGGCTGCGGTTGCTTCAATTTCTTTTCATCTCATGGACGACCTAGTACACACTGGGCCGTCCCATGAATGATACAATTGGAACCACATCGGTCGATGATAGAATTTTGTGTTCGCCAGGTGATGCAAATAGTATCACTAAATGATGAAATTTGGTGCGACGGAATCGAGCATACACCATGCACTGAAAATCCTAGTGCACTTGGATGTCACCATATCACATGTGAGACAGTCTCTCGCTCTCTAGTGCGAACCCATTTCTTTGTCTCACGCCGGGTGTTCCCTGTGGTTCAAAGCCACAGGACCCACGCTTATGAGAGACAAACGGTGTCTCACCTTTGCAAGCGTGGAACAAAAGTGGCTCACGCTCGTAAGCATGAGACATAGTGCTTCGCACTAAATGGTGTGAGTCTGATTCACACTAGTTTGGCTTCGCAGTGCGGAGAGGAGATAATTCTAATACGCGAGAAGTGCTAGAAGCATATTTACCTCACGTAAGGGCACACGCTGATGTACTCGGCCTCCACGAGGATTTCTGGAAAAGCAATTATCAGTCACGCCAAGGAAGCTCGACATGATTTACATAGACCGTATGTAACCCCCCCCCCCCCCACACACACACACACACTTCCTCGAAAATGAAATCGTCTTTCACCGTTCAACGTCTGGTTTCTTGCACGCAACATGCGCAACACTATCAAGTAAAGACATAAATGTGCTTTACAAGCGCGTGAATGTAACCTGGGGACCTCGCCTAGGTTCACTGTGGCGTCTTCGTCGAGAACGCGCAGCAGCCCCCACTCCTCTCCGCTGGTGCACCCTGAGGCTCCGGCAAGCGTCAGCTGAGCTAAACCATCCACTGACGGCGCTCACCCCGAGTTGCATAGTTGACGCCTCTCTCACTCCAAGTCTCTTTAATTTATCCCACTCATGCATTATGTCTAAAAATGTTTCAGTAACGGCCATTGTTATTTACACTGCAAATTGGATGGAAAGACTTCGCGTCAGAATATGGCGGGCCCAAAAGCCTCGCTAAGTTTTGGTCAGACCTGAAAATCTCGCCAAAATTTGGACAGAGTCTCGCCACAAAACGGTCAAACACACAAGTGTCTGACCGCCACCTAAAGGCCGCAATGCGCCGGACGGTTACGGCCTTAAGGCCGTGGGCAGACACAAAAGTCTCGCCATTTTGAGGTGAGACTTTTGTCTCTGACCGTTTTGTGGCGAGACTTTTTTGTCTACGACTTCCGGCTTATTGTAAGCGACATTTTCGTCATAAATTCATAGGATATAACGGCAAACAACTCGCAGAGTATTGCAAGGCAACTCAACCTTTACGATGAGCACAGCACTTGACACGAGGGGTGAATCACTTGTGTACTCAGTGTACTCACAAGTTTAAGAAGGACGAAATTCACAAGTTTTTCGACCGATTTGGCGTTGAGTGCCGTTTTAAACGCTAAGTAAAGCCTTAAAACGTTTACAAATGTGAAATTTATGAGTGACGCAAGGTGTACTCACGCGTACTCATGTTTACACTAGAACGCTGGGTGATTTACCCCTCGACTTGACAGCCCTACCTCCATCTTTAAGTGGCGGCAAGACCTCCGTGTCGATGTGGAAATGTTCGAGCTGGGGATCGCCTGCGCCGGGCTTGTTGATGTAGATGACTTTGGCCATGATGAGGCAGACTGTGCCGGGTCAGCATTCTCTCGGCTTTTAAACGCAACTTCATCGGAGATACGTTTATCTCCCGATTGCACCGCGTGACGGGGCCACTGATACAAAAGCCGAACAAAGGTTACTTGCATTGACTTGAAATTTCGGTTGTATTTCCCTGATAAATAGGAAATGCTCAACAAAACATGGTCCCGTGCCGTACGGGACGGCCCCACAGTGTTCCCGGGGTGACACCCCGTCGCGTACGGGCTGCACAAATTACTTTACAGGTTTTTCTGCGCGCCAATGCACGAAATTACACTGTAAAAAAAGTGCATACAGTGGTGTAGGAAAATTTCTATACATGTATAGGAATTACTCAAATTCCGATACATGTATATGAATATTCCGATTTGTATAGGTTTTTTGCTATTCGGGCTGAAAATGTACAGGAATATTCCTGTACATGTATCGGAATTTGAGTAATTCCTATGCATGTATAGGAATTTTGCAGCCCTGTATAGGAATATGGCCAACTGAAAAAAAGGAATTTGCTATCAACCTCATGACCAGCGATTCATATTATTGTATTTTGTCTCAACACTCGTAATCAGTGCGATTATTTGTTAAAAACGTACACAATTCACAAAAGCTGCTTGTTTGCCCACTGTCCGGATTATCCGCTAGATGGCGCTAGTGTCGTTTCGACGGACTTACTTCTCGGTGCACGCTGCGGCTAGGAATTTGGTTAGGTCAGGGGGCTCGCGACCCATCACGTTGTAAGAAAGTTGAGGACCTTTCAACTCTTACATCATTTTTACTGAGGTGATAGTACTTTCACCTTGGGTGTCCTTTTGGTAAAGTCGAACTTTGCTAATTTGGAAGACCGTGATGAAGGATCAGAAGTGATCCATGCTCGACGATCTATTACGGCGTAAAGTTCGGCCGTTGTATTAAATATCTGACAGTTCATCCGGTTCAGCCGTCTAATTTGGATATTGTGGTGGAAATCCCATACATGCATTGCAGTTACGCCATTCCGATGTACAGGAAAATTCCTATACAACGGATGGGAGAACGCCTATACACGTAATAGTTATAATCCCGTACTGACGTATAGGAAAATTACCATACGAGTGCATGGTAAAATTCCTATACGTGTATATGTAAAAAGCTTAATATACATGTATAGGAATTTGACTAAAAAAAATGTTTACAGTGTAAACATGCACTTCGTAACGCACGAATTTGTGCGCGACAATGCACGATTTTCTGAATACCGTGAAAGCGGGTAATATGGACCACCCGTGGGTAATGTGGACCACCCTATAGGGGGTGTACTCTTCTATGTGATCGGTGATGCCGCCTACCTGCAGGAAAACTGTGTCAGTCACTAGCAGCCAAACTTGGAAGTTTCTTGGCTCGAACCGATAATTTAGGAGAATTCCAGGGGTGGTCCACTTTACCCACTGGTGGTCCATATTACCCGCATTTACGGTACTTGCGCACGAAATCGTGCTTTGTCGCGCACAAATTCGTGCGTTACGAAGCGAAATTTCGTGCAAGAGCGCGCAGAAAATCCTCCATAGTATTTAAGTGTGTGGGGATGATGATGATGACGGCTCCAGGCACGTCGCGGGGCGTTCCGCCTGCAGTGTGGGGGCCAAAAGCGTCTATGTGTTGGTAAGGTTAGGATGAGAGATGACTTCAGGAAGTACCCCCGAACAGGGCGAAAGGTTTGTTTCGGCGGTACCGACAGCCCAGGAACGGTTAGGGGACCACAAATCGGCGCGGCGCAGGTCCCCTTCCGAGCGCGCCCGAAGTCCCCCTCGCCGAGCGCGGCCCGAAGGCAAGCCCGAAGGTCCCCGTGGGTATTCCGAGGATGGGGATAACCCCGGACCCTCGGGGGGCTTAGTCACTCAAGTAGAGTTGTCGAGCGGCTCCCCACCAGATGTCACCGTGGCTCCGGGGTTCCACTTCTGCCCACGGCCTCTAGTATTGGTGGTTCAAACACTGGCCTGTTTTTAATTTTTCGGTTTCACCCATCCTTTTTAGTTATGTTCAAATTTTAGGTTGGACAATATGTTTTAAGAATATTAAGGTTTGGTTTATATATGGTACGTTAGGTTACGTAAAGTTGGTCAGGTCGCAAGTGACCGAAACTTGTCGTGACTATAGCATGAAATATTTTGAGGCTAAGATCTGTTGACATTAGAAATAGATCTGCTGCGATGAGAATAAGATCTGTAGCGAGCCCGTTTGGTTTTGATTAGGATAGGTTGGACAAATTATTTTAAAAATATTAAGGTAGCCTTCTGTCCACACCAACATACAACAATTTCCTTCTGACGAACATGCATTTCCATCTGCAGCAGAATCTAGCTCTGCATCGAAGCCGAAGATCTTCCCCTGGCTAATAGATGTTAAAACTATTAGCATTTAGGTTATTTCGATGATTATGGCTCCTTCGTGCCCCAGGTTGCCGTGCTCGGCACGGCACAAAGTCCCCTTCGGCTCCGGCCGCTCGGCACTCTTCGGCACCGCTCGGCTCGGCCGCCAGGGGGACCTGCGCGGCGGCGATTTGTGGTCCCGTATCAAGACGTGACAGCCCCCAGCCCCCCCACCACCGCCTTTTCCGACTAGCCGTTACCGAGAGTGTTACCATTTCAAGCTGTATGCAAGGCAACGTCAGGTGACGTTACTGACCGAAGGGGGTATTCGTTCATTCCTACGAGACGCGAACAGAGTAATATCGCCATTACGCATTGTTACGCAATTATTACACTCTAATAGGGTACTTTCGTAGATCCTGAACCGGAAGCAAGCAGGCGCCATATTGGCCGGAAACTAACCTCTTTTCGGATCTAAAACTAGAGCCGAGCTGTACAAATATTGCTCGCGAAACACACATGCACTGCAAATAAGTATCAACGACTATTAATGGTCAAGTGTGGCCGATACGTTTGACTATAGTCCCTTTCCCATGTGAAGTTCTTATCTACTTCCGCCATCATGGCGTCTGTGTGCTTCCGGTTCAGGATCTACGAAAGTACCCTATTGCGTAATAGGGTACTTCTTCGCCACACTGCAAAGCCAGTGGTAACTTTGCTTGACACAATACTGACAAGCTGTTTCGATCGTCAAAAATTGACTCATTGCCCGGCAATCTCATCGGCTTGCCAAAATTCGGCCGGCTCATGATATAAGGTCAAAGCTTGTCAAACCTGGGTAATCAAATCAGCTTTCTTAAGTCGTGGCAAATTAACTTTCCGCTGGCTTTGCCGTGGTGGCGCGCAGATAGCTCCTGCTTTAGGATAATAGGGTACTTCGAAGAAAGCCCAGACCGGAAATCAGCGATGGAACGATCGTTTCTCTCGAGAAAAACAAAATAGCGTCGCACCGCCGTGCTGAGCTGTGGTGGGGGCCGGAATAGGGTACTTTCGTAGATCCTGAACCGGAAGCAAGCAGACCAGCAGACGCCAAATTGGCTGGAAACTAACCTCTCTTCGGATCTAAAACTGAAGCCGAGCTGTACAAATATTGCTGGCGAAACACATATGCACCGCAAACAAGTATCAGACGACTGTTTATGTTCAAGTGTGGCCGATACGTTTGACTAACGTCTCTTTCCCATGTCAAGTTTGGATCTACTTCCGCCAACATGGCGTCTGTGTGCTTCCGGTTCAGGGATCTACGAAAGTACCCTATTCGCAGAGTAGGGGTAGCTTGCGCGCGCCGCCTCCACCCCCACTCCGCCGATTTCGACCCCCTCCAGCGGTCAGCACGGCCGCGCGACGCTCAGTTGTTTCTCCCGTTCTGTCCCTGACTTCCGGTCCGTATTTCCTCCGAAGTACCCTATTTGTCTTCGTCACTCGGCGACGACCGAAAGCACCGAAAGGGTCTTTTGCGTCACGCGGCTCTAGGTATGCAGAAAATCGTGCATTGTTGCGCACATATTCGTGCGTTATGAAGTGCATGTTTAATTTCGTGCATTGACGCGCGCAGGAAAACTTACATAGTAATTTAGTGTGCTCACAGTATGACCTGGCCAAATTTCTGAACTATAAAGCGACCTTTACCCTTATTTTCCACTTGTACTTGTGACCTCATATCGGAGGTGATTAACGTAGTGTTACGCTGGGCCGAACCCCAAGTAGTGTTACGCTGGGCCGAATCCACAGGAGCGTTACGCTGGGTTGTACCCTCTGCGTCGTGCCTCAGCGTTACGCAGATTTAACTCAACTCACATACCTGCGTAACGTAACAACCCACCACGCTCCGTAACAGAAGACTTCGGAGAAGAGTTAAATCCAGGGGTTTCCATTAAGTATTTTAAAAAATGTGTTCGCAAGTCGTAAGATCGAGCGCCTGCATCACTCTCATCCTTTAGTTGATATATTGTCAATATTCACTGACTTTCGAGCGCATTAATAGAGTTTTGCTATGAATTTGTTTAGACGAAATTGATAATGTTGAATGGAAAATAAAGACAAATGTTACGCTTATCAACGCGGTCTAACATCAATAAGGTACTTTCGTAGATCCTGAACCGGAAGCAAGCAGACCAGCAGACGCCAAATTGGCTGGAAACTAACCTCTCTTCGGATCTAAAACTGAAGCCGAGCTGTACAAATATTGCTGGCGAAACACATATGCACCGCAAACAAGTATCAGACGACTGTTTATGTTCAAGTGTGGCCGATACGTTTGACTAACGTCTCTTTCCCATGTCCAGTTTGGATATACTTCCGCCAACATGACGTCTGTGTGCTTCCGGTTCAGGGATCTACGAAAGTACCCTATATGTTAGTATGAAACATGAACTCAGTACGAGTTTGGATGTGATCACCGTTCCGGCGCATGTGCAGAGCGGCATTCCTACTCTGCGTCTTGCAGTTCTTAGTTTCTTTGTTGTAACTTTTATTCCAACTCTCTTCTCAGGCACTCTTCAGGGTCCATAGCTTGTTTAAACGAATAACAAAAACCTCGCCAATTTAAGCTTTTTATTTTGCAAATCCTTGAACGCAGCTCTTCGATTAGCAGTGTCCTTGAGTGTGCCCATTTTTATTGCAATATCTCAATCGTCTAAATTTTCTGTTTCAGGCAAGGAAACATCCTTTTCGGCGAATCTTCCACGTGGCTTGTGCTGCCGTGCACAAACTCAAAGCGTATCGCGAATTTTTTGTATTTCTCGCGATGCCGCTAATTTACACTTATTCGACTTCGTTTCGACGCTGCGTTTAGTTACTGATCAATGATAGTGCCTCTTTTGTTCGTTCTTGCATGAATGGTGTTGGCCCTCAGCGCTGTACTTGGGCGGGGTGGATAGTGCATGGTTTAACTCGAATTCGTCGGTCCTTGCATGCGCTCGACGGTCTCAGTGTCGTGGCGACCGCACCTCGAAAAAATGACTTCTTGAATCAAGATTTAGTACAATTTTCTTAATTTGAGCTCTTTTATCCTTGAATGATGAAAAAATTTCATGTGTCAAAATTATGTTTTTTTTATTTTAAAACATCTAATTACAAATTAAGAGACTATTTTTCTGGGTGCGTTCTGAACCGAGGTGGCTCTGTCCATTCCTGGGAGCCCTTTCGCTCCAACGCCTTCACTCTGCTTGTCTTGTTCGCAGGTTCCGTGAAGGCGGAGGCGGAGTGTCCAGTGGCTGACGGGCAGGATCGTGGTGTGGACTGCGAAGGTGAGTCACTGTTAAACCACAGTGTGCACGGCAAAAGTGCCGCCTGGGATTCCCAGGCGGTGTCTGAAAAATAGGCCCTTTTTCGCATGATGCGCCTGGGAATCCCAGGCGGTACTTTTGCCGTGTGGAGAACGCAATAGTTGAAATGCGGAGGTGTAAGGGAGGGTGGGGCACCTAGTGACAGGGGCACCTAGTGACACAGGGGTGCCCTGGCCACCCTATGGCTCTTTCAGACACCTTGAGGTGGCTTATCTAAAGGTCTTGTGCTATGGTATCATGTTCAAGTGAAAGTGAGACTTTGAACAAAATATTTTAGCCCCTAGAATAAAAGCAAAAAAAACATTGCCCAAAATCACAGATTTTACGACTTTTTAACAAAATGTTTTCTCGCTATTCTTCCAGTACACGGCACTGCCGATCGTTCTGGCACTTTTAATCAATAATAAGGACCCTTAGGAAGTTGTTTTCGCTGAACCAGCTCAAATACATGATTTCATTTCTTTAATATCAAATTTTGAACGGAAATGAGCCCCCGGGGCAGGTAGTGACAGACACACTCTATTTACCGTATTTCAACGATTTAAACGTTTTAAAACATCGATTTGGCAACCGCGAAGTAAATTGTCACCGATTGTCACACAACGAAACATAAATAAGGCTAATTTGTACGACAATTTCGTAGAACATTGAATTTGATTGGCAATGTAGTAAAATGCAGTTTCTTGGGAAAAAATGGCGCCGTTCAGAATGGTTTGATATTTAAAAAGCTTAAAGAGTCGAAAACAGATAATTTTCAATTAGCTGGAGCGTCGCTCTATGCTGGTAATGTGAGTTATATGACCTGTCACTAGGTGCCCCGGGCTGGGGCACCAAGTGACAAGTGCAGAGGTCTGCGGGAAGCTATGTAAATAATAGAAATAGGTGTTGTCAAAACGCCACACTATGTTTTTTCGATCAAGGAAGGATCAAAGCAACCTTCTGAGGTGTAAGCAGATTCATTTCTCGCATAGTATCGGAGTGAGTGCCAAAATCCAAAAAGTGTCACTAGGTGCCCCACCCTCCCTTACACTCTCAGTCTCGTATTGACCTTTTTATCTCTTGCCATAAAGTTTTTTGTGCAAACGTTATATGTATTATTTTCTTCATAGCTATGCACTATTTTGTTTACTGTATAATGTATTTAGTCCATTAAACCTTACGTTTTGTCATTTGCAATGTACATTTCAATTTCTACATGATCTATTGACAAATTTATCTTTAAGACGATCAAAATTGTGCATAGCCAGAAAGAAAAAAGTACATTTTATGTTTGCTTAAGGGGAGGTTCTACTGAAAATATTGCATTTTTCAAATTGAGCCCCAGTGTAAACATCTGTTGTTGATGTGTAGTACTATCTTGTTTTAAGTCAAACATGAAATTTAGAGCTCAATACCTTGCTCCAAATCCAGTCGAAGAGGTTTTTGCAGCCTATTTTAGCAATATCGTAAATTCTCCTACGCAAAGTATTTCAACGTAAACTGATGTTCTGGACATTTTTCACTTCTTTGGCTCATATGCAATTAAGCGTGGCATCACCAAGACATGGGACCCAACAAATCTATTTTGGAGTTGCTTTTCAGAAAAAAAAAAAGATACTCAACTATCAGGACTTAAACCATTTTCATGCAATTTTAGTGACATGCTGTCTTAAAAACACTGCTTATGATTTTGAAAAGGTCCCAGTATCTTACTAATGCAAGTATGAACCAAAGAAGTGAAATATGCCCAGAACATCAGTTTACGTTGAAGTACTTTGTGCAGGAGAATTTTTCAAGATACAACAGTAAATAGCGGAAAATTCCTCTTCTACTGCATTTGTAGCTAGGTATTGCTCTCCAAACTTCAAATTTTACTTGAATTTACAATGAACATTGATACTGGGACTCATTGAAGAAAGTAAGATTTTCAGTAGAACCTCCCCTTAAAAAGCGTTACAAGCAATAGAGAAAAAAGTCCATAAAAGTGTAGAATTTTCATTTTAATTCTCTGCACTTGAAAGTGGAGATTGCAGTCCTTACACGTCATGCACTAGCAGGAGAAAAAATTTCATATGGGTGTGGGAGTGTGTGAATCGTAGGTGAATGACGTCACCTCATAACGTTAGCTAGCTGACGACGTCACTAAAATTTTGGCAAAGAAACTACTGTTACTAAATTTCGGGTGACAAGTCTTTCGCCACCCGAAATTTAGTGCCAAAGTTGCACCACCAATTTGAAGGGTTAATGAGGGTGACTAATGCATTCTCTCGTTAAAAAGTTTCCTGTTTTCCACGGGAAGCCAATGGTAAAGTCACGAAGATTTCCAGGGTGTTCCTGGATAAATCAGGAACCTTTTACACCGTGCGCAGTGGAGGCTGATGTGTTGAAGGACAACATTACTGTTTGTCCCAACTTCCTCACGCTGTCTGCGCTGTTGACAGGCTCCACGAAGGCAGAGGACGCAGAACGCCCGTTGCTCGAGGAGGATCACGACTACGGGGAAAACGGCGGCTCTGAAGGGGAAGGTAAGTGGAGCTCTGCATCACAAAAGCAACACTCCAAATCCAGTGGCAAGTTTCCTCGCCACTGGAGTGGCGTCTTTTCCAAAGCGCCAAGATTTGGCGTTCCCATCCCTGGTTTCCGGATTCCACGCCAAATTTTGGCGCTCCACAGGGAGCGCCAAAATTTGGCGTTCCATTCCCCAGAGCACCACAGACCACAACGCCAAAATTTGGCGCTGCAAAAGAAATGGAATAATTTGGCTTGGAATGCAATACCCGTTCACAGAAAAATAAATGTGCATACAATAGTTTTCAGTGCTTAGGATCCCTAGTTCAAATCACAGCAATTATACTATGAAAAGTAGAACTGGACCAGTAAAATACAAGACCTGCATCTGTATTTTCAGGTTACGTGTCAATGCCGCTGACTAACTATTGAATCACTTTGGTTTGGCCAGCGATTCCTGAGACACTGGGAAAATGGTACTCACATCAACACAAAACGCTGGATATCACTGAGTCACTCTCTCTTGATAAGGGGTTGACACAGCAAGGGGTCTCAGTCCATTCTCAAACCAGGAAGACTTGAGCTAGCCTCAGAGCCCTAGCCTGGCCCTGCCGCGCCACGCCGCTCCCTCTTCAAAATCTTCCACAGCACAACACTTGAATAGTTTTGAAATGGCCCGAGAGCACTCAGGCCTTTTGAAAGTACTGCGACACGATAAAACATGACAGACATAGACTATCGTTGACCGTGGCGAACGAAATGCAAACAAAAGTAACAATTTGAATGTTTCGTTTGTCTGAGAGGAGTAGGTGCGCATAAGCAATCAACAAAAGCTGAACAATAAAAACAGTCAGTAAACATGGCTACTCCTCTTAGACAAACGAAACATTCATATTGATACTTTTGTGTGCATTTCGTTCGACACGGTCAATGATAGTCTATGTCTGTCATGTTTTATCGTGTCGCAGTACTTTCAAAAGGCCTGAGTGCTCTCGGGCCATTTCAAAACTATTCAAGTGTTGTGCTGTGGAAGATTTTGAAGAGGGAGCGGCGTGGCGCGGCAGGGCCAGGCTAGGGCTCTGAGGCTAGCTCAAGTCTTCCTGGTTTGAGAATGGACTGAGACCCCTTGCTGTGTCAACCCCTTATCAAGAGAGAGTGACTCAGTGATATCCAGCGTTTTGTGTTGATGTGAGTACCATTTTCCCAGTGTCTCAGGAATCGCTGGCCAAACCAAAGTGATTCAATAGTCGGTCAGCGGCATTGACACGTAACCTGAAAATACAGATGCAGGTCTTGTATTTTACTGGTCCAGTTCTACTTTTCATAGTATAATTGCTGTGATTTGAACTAGGGATCCTAAGCACTAAAAACTATTGTATGCACATTTATTTTTCTGTGAACGGGTATTGCATTCCAAGCCAAATTATTCCATTTCTTTTGCAGCGCCGAATTTTGGCGTTCTGGTCTGTGGTGCTCTGGGGAATGGAACGCCAAATTTTGGCGCTCTCTGTGGAATGCCAAAATTTGGCATGGAATCCGGAAACCAGGGATGGGAACGCCAAATCTTGGCGCTTTGGAAAAGACGCCACTCCAGTGGCGAGGAAACTTGCCACTGGATTTGGAGTGAAGCCTTTTTAATGCGATTTTAACCAGACTTCGCACCGCAAAGCCTGTGGCAAGTTTGCTTGCCACGAAATGGGCAAGCCGTTTTGAATGCCAAAAATTGGTCAGCTTTGACCCAAAATTCTCAGGGAGACTCATCCCTAGTAGTGTCATTGAATTGACTAGAATGGGCTTCTTATCTGCAAAAGTTTTCAAGAAAAAAAAGGAGTACCCTATTGCGCGACGCATGATGTAAGCCATAATTCGAACTTCAAAAGTTTCCGTTGATGTGTTCTATAACTTCAAAGCGTCATTATTATGCTCGCGTGGCACAATTTCAAACGTCTGTTTTAAGGGGAGGTTCTGGTGAAAATGCTATTTTCTTCTAAATAGGTCCCACTGTGAAAATTTGTTAAAAATTTGATGTCTTACCATATTAAAATATCTCAATGGGGAGGCACATTCTGTGCGCTGAACCCAGTCGCAGAGCCTTTTTCTCCTATTGAAGTAGTACATCAGTTACAAAAAAGTATTCAAAAAGTTCCCCATTTGGTCCATATCGATAGAAAATCATGCGCTGAAGTCAGTGTTACCAAACAAAATGCTCCCTCCTGAACTCGTTTCTGAGATAAATGCAGTCAAAGTTGGGATTTTTAACATGGGTCTTATGGGGATGGGTCTATAAACATTCTAACGTTTACTTAAGGCACATAAGGAGTAATAAGAAGGCAATGAAAAACTATAGTTAGATAAAAAACACTACATAGAATCAAAATCCTTCCAGAAAAACGGGGGTTCCTGTCAATAGGTGAGAACTACAGAACAAAGGATGTCCAAAAAATGCCCTCTTTTGGGTCAAAACGCGACTTTGGCCGTTTTTATAGTTGAATTGGTCAAAACCCTGTAGGTTAACATCAAAATTGCATATTACTTAAAAAAGAGTTTGGAGCTTTATCTGTAACTTGATGCAAAGCGTAGAGCATTACGACAAATTTTGATTTTAAATTTTTTTTTGGCGGGAAACCCTAGCTGATGTACTACTTTAAGTCTATAACTTAATACTCGCGACGCTCGCTGGGGGCTCCGCCCCCAGACCCCCGCATATGTGGGGCGCGTACCGAAGTATTTTTAGTAAGTCCGTGGTGACCAAAGGCAAATTTTCTAAGGAAGTAAATGTACTGCTTTGTTAAAAGGTCTATTAAACAGCTTTTGACCATATAATTAAGCTACTTTTACTGCCCAAATAGATAGCTTGTATTGCATTGGCTACTGTGGCAGGCAATGGGTGCATACAAGGTCCGGAAAATATTGAAGACTGCTTTGACAAGGATAGAGGTGAAAGGAAAAAACCGCAAGTCTCTACGACCACTCCTTGACCCCAAACATTTCTATGAGTGAGTGAGTCAGTCAGTCGGATTGGGGCCATATAGGTTCTTGATTGATGATTTTGAAGACGTTGCCGGTGACGGGGACCCGATTGCGGCATAGTTTCGGAAATGTCTCGACTTGACCTATCGGTAGGGCGAATAAAAATTTTCAGTCGGTCGGTCCCCTTTTTTGAAGATTGAATGGATTTTGTTGAATTTAGGCCTATTTAATCGTCTTGAGGATGTTGCCGGTGGCGGGGACCCGATTGCGGCACAGTTTCGGAAATTTCTCGACCAGACCTACCGATGGGGCGAATAAAATTTTTTAGTCGGTCGGTCCCCTTTTTTAAAGATTAAGTAGGTTTGCTCGGAAACGTTGAAGAATTTTCAACTTTTGGGATTTTTCCCCATTTTCCCATAAAATTTGGAATCGAATGGAAAAAACCGCAAGTCTCTACGATTACTCCTTTACCCCAAACATTTCTATGAGTGAGTGAGTCAGTGAGTCAGTCGGATTGGGGCTATATAGGTTCTTGATATATGATATATAGGTTCTTGAAATCTTCTTGCGCATACTATTTTGTCGTAAAAGGTTGGCCTTGACATTTTTCACTTCTACGATTTATTTTTAAAAAATGCCGGCATGCAGAACTCAAAACGTAAATTACATTTTTATTCGCAAGCTTTCTAACCAAGCATTTCACTATAATTGACCAAAAATGTTCAAAATAGTCAAATTTTAGGGACTTTTCAGCTTAAAAAGCTTACAATTAATAATGTAACGGAAATTTTGAGCTATGCATGACGGAATCTTTTGAAAAAGAATCAAAGAAGTGAAAAATGTCAAGGTCAACCTTTTACGACAAAATAGTATGCGCGAGAAAATTTTTAAAGATGCCGGGTGAGAGCCAAAATAGGCTCAAAAAGACTCCTCCACTGGGTTCAGAGCCTAGCATGTGCCTTCAAAGGTCAAATGTTAGTCTCCTGAAAGAAAGATTTCATATTCCGAACAAATTGTGATAGTGGAATCCATTTGGAAAATGGCAAGATTTTCACCAGAACCTCCCCTTAATTGATTTTGCTGTGTTGTAACTAACTGGCCCATCCTCGAATGTTAGGAGCTGCTCCCCGCCGGGCTACGGAGAAATGCGTGGTTGCGTTACGTTCGCTCAATATGATACTTAAAGGATAAACTGGGGGATGATCGGTTACTGGTGAAACCCAGACGGAAACTCACAGCGTAGATATTAAATTTTGGGCCGGTTTCAATGGTGGTGCAGTTTCACCGAGTTTAACCTTCTTTCAAAGCAATAAAATTGTACCGGTGGCTACCGTGTCGATTTGAAATTAATAAGCTCGTTATAATAGAAGATTGATCACTCTCATTTCCCTTGGGAGCCCTGAAGCCCTGATTGCGTATGAGTGTTGGTTACGAACTGCCCATTCACCCTTCACTCCTGTCGCGTTGGTTCCAGCGTCCGGTGCACCGGAAGACCTCCACCTGCGCATCGCCGAGTCGTTCTCGCTGGCCACCCTGGTCGTCGACGAGGGGCCGGTGGGGGCGGCTTTGCGAAAGAACCCAGCCAGGAAGACGCGGCCTGCCTTCGAGGGCGGGGAGAGCTCCGGCAAGGCAGAGGGCCGCGAGCAGCGGCCGGGAAGTCTCGCCGGGAAGGGGCGCTACTCGTGCACGGAGTGCGGCCAGCGGTGTCCCTCATCTTCCCACCTCAAGATCCACTCCAGGGTCCACACCGGGGAGAGGCCTTTCGAGTGTGGTGTGTGTGGGATGAAGTTCATTCAAAAGAGTAATCTTACCACGCACAGTCGGATCCACACCGGGGAAAGGCCTTTCCAGTGTAGTGTGTGTGGGAAGAAGTTCGCTGCAAAGGCGGATCTGACCACGCACAATCGGATCCACACCGGGGAGTGGCCGTACGAGTGTGGAGTTTGTGGAAAGAAGTTCAGACAGAAGGCACATCTAAACGTGCACATGAGGATCCACACTGGAGAGAAGCCCTTCAAGTGTGGCTTTTGTGGAAAAAAGTTCTCAGATCAAACAAACTTTGCAAAGCACAAACGGCTTCACACCGGAGAGAAGCCTTTCGAGTGTGACGACTGTGGGAGTAAGTTTGCTAGGAAGGACGAACTGCGAAGCCACATCACGCACAAGCACCTTGCGAAGAAACCGTAGTGCGCAACGCTGCGTTGGGAAGCTCCGTCCACGGCAACGCACGCCCTCGACTTTGCAACGCTTTGATTCTTTTTCATTTTGGCGTTTGTAACGCGAAACATCCTTTTGGTGGTGGGGACGAGAGTCCGATAGTGGAAGTTCATTTATAATTGTGCAATCCTTTTTCGTTTTAATTAGCATTAGGTCTGAGTTGGTTGAGGATAAATTTTTCTTGGTAAGGTGATGATAAAAGTGGGCCACTGAATGTTATGTCTCAAAATGATTCTCCTGGGCAGAAAGCACTCTAAATGTTCCACGAAGATAATGCATGCACCGAATGCACTGAAACAAATTCCAAATGTTATTGTAAGACCCTTAAGGTGGGGGTCAAATAAAGACCAATATCGTGTAACATCTTTAAAATTTCATTTTTTTGCGCCCCGAAACTGAAAGTTAAGGGGAGATTCTGGTGAAAATCTTGCTATTTTCCAAATGGATCCCACTGTCACAATTTGTTCGGAATATAAAATGTTTCTTTGAGGAGACTTAAATTTGACTTTTGAAGGCACATGCCAGGCTCTGAGCCCAGTCGAAGAGCCTTTTTGAGCCTATTTTGCCTGTATCTTAAAAAATCTTCTTGCGCATACTATTTTGTCGTAAAAGGTTGACCTTGACATTTTTCACTTCTTCGATTCATTTTCAAAAGATGCCAGCATGCATAGCTCAAAATTTCCATTTCATTATTAATTGTAAGCTTTTTAAGCTGAAAAGTCCCTAAAATTTGTCAATTTTGAACATTTTTGGTCAATTATAGTGAAATGCTTGGTTAGAAAGCTTGCGAATTAAAATGTAATTTACGTTTTGAGTTCTGAATGCCGGCATCTTTTAAAAGTAAATCGAAGAAGTGAAAAATAACAGGGCCAACCTTTTACGACAAAATAGTATGCGCAAGAAGATTTTTAAAGTTAAGGGGAGGTTCTGGTGAAAATGCTATTTTCTCCTAAATAGGTCCCACTGTGAAAATTTGTTAAAAATTGGATGTCTTATCTAGTATTTATTAAAATTTTTCATTGGGGAGGCACATTCTATGCCCTGAATCCAGTCGCAGAGCCTTTTTCTCCCATTTAGGCTATAACTTTAAAAGTCTTCTTGCGCATACTATTTTGTCGTAAAAGGTTGGCTTAGACATTTTTCACTTCTTCGATTCATTTTTTAAAAATGCCGGCATGCCCATCTCAAAATGTCAATTGCATTTTTATTCGCAAGCTATCTAACCAGGCATTTCACTAAAATTGATCAAAAATGTACAAAATAGACAAATTTTAGGGACTTTTCAGCTTAAAAAGCTAATAATTATTAATATAATGGAAGTTTTGAGCTATGCATGCCGGAATCTTTTGAAAATGAGTCGAAGAAGTGAAAAATGTCAAGGTCAACCTTTTACAACAAAATAGTATGTGCAAGGAGATTTTTCAAGATACAGCCAAAATAGGCTCAAAAAGACTCTTCGACTGGATTTACAGCCTGGCATGTGCCTTCAAAAGTCAAATTTTAGTCTCCTCAATGAAAAATTTTATATTCCGAACAAATTATGACTGTAGGATCCATTTGGAAAATGGCAAGATTTTCACCAGAACCTCCCCTTAAAGCCAAATAGGAGAAAAAGGCTCTGCGACTGGGTTCAGCGCACAGGATGTGCCTCCCCATTGAAAATTTTTAATAATAACTTGGTAAAACATCAAATTTTTACCAAATTTTCACAGAGGGACCTATTTAGGAGAAAAAAGCATTTTCACCAGAACCTCTCCTTAAGAAAAACAACAAGTTCTTGCACTGCAAAAATGATTACATATCCAAATTTCTATCATTTCCAGCCCCCAAAGAACAGCACTGGGACCTGCGATGTTGTTGCTTTGAGGTCTTGAAACGATGGAGATCGGTTTTTGTAATTATATCTTGAGATTCTATTGTTTGCAACTGAATATTTGCTTCACCAACTGTCTCGGCACGCACAAATATTCAGAAAGCGACGTGGGTCATGAAGTTATCGGCTGTCGCAGGGTCGCGACTTGCGTGTTCATTTTTCTCCTTTGCCTGACTGAATCTCATTGGCTGTTTCAGGCCCAGCGACGTTTCGCCTGCGGCCTCGTCTTCTTGCGGCTTGTGCTTGCATGGTTTGCTTGGTGCGAGTTGCGGATGTAGTTTGTTCCATGCAGTGCCGTTTCGCTTCGCGCCGTGTCTACACTCCAAATCCAGGGTGTCTAGAAACTATACGCCTTAGGCGCATGCCACAGAAATGGAACTGCCTTAAGGCGCCTTGATTCTACACGCCAAAGGCGTATACCCCATTGAGCACCTTTTGCAGATAGAAGTTAGCATGTGAGCACCATTGGTCGAAGGAAAGGTGCGTGCATTGTACACAACCCTGGATCATAGGCACTGAGCTCAACAGGACTCAAGGTGCGTAGAATGTAAACACCCTTTAAGGCCTCGGTAGGCATGGCCTCGGCCAAGGGCGGTGTTTGCATTCAACGCACCTTGAGTCCTGTTGAGCTCAGTGCCTATGATCCAGGGTGTGTACAATGCACGCACCTTTCCTTCGACCAATGGTGCTCACATGCTAACTTCTATCTGCAAAAGGTGCTCAATGGGGTATACGCCTTTGGCGTGTAGAATCAAGGCGCCTTAAGGCAGTTCCATTTCTGTGGCATGCGCCTAAGGCGTATAGTTTCTAGACACCCTGGATTTGGAGTGTAGTCAATGTGTCTTTGCCTTCGGCTGCTTTGTGCGGGTGGTGGTTTTTACATTGGGCTGGCCTTGGGAGGGACTCACTCCGCGATTCCGACCGCCCGTCGCTCAGTTCCGACAAGGCAGTCTTGGCGATCGCGCTGCTGTGCCTCGCTCGTTCCAACTTTCTGAGACTTGCTGTGTTGTTCGCAGGTTCAGTGAAGACGGAGGACCCAGATCGCTCTGCGCCGAACGGACGGGACCTCGAGGAGGACAGCGGCTCTGGAGGCGAAGGTGAGTGAAGCCTTGCTCCCAGTGAAAGGTTTTCGAACGTATCATTTCCTCGGTTTTGCTAGGTACAGTGCCAAAACCATTAGTAGCTTTATCGTCAGCAACAAACCTGATTGTCTATTAAGTACACTAGCATGCGTTTGTGTTGTACTTGCAAGATTGCATTTGTAAGTGTGTGCTTGGTAGGCAGTTACGTTTGTAGAGTGGTTTCAAGCGTACTTGTTTCTTTAAACCGATTAGCGCAACCGCCTCATAGCCCTGGTTCACGCCACCCCAAAAGCAAGACAAAACTTATAGTCGCTTGAGAACATTTCAAACATAACGTACTGAAGCGTTACTTTAGGCGTGGCTAAAGCGTGCAGCTAACCAACCTGCCTAACGCTTATTCCTGTCGCGTTGGTTCCAGCGTCCGGTGCACCGGAGGACCTCCCCCTGCGCATCGCCGAGTCGTTCTCGCTGGCCACCCTGGCCGTCGACGAGGGGCCGGTGGGGGCGGCCCCGCGGAAGAACCCAGCCAGGAAGACGCGGCCTGCCTTCGAGGGCGGGGAGAGCTCCGGCAAGGCAGAGGGCCGCGAGCAGCGGCCGGGAAGTCTCGCCGGGAAGGGGCGCTACTCGTGCACGGAGTGCGGCCAGCGGTGTCGTACACCTTCACTCCTCAAGACCCACTCCAGGGTCCACACCGGGGAGAGGCCTTTCGAGTGTGGTGTGTGTGGGAAGAAGTTCTCTCTTAAGACTCACCTTACTAGGCACAGTCGGATCCACACCGGGGAGAGGCCGTACGAGTGTGGTGTGTGTTGGAGGAAGTTCTCTCTAAAGACTCATCTAAGCAGGCACAGTCTGATCCACACCGGAAAGAAGCCTTTCAAGTGCGACTTTTGTGCAAAAAGTTCGCGGACCAAAGTCATTTTGCACGGCACAAACGGCTTCACACCGGAGTGAAGCCTTTCGAGTGTGACGACTGCGGGAGTAAGTTCGCCAGGAAGGACGAACTGCGAAGCCACATGACGCACAAGCACCTTGCGAAGAAACCGTAGTGCGAAACGCTGCGTCGGGAAGCTCCGTCCATGGCAACACGCACGCCCTTGACATTATATCGATTTTTTTTTATTTTGGCGTTTGTTACGCGAAAAATCTTGTTGTTGGTTTGGGAAGAGAGTCCTATGGTGGAAGTTAATTTTGAATTGTGTACTTCTTTTTTCGTTTGTATAAGCATTGGGGCTGAGTTGGTTGAGGATAAATACATCTATGTAAGATTGTGATTAAAGTTTACCACTGAATCCTACGCTTCATGGTGATTCTCCTGGGAAGGAAGCACTCTAAATGTTCCATGAAGTTTATGCATGCACTGAAACAAATTCTAAATGTTGTGAGACCCTTGAAGTGGGGGCCAAAAGAGACCAATATCGTGGAACATCTTTAAAATATCATTTTTTGCGCCCCGAATCTGAAAGTCAAGAAAAACGTCAAGTTCTTGCGCTGCAAATATGATTACATATCCGAATTTCTATCATTTCCAGCCCCTAAACAACAGCACTAGGACCTTCGTTGTTGTTGCTTTGAGGTCTAGAAAACGATAGAGATCTGTTTTTGTTATTATCATTTGAGAAGTTAATGCTTGCAACTGAATGTTTGCTTCACCAACTGTTTCGGAACGCCCAAACTTCCAGAAAGTGATGCGAGTCATGAAGTTACCGGCTGTCGCAGGGTCGCGACTTGCGTGTTCATTTTCCTCCTTTCCCTGACTGAATCTCATTGGCTGTTCCAGGCCCAGCGACGTCTCGCCTCGCGGCCTCGTCTTCTTGCGGCTTGTGCTTGCATGGTTTGCTTGGTGCGCGTGGCGGATGTAGTTTGTTCCATGCAGTGCCGTTTCGCTTCGCGCCGCATGTCTAGCCAGTGTGTCTTTGCCTTCGGCTGCTTTGTGCGGGTGGTGGTTTTTACATTGGGCTGGCCTTGGGAGGGACTCACTCCGCGATTCCGACCGCCCGTCGCTCAGTTCCGACAAGGCAGTCTTGGCGATCGCGCTGCTGTGCATCGCTCGTTCCAACTTTCTGAGACTTGCTGTGTTGTTCGCAGGTGCAGTGAAGACAGAGGACCCAGATCGCTCTGCGCCGAACGGACGGGACCTCGAGGAGGACAGCGGCTCTGGAGGCGAAGGTGAGTGAAGCCTTGCTCCCAGTGAAAGGTTTTCGAACGTATCATTTCCTCGGTTTTGCTAGGTACAGTGCCAAAATCATTAGTAGCTTTATCGTCAGCAACAAACCTGATTGTCTATTAAGTACACACTTACAAATGCATACTTGGCAAGTACACACGTACAAACGCCTATGCTTAGCATGGTGTTATTCGGCGCCTAGCATGCGTTTGTGTTCTACTTGCAAGATTGCATTTGTAAGTGTGTGCTTGGTAGGCAGTTACGTTTGTAGAGTGGTTTCAAGCGTACTTGTTTCTTTAAACCGATTAGCGCAACCGCCTCATAGCCCTGGTTCACGCCACCCAAATGCAAGACAAAACTTATAGTCGCTTGAGAACATTTCAAACATAACGTACTGAAGCGTTACTTTAGGCGTGGCTAAAGCGTGCAGCTAACCAACCTGCCTAACGCTTATTCCTGTCGCGTTGGTTCCAGCATCCGGTGCACCGGAGGACCTCCACCTGCGCATCGCCGAGTCGTTCTCGCTGGCCACCCTGGCCGTCGACGAGGGGCCGGTGGGGGCGGCCCCGCGGAAGAACCCAGCCAGGAAGACGCGGCCCGCCTTCGAGGGCGGGGAGAGCTCCGGCAAGGCAGAGGGCCGCGAGCAGCGGCCGGGAAGTCTCGCCGGGAAGGGGCGCTACTCGTGCACGGAGTGCGGCCGGCACTGTCCCTCATCTTCCCACCTCAAGATCCACTCCAGGGTCCACACCGGGGAGAGGCCTTTCGAGTGTGGTGTGTGTGGGATGAAGTTCATTCAAAAGAGTAATCTTACCACGCACAGTCGGATCCACACCGGGGTGAGGCCGTACGAGTGTGGTGTGTGTTGGAGGAAGTTCTCTCTAAAGACTCATCTAAGCAGGCACAGTCTGATCCACACCGGAGAGAAGCCTTTCGAGTGCGACTTTTGTGGAAAAAAGTTCGCGGACCAAAGTCATTTTGCACGGCACAAACGGCTTCACACCGGAGTGAAGCCTTTCGAGTGTGACGACTGCGGGAGTAAGTTCGCCAGGAAGGACGAACTGCGAAGCCACATGACGCACAAGCACCTTGCGAAGAAACCATAGTGCGAAACGCTGCGTCGGGAAGCTCCGTCCGTGGAAACACGAACGCCCTTGACATTATATCGATTTTTTTTATTTTGGCGTTTGTTACGCGAAAAATCTTTTTGTTGGTGGGGAAGAGAGTCCTATGGTGGAAGTTAATTTTGAATTGTGTACTCCTTTTTCGTTTGTATAAGCATTGGGGCTGAGTTGGTTGAGGATAAATACATCTATGTAAGATTGTGATTAAAGTTTACTACTGAATCCTACGCTTCAAGGTGATTCTTTTGGGAAAGAAGCACTCTAAATGTTCCATAAAGTTGATGCATTAGGGTGTTTCACTTTTGCAAAAAGTTTCGAAATCTCATGACCGCCGGGTGAAAATTGATTTTTTATCCAAAAAAAAAGTTAACGTGTTTCGGGGTTTTCCAAATTTCGCAAAATTATAGGTCGCTCAACGCCTTTGAAAAATTTAGGCTGTTTTTACCTAAGTCCAAAATGCTGAAATCGCCAATTATTGACCGATTTGGACCATTCTGGGCTCATTTGAAAGGTTTTGAGCTGTACTTTAAGAATCTGTGGCCAGAAATTCGATTGGAGTCGTTTGTTAGGCTACAGAGCCACGTTTGTGTTTTTCAAGGCCCTAATTGCAACTTTGCGCGACTGTATCTTCGGCAGTTATAAACCGATTATCCCCCGCGATATCTCAAAACGACCGTCAGAGTCTCCCCTTTCCAACGGTGTGCTTGGATTGTCATTTGAAGCATTTGTCTAGTTTCTATGAGGCTCGAAGTACAGATATGCGACAAATTTTCATGTTTACCGTACACTTCTTGGACGAAAAGTGTACTGACGAGAGCCGATCCTCGCTCTTTCACCCCTATTTTCAGTTGCGCATGATGCTTTTACCACCTCAAAGCCGGCTGGTGCTGCTACATTGGCTCCAGGGACATATTAATAGCGTTCGATGTTGAAATCTCATGGTTAGGTCAGTGCTTTTACATCATTTACGGTGTCTCCCAGAACCTTACCTAACCAGTTTGCCACATTTCTTGTCTGGTTACGAAGTTATTCATAATGTATCGTTTTTATCTTTGTATAGGGTACTCTGGAGCAAACCTAGACCGGAAGTCAGCGACAGAACAGCAGAAACCAAGGAGCATCGCGCGGCTGCGGTGAGCGGTGGAGGGGGTCGAGATCGGCGGAGTGGGGGTGAAGGCGGCCCGCGCATGCACGTCTTGATACGGGACCACAAATCGCCGCCGCGCAGGTCCCCCTGGCGGCCGAGCCGAGCGGTGCCGAAGAGTGCCGAGCGGCCGGAGCCGAAGGGGACTTTGTGCCGTGCCGAGCACGGCAACCTGGGGCACGAAGGAGCCATAATCATCGAAATAACCTAAATGCTAATAGTTTTAACATCTATTAGCCAGGGGAAGGTCTTCGGCTTCGATTCAGAGCTAGATTCTGCTGCAGATGGAAATGCATGTTCGTCAGAAGGAAATTGTAGTATGTTGGTGTAGACAGAAGGCTACCTTAAAATTTTTAAAATAATTTGTCCAACCTATCCTAATTAAAACCAAACGGGCTCGCTACAGATCTTATTCTCATCGCGGCAGATCTATTTCTAATGTCAACAGATCTTAGCCTACTCTATACTCAAGATATTTCATGCTATAGTCGCGACAAGTTTCGGTCACTTGCGACCTGACCAACTTTACGTAACCTAACGTACCATATATAAACCAAACCTTAATATTCTTGAAACATATTGTCCAACCTAAAATTTGAACATAACTAAAACGGATGGGTGAAACCGAAAAATTAAAAACTGGCCAGTATTTGAACCGCCAATACTAGAGGCCGTAGACAGAGGTGGTACCCCGGAGCCACGGAGACATCTGCTGGGGAGGCGCTCGACAACTCTACTTGAGTGACTAAGCCCCCCGAGGGTCCGGGGTTATCCCTATCCTCAGAATACCCACGGGGACCTTCGGGCTTGCCTTCGGGCCGCGCTCGGCGAGGGGGACTTCGGGCGCGCTCGGAAGGGGACCTGCGCCGCGCCGATTTGTGGTCCCCTAACCGTTCCTGCGCATGCTGCCTCCACTCTGCCTATCCCGGCCCCCACCACCGCTAAACACGGCCTCGCGACGCTCTTTTGTTTCTCCCGGTCGGTCGCTAACTGCCGGTCTGAATAGAGCATTCTAGTCGTCGCCGATCGAAGAACATTAAGAAGAACAAAACCGGAAGCCGGGAAGAAACGGAGTAGGTATCAAGCCCGGTTTTAACGAGAAATTTCGACAAATATTTTTATTTCCCGAGTCAAAAAGTGTTTGAAACAAACGAAAGTGCTTTTGAAAGAGATTCGACACAGAAAACTAAAAAAATAGCCCACTCAGAGACGTCTGGGAGGTTATGTTGCCGGGGCCAGTTCCGGCTTTGTTCTTCTTCTTGTTCTTCGATCGGTGACGACTAGAATACTCTATTTACTCCGATGCATGTTCACTATCAGAGTGTTCTGAGAGCAAGCGCCTTCTGTAGTTGCGTCCACTTTCAGTGGGAGAGCTGTGGCAGAGGCTTTCGTTCAATGAATGGTTAGTGTGCGTGAAGTTTCGGCAGAGGGCGAAAGAGGCGTCTAATGAGAAAGCGCCTTCCAAAGTAGATGCAACTGCCAAAGGCACTTGCTCTCAGAACACTCCATTCTGTAAGAAATAAATTGGGAATAAACGAAGCTGCCTTGAACAAAACTGTAGTCAAAGGTTTCTTTGTAAATTCGCAAATATTATTCGTAAAAACTGTGAATCTTCGTGTATATACGAACAATCTAAACTAGGGGTACGCGCCGTTTTGTTTGGGCGCGTAGTAGGCGAGCGATGCGTCTGTATTCTTGTAGAAGATGGTGAAGAATATATGCAAAGTAAGGCCAATACAGGGTCAATGTGAAACTCAATTTTAAAAGTTTGGTCACAAATTGGTAAATTTTGGGGAAAGTAAAGGTCTGGGATGAAATTGGAAGTCATTTTCGTGATCAGCACACCAAAAACTGCAGGAAACTATGTAAAACTCGATGTAAAAATTTTGGTCCGAAATTGGTAAATATTTGGAAAAGTAAAGGTCTGAGATGAAATTGGAAGTCATTTTCGTTATCAGCGCATCAAAAACTGCAGGAAACTATGTAAAACTCGATGTAAAAATTTTGGTCCGAAATTGGTAAATATTTGGTAAAGTAAAGGTCTGAGATGAAATTGGAAGTCATTTTCGTGATCAGCACACCAAAAACTGCAGGAAACTATGTAAAGCTCGATGTAAAAATTTTGGTCCGAAATTGGTAAATATTTGGAAAAGTAAAGGTCAGAGATGAAATTGGAAGTCATTTTCGTGATCAGCACACCAAAAACTGCAGGAAACTATGTGAAACTCGATGTAAAAATTTTGGTCCAAAATTGGTAAATATTTGGAAAAGTAAAGGTCTGGGATGACATTGGAAGTCATTTTTGTGATCAGCACACCAAATACTGCAGAAAGCAATGAAACACCAAGGAAATTTTGGTCGCAAATCATGTAATTCTAGTTGAAAGTATGGGTCTTCAGTTGTTAGGTTTCTTAAGAGCGTTTCCTGTTCATAGTGTCATGCCACGAACCCTGACCCTGTTACTCGGTCGAGTAACATTTAACAGCCAGCATTGAATTGCTTAATACGATTCACAAATACTTCAATTACCATTCGATATCTCCTTGTTACTGAACTTATGAATACGCAATGTTATTAGTAATACCTAAATAGCCTTTCTCCCTTTTAGTTTAAACTAGTGGATTTAACTATATTGATTTATCTGCATTTAAAAAGAGACATATTTACAGGCAGGCTGATTTCAACTACTTTACGGAGAAGACCTTCTGTCAGATCCAATGAATCGTGTCATAGAATCCAATGTCGAGGCCACTTATTGCTAAATGCAAGTTTATCTTATTGATAATGATAGTCATGGTGTGTTATTTAATCTTTGAAACAGTTTAGCAAAAGTATTTACCTAACATTCTGAGTAAATTAAAAAAAAAGCAAACTCAAACCATGACCAACACAAATTACCAGTTGTCGCAGACAATGTATGATTAAGTTAAAAGAATCGTCTCATGAAATCAGATGACCAAGTCAGTGAATCGTCTCATTGAATCTGATGTCAATGTCAAACCTTGAATGCGCTACACTCACTCATCATATGGTTTTCTTTAAGGTTAGTACTATAGTAAACTCACAGCATTGCAATGAAGCCTTTTCCCAGAATCAGTGCCAAGAGTCAGCAAAGACTATTTATTTTGGCAAGATTAGCATCTGGTTTGAACTCATAGAATGTATTAATATATTTTCTAACTGTTATTGAGCAAAGCAAACAACTGGAAAATATAGTGTCTGAGAATATAAATGGAAATACACTCACAAAGGTTAAAAAGACCAAATCATTCTTGCAATTATCAAACACACTCCACTGACTAAAACATTTCCCCTGTAGCGGGGGAGGGGAGAGGGTGGACGGACGGACGAAACGCGTAATAATTGTCACTTTCATTTTCCGTATTTCACTGAGTTGACTCTCCGGAGGGGTTTCAATCATTCTAAAATATCGAAAAACTATGACCGTACTCACTTCTAAGCCCTTCTGCTCTTTAGTTTGTTTTATTTGCCAATGTTTTGCCAGGTCCCGTATTTGAGAGTCGCGGCCGCAAGTATGAAAAATTGCTACGAGCCACCAACCACTGCCAACCTAACCACGCTAAGAACCTAATTCAAAAAGATGTTTTGAATATTTCAAACAATAGTAATCGTGAATATAAGATAAACTCCCCCTGGGGGAGATTTAGGAGCCTTCCGGTGCGAAATTTTGAAACTATTTGTGCGGTAGTTGCTGAGAAACGTGAGTGAGTTACGGACACACAGACAGACAGACGCACGACCAGTCACTTTTTGGTACCCCCAAACACGGCATGGGCTCGCTATCGCTCGCCAATAATTAACGATGAATGTTCGTGGATTTACGAAGAACATTTGTAAATTACCAAGATTATTCGTGAATTCACGAAAGTGCTCCGGCTAAAATCTTCGCTAGAGGCTTCTTCGTATATTCCGAATATTTATCTTTACAGTGAAGTGTTGGTGAAAACCCTGGGAAAAAAAGGAAGTGGCAAGGTGTCACTGAGGTGGCAATGAAGTGGCTATTAAGGTAGTAAGTGGCAAGGTGGTTACAAAGTGGCAAGGTGGTTGTGAAGTGGCATGTAACTGGTCAAGTGGCGATAAAGAGCCAAGTGGTAAAGTGGCAATTAAAAATCCATACCAAGGGGGCAGAGCGTTAGGTAGGAGGCTGTGTTGTTTCTAGCCCATAACTCAATTGGATGCCAACAGATGGCGCCCAGCACTTTCCTGCCCGGCATCAGGCTCTCGGGGAAAAGGTTTTGTGCCAAACTACTTAGGCAGCTGCAGGAATCAGCACCGAGGCTGGACCTCATGATGCCAGACGGACTAAGTTGTGAGGCTGAAGGCAACTCTTCCGTAGTTGGACATACAATCTGAAGTCCTGGCCTTGGTCGCAATTCTTGACCATGAAGGTGATGTGGGTCTATGTTCATAGACGTACTGAATGGCTGTGCGGGCTTCTGCCTTGCAATAGTCAAATGTGTCAGAATTTCAACGTTTAATTAAATTTCTGAAACTCCGCCAAGTCATATAGTCCATTCGGAACTGTTAACATCTACTTAATTGCCACCTCGCCCCCTACTGGCCACTTCACCCCCTACTGGCCACTTCACCCCCTACTGGCCACTTCAACACCTTGCCACTTAAAATGTCAAAATCCACTTAAAAACCACCTTGCTAAGGTGGCAGTAAGGTGACACTTAAATGCCACTTAAATCACACCTCGCCACCTTCTTTTTTTCCCAGGGAATCAGTATGAGCAGGTTGACTTTTAGCTCAGCAAAATGCATCCATTGGTCCACAGACAGTGGTGCACAGTGAAATCCCCTGAAAAAGTATCTTTATAACCATAAAGAGTGTTGCTTGCTATCTAGCTCTAATCGGTAGAAACCGGTCAAATAGACCCCTAACCACAAAGGCGTTGACCACCTTTTGATACAAAATAGACTTAAACGAAAGATTAACCACAGTTTCGGAAAGATGTGAATTTGAAGTCTATTTTGGGATGTCGCGGGGAGACGTTAAACCATAGAAGGTGTAGAAACACTGACCTAAACATGAGATTTCAACATCGAACGCTATTAATATGTCCCTGGAGCCAATGTAGCAGCACCAGCCGGCTTTGAGGTGGTAAAAGCATCATGCGCAACTGAAAATAGGGGTGAAAGAGCGAGGATCGGCTCTCGTCAGTACACTTTTCGTCCAAGAAGTGTACGGTAAACATGAAAATTTGTCGCATATCTGTACTTCGAGCCTCATAGAAACTAGACAAATGCTTCAAATGACAATCCAAGCACACCGTTGGAAAGGGGAGACTCTGACGGTCGTTTTGAGATATCGCGGGGGAAAATCGGTTTATAACTGCCGAAGATACAGTCGCGCAAAGTTGCAATTAGGGCCTTGAAAAACACAAACGTGGCTCTGTAGCCTAACAAACGACTCCAATCGAATTTCTGGCCACAGATTCTTAAAGTACAGCTCAAAACCTTTCAAATGAGCCCAGAATGGTCCAAATCGGTCAATAATTGGCGATTTCAGCATTTTGGACTTAGGTAAAAACAGCCTAAATTTTTCAAAGGCGTTGAGCGACCTATAATTTTGCGAAATTTGGAAAACCCCGAAACACGTTAACTTTTTGTTTGGATAAAAAATCAATTTTCACCCGGCGGTCATGAGATTTCGAAACTTTTTGCAAAAGTGACACACCCTATTGATGCATGCACTGAAACAAATTCTAAATGTTGTAAGACCCTTGAAGTGGGGGCCAAGAGAGACAAATATCGTGGAACACCTTTAAAATATCATTTTTTGCGCCCCGTTTCTGAAAGTCAAGAAAAACATCAAGTTCTTGCGCTGCAAATATGATTACATATCCGAATTTCTATCATTTCCAGCCCCTAAACAACAGCACTAGGACCTGCGTTGTTGTTGCTGTGAGGTCTAGAAACGATAGAGATCTGTTTTTGTTATTATCTTTTGAGAAGTTAATGCTTGCAACTGAATGTTTGCTTCACCAACTGTTTCGGAACGCACAAATATTCAGAAAGCGACGTGGGTCAAGAAGTTACCGGCTGTCGCAGGGTCGCGACTTGCGTGTTCATTTTCCTCCTTTCCCTGACTGAATCTCATTGGCTGTTCCAGGCCCAGCGACGTCTCGCCTCGCGGCCTCGTCTTCTTGCGGCTTGTGCTTGCATGGTTTGCTTGGTGCGAGTGGCGGATGTAGTTTGTTCCATGCAGTGCCGTTTCGCTTCGCGCCGCATGTCCAGCCAATGTGTCTTTGCCTTCGGCTGCTTTGTGCGGGTGGTGGTTTTTACATTGGGCTGGCCTTGGGAGGGACTCACTCCGCGATTCCGACCGCCCGTCGCTCAGTTCCGACAAGGCAGTCTTGGCGATCGCGCTGCTGTGCCTCGCTCGTTCCAACTTTCTGAGACTTGCTGTGTTGTTCGCAGGTGCAGTGAAGACGGAGGACCCAGATCGCTCTGCGCCGAACGGACGGGACCTCGAGGAGGACAGCGGCTCTGGAGGCAAGGGTGAGTGAAGCCTTGCTCCCAGTGAAAGGTTTTCGAACGTATCATTTCCTCGGTTTTGCTAGGTACAGTGCCAAAACCATTAGTAGCTTTATCGTCTGCAACAAACCTGATTGTCTATTAAGTACACACTTACAAATGCATACTTGGCAAGTACACACGTACAAACGCCTATGCTTAGCATGGTGTTATTCGGCGCCTAGCATGCGTTTGTGTTCTACTTGCAAGATTGCATTTGTAAGTGTGTGCTTGGTAGGCAGTTACGTTTGTAGAGTGGTTTCAAGCGTACTTGTTTCTTTAAACCGATTAGCGCAACCGCCTCATAGCCCTGGTTCACGCCACCCAAATGCAAGACAAAACTTATAGTCGCTTGAGAACATTTCAAACATAACGTACTGAAGCGTTACTTTAGGCGTGGCTAAAGCGTGCAGCTAACCAACCTGCCTAACGCTTATTCCTGTCGCGTTGGTTCCAGCGTCCGGTGCACCGGAGGACCTCCCCCTGCGCATCGCCGAGTCGTTCTCGCTGGCCACCCTGGTCGTTGACGAGGGGCCGGTGGGGGCGGCCCCGCGGAAGAACCCAGCCAGGAAGACGCGGCCTGCCTTCGAGGGCGGGGAGAGCTCCGGCAAGGCGGAGGGCCGCGAGCAGCGGCCGGGAAGTCTCGCCGGGAAGGGGCGCTACTCGTGCACGGAGTGCGGCCAGCGGTGTCCCTCATCTTCCCACCTCAAGACCCACTCCAGGGTCCACACCGGGGAGAGGCCTTTCGAGTGTGGTGTGTGTGGGAAGAAGTTCTCTCTTAAGACTCACCTTAAAGGCACAGTCGGATCCACACCGGGGAGAGGCCGTACGAGTGTGGTGTGTGTTGGAGGAAGTTCTCTCTAAAGACTCATCTAAGCAGGCACAGTCTGATCCACACCGGAAAGAAGCCTTTCAAGTGCGACTTTTGTGCAAAAAGTTCGCGGACCAAAGTCATTTTGCACGGCACAAACGGCTTCACACCGGAGTGAAGCCTTTCGAGTGTGACGACTGCGGGAGTAAGTTCGCCAGGAAGGACGAACTGCGAAGCCACATGACGCACAAGCACCTTGCGAAGAAACCGTAGTGCGAAACGCTGCGTCGGGAAGCTCCGTCCATGGCAACACGCACGCCCTTGACATTATATCGATTTTTTTTTATTTTGGCGTTTGTTACGCGAAAAATCTTGTTGTTGGTTTGGGAAGAGAGTCCTATGGTGGAAGTTAATTTTGAATTGTGTACTTCTTTTTTCGTTTGTATAAGCATTGGGGCTGAGTTGGTTGAGGATAAATACATCTATGTAAGATTGTGATTAAAGTTTACCACTGAATCCTACGCTTCATGGTGATTCTCCTGGGAAGGAAGCACTCTAAATGTTCCATGAAGTTTATGCATGCACTGAAACAAATTCTAAACGTTGTAAGACCCTTGAAGTGGGGGCCAAAAGAGACCAATATCGTGGAACATCTTTAAAATATCATTTTTTGCGCCCCGAATCTGAAAGTCAAGAAAAACGTCAAGTTCTTGCGCTGCAAATATGATTACATATCCGAATTTCTATCATTTCCAGCCCCTAAACAACAGCACTAGGACCTTCGTTGTTGTTGCTTTGAGGTCTAGAAACGATAGAGATCTGTTTTTGTTATTATCATTTGAGAAGTTAATGCTTGCAACTGAATGTTTGCTTCACCAACTGTTTCGGAACGCCCAAACTTCCAGAAAGTGATGCGAGTCATGAAGTTACCGGCTGTCGCAGGGTCGCGACTTGCGTGTTCATTTTCCTCCTTTCCCTGACTGAATCTCATTGGCTGTTCCAGGCCCAGCGACGTCTCGCCTCGCGGCCTCGTCTTCTTGCGGCTTGTGCTTGCATGGTTTGCTTGGTGCGCGTGGCGGATGTAGTTTGTTCCATGCAGTGCCGTTTCGCTTCGCGCCGCATGTCTAGCCAGTGTGTCTTTGCCTTCGGCTGCTTTGTGCGGGTGGTGGTTTTTACATTGGGCTGGCCTTGGGAGGGACTCACTCCGCGATTCCGACCGCCCGTCGCTCAGTTCCGACAAGGCAGTCTTGGCGATCGCGCTGCTGTGCATCGCTCGTTCCAACTTTCTGAGACTTGCTGTGTTGTTCGCAGGTGCAGTGAAGACAGAGGACCCAGATCGCTCTGCGCCGAACGGACGGGACCTCGAGGAGGACAGCGGCTCTGGAGGCGAAGGTGAGTGAAGCCTTGCTCCCAGTGAAAGGTTTTCGAACGTATCATTTCCTCGGTTTTGCTGGGTACAGTGCCAAAATCATTAGTAGCTTTATCGTCAGCAACAAACCTGATTGTCTATTAAGTACACACTTACAAATGCATACTTGGCAAGTACGCACGTACAAGAGCAGTTCTCGCGAAATGGTTAATTTTGGGCCCTGAAACTTTTTGAAAAAAAGTTCAATTGAAACCGGTTTTTTTGCATTGATCTTGTTAAGAACATCACTAGGGATCATGGATTCATCGGGGCGAGCTATCACCCCAATAATATAGGAAATATCGCAATTTTAATTTTTTTGCCGTCCACGGAAATTACACAGCCTCAGAAACTGTCCACGGAAATTACATTTTAATGGGCCCTTAGAATAGGTGCGATACGAACGCAAACGCCTAGCAGTTTAGGCAGCTCCCTGCACATCTGTGCATTCTGGTTCCATGTTGCGTACCTCACAATAAAATTTCGGGCTAGACCACAATTTGATCGTATGCCGTTTCGGGCCCGACACATGCCCGCGTGCACCTGCCAAACGGGACACGGCCGTCCTTACTGGGGTGCCACGTTATACTGGCGGAGAAGAACCTCGTGCGGCTACAAGGTCCCACTCGTAGTGTGACCAGTATGTGACGAGGTGTACATTCCCCTCCCCCCCCCCATGGGGGGGGGGGGGGGCACCCTAGTACAGCCTCTTTGAGCAGGACTGGGTCCGGTGTCCACCTCTCCCGGCTTAATTTCCTTGTCTCGGTAACAACTGTGAATTCATTTTCTTCTGACCACGGTTGCATAGTGTTTACCTCCCAGGCGGTACCTCTCACACTTGGCAAATGATGGGCCCTAGAGTGGACAACGGAGGAAAGTTTCTCTTGATCAGTTCCTGCGTGTCTATGTTCGGAAAATATTAAATAATGGGTGCGATCAGTTGAGGAAAAGTTGATCGGCGGGTCGAGACAGCGGCCCGCTCGCGGTGCGGTCTATTTAGCCCTCCTGGAACACTGTACGAAAAAAACACAGTGAATCCCGTTAATTTTTTTGCCGGGATTTACTGTAGCTCAGAACACAGGATTTACTGTGCCTGGCAACAGTACTTACTGTACCAGGTACAGGATATTCCGTACTTCACTCCTGTGGTACAGTAAAGTCCGTACAAAGTACAGTAGATCCTGTAAAAAAAGTACAGTAAATCCTGTACTCTGAACTACAGTGCCAGCTGTACTAATCACTACAGGATTTACTGTGATTTTTTCCCACAGTGAAGCATATCTGGCACCCACGTTTACTAACCTATTCGGAAAGATTTCTTTTTGAGTTTGAGGAACAGATTGCTGCAATTTATTCGATAAACTGGGTCTTAGCATTCGAACGGAAAGCTTAGGAAAAACGTCATGTTGCTTAACATATCGGTCAGGTTAAGTCCACCGCAAGTCTTAAATGGTCAGCTAGATCCCAAAATACAGCGAGCCTATTTTTCGCAAGACATTAAGCTTTCGGTTAAGCTTTCCGATCTGAATAATCAACGTTGAACGGTTTCACTGACTCGCAGTCACAACTGTCAAGGCAGTATGCCGGCCGCGCCGAACAAAGCAGCACTGTAAAAAAAGTATTACTGAAATTTCATAATTTTAGTCTGAAGTTTTTAAACAGACTAGTGGTCTGAAAATTCAGAGTAATTATTCAGACCATTCTGTCTGAATTCCAAATTCAGACTACTTGTCTGAAAAACATTTTCAGACTGCTCATTTTCAGACTGCTACTCTGCAATATTAAATAAAAGTGCCATCTATAAATCAAAGAGAAAGAAATCAACAAGAGAACAATATGAACCACCAACGTGTGACGGTACCTCCTTTCCCCTTTTCACTTGCTCGCTTCGGCCCGGGTTCGTTCCGGGACTTTTTGGTTACGAGACGAGCTCGGTACAACTGCGCTACGGGCGCTGCCTGGCGGCGGGGGAAGCCGTGCCGCGTGACTCTCTTCAGAGGATACCAGCTCCTTTCGGCAAGTCCAGAATGCAAGTTCGGACAACTCTCACGGTTAATCTACCGTACACAGACGAATCTGCGTGAAGGACGGGTGTACATTATTATTTCCGATAAATTTATACAACGCCTTACGCCTAGACTTGATTAGTAGGCAATCTGTCAAAATTTTCATACCAAAATTATGAAAACAGGTTTCAGGATGACAAGTCTGAAAACTTTATCAGAATTTTCAGACCTTCTGCTTAAAATTCAGACTAACCGGTGTGATCTCAAATTTCAGAGTTCCTAGTCTGAAAATTCAAAGCAACTTTCTGAATTACCGATTCAGACTGCAAAGACTGAACAAATTGTACTGAAATTTCAAAATTTTTTTTGGCTGAGCGATAGCGAAGCCCTTGCCGTGTTTGGGCGCACCAAAAACTGACTGGTCGTGCGTCTGTCTGTCTGTAACTCACTCACGTTTCTCAGCAACTACTGATCGAATAGTATCCAAACTTCACACCTGATGTGTCCTAAACACCCTTCAGGGGGAGTTTATCTTAGATCAGCAATAATCATCGTTTGAAATATTCAAAACACCGTTTTGAACTAGGTTATTAGCGTTGTTAGGTTGGTAGCACCGTGTGGCCGCCCAATTTCTCATACCGGTAGCCGCGCTTGCAAGCCGTCTGCAAGACGGGACGGCACTTTTGCAAATAAACAAACTGAAGAGAAAAGGGGGCTCCGAAATAGGTTCTGAGTTACTTTTTTAATATTTAAGAATGATTGAAACCCTCCCGGATTGTCAACAGAGGAAAATACGAAAACTGAAAGTGAGAATGGTTTGCGTGTTTCGTTCCCCTCTCCCCCTCCCCCGTCACGGGGGAATCTTCCTTCAGGTCAGTGCACTGTGAGTGTAGTTGTGGATTGTAAATAGAATGTTTTCTTTGCCTTTTACTTTGTATGCATCTACTGATTTTGTTTCCTCTGATAACATCTTCACTTTTAAATAACATAGTCAATCAAATCAGGTAAATGCATGAATAACTTCTGTTGAAATTAGAAGACATGTTAATTGTCTTGGTTTGACTCGGGAAATGTCATTCTATTGCAATGATGCAAGTAACATAAATATTCTAGTCCTAACATCTTTTGATTAAAAGAATCAATATATAGATGTGTATATTTAATGCTAACAGATTTTGAATTGATATTGGTTAAAGAGACGATTCGGGTTTTTGAGCGGTGAGTGACTTGGCAATCGGATTTAATGTGAAGATTCCTTTCACTTCACCAAAGTTTGTGTCCGGTAAATGGAACTTAGTATTGGTAATGATTTAAAAGTTGGCTCTCTGAACCTTAGCCCAATACCCAATGTTAATACTATACTGTCATCTTTTACTCCAAAGATAAAATATCACAAGACATGAATAAGATGAATTATGTTGGCGTATTGAGCAACAAGTGGCCTCAGCATTGAACTTCATGAGACGATTGACTGAATTTGACAAAACTTGATCCCCGTCAAATGCTTCAGATCAGACTGCCCAAAAGTGAGTCACTTAATATAAACTATAATTACATATTCCAGTCTAAATTGTTTAATTCACTGGTTGAAAATGAAAGAATGACAAAAGGCTTCTCAAATATAACTAATAAATTTGTGAGTTCATTGGTTTGAAGAAAAATATAAATCGAATAGTAACTCAAGCAGACAAGTAGCCAATTAAGCGATTCAATGCTGGCAATAAAATGTTACTCGACTGAAGGAATCGCAGTGGTTAGGCATCATGGTATTGGTGACGACAAAGGGTGATCCATGAACGCAGACCCATACTTTACCCATTATAGATTAATTTGATATCTATATTTCTCAATTGAAACTCATATTGATTCTTGCAGTTTTTGGAGTGCTGATCATGAAAATCACTTCCATTTCTGCTCCAGACTTACATTTTAATCTCAAATTGGGTCATTTTGGACCAAAATTCTTAGGTCGAGTTTAATATTATTGATTCCTGCAGTCTTTGGTGAGCTGAACTCAAAAATAACTTCCAAATTTTTCCCAGACTCACGCCTGACCCAATTTTGACCAAATTTGGCCCAAAATTTTTTAATTGAGTTTGATGTTGATCCCAGTAGTTTTTTGTGTGCTGATAACGAAAATCACTTCCATTTTGACTCCAGACTTATATTTTCATCCCAAATAAGGTCATTTTGGATCAAAATTTTCAAGTCGAGTTCAATATTGTTTCCTACAGTTTTTGGTGTGCTGAACTCAAATATGACTTCTGAAATTTTCTCAGACTCACGCATTACCGAATTTTGACCAATTCTGGACCAAAATTTTTGAATCGAGTTTGACGTTTATCCCAACAGTTTTTTGTGTGCTGATAACGAAAATCACTTCCATTTATACACCAGACCTACATTTCACTATATATGAGCCCATAAGTTGCATATTTCGTCAACTTTAGCCAAGTCTGAAGTGTATAAACTAATTCTCATCGCTCAGCCACACTACGCGCCCACACTAAACGGCGCGTACCCCTAGTTTACAGTGAGCATAAAACCGCTTGGTTGTCCAGAAAATACAGTGTTTGACCAATCTGATGAGTGGAGTCGAAAGCTTAGACTCTTGCAAAAAGTCGGCTCGCTGCTCGTTTAGGTCCATTTTGTGACTTGCGGCGGGTTTAACCTGATGGATGTTGTGTTAAACTACGCCACGACTTTCCTCAGCTTGCCTTCCCATTCCCCATGCCCATTTCCCTCCAGGATGGCATTCCCTCCATAAGAGAGGTTTAAAACAGATAAATATCGACATACTTTAGAGCTGAGGCCCCTTGCGAGGCCAAAATCACGTGAAACGCAACGAAAACCTCATTTTGTCCACGGAAATTACAGTCCACGGAAATTACATTATTGCATAAAATGGGGTGTACAAGCCAAACCAGAAGTGCCACCGGAACCAAAATTTTACTGGAACAACTTGTCCACAAGGCAAACACACAAGGATTGGTTCGCAATCAAAATTTTGAATGGTCTGCAAGCAATGGGTGGAACGGAAATTACACTTATTGCTTGCTAGGCCAATTTTTTCGCCGCTTTGGAACTTATTTAACTTTATATTTTCTGTTCTAATGGTGCCACATTACTCCGCCACTTTGCAAATTGTGTAGAAAGAATGCACCAACAATATAAGAAAAGTTTCAGAACGGTCGCACATAAGGTAGAAAAACCGTCCCAAAAAAAACGATTTTAGACTTTTTGAATTTTAGTTGTGGAAGACAATTTTCGGAATCATCTTGTGTCTGCAAATTTTACCCGAGAGATACGTTCTACACGTCAAAACGTAGCCTCACTTGCGTAGAACAAAATGCACTTAGCGAAAGTGATTTCTTATACTCCCTTGGGCTGTAGTAGAGGCGGGAAGCCCCAAATCTGGAGCGTAGGACATCAAAAAGTGTCCACGGAAATTACATTCTAGGGAAAACTTGCAATTTAACGGTGGAAGGAGGCAAAATTTCATCTTGATGAGAGTTGTACCTTGTCCGCAAGGTCAAAAAACATAAAGGTAGGAAAAGACCCGGTTAAAATCGACTTTAGGTTGGAAGAATCAGAGAGAGGACACGAAATTATCACATCTCGCGAGAACTGCTCACAAACGCCTATGCTTAGCATGGTGTTATTCGGCGCCTAGCATGCGTTTGTGTGTTTACTTGCAAGAATGCATTTGTAAGTGTGTGCTTGGTAGACAGTTACGTTTGTAGTGTGGTTTCAAGCGTACTTCTTTCTTTAAACCGAGTAGCGCAACCGCCTCATAGCCCTGGTTCACCGCACCTTCAAGCAAGAGTACACTTTCAGTCGCTTGAGAACATTTCAAGCATAACGTCCTGAAGCGTTATTTCACGCGTGGCTAAAGCGTGCAGCCAACCAACCTGCCAACGCTTATTCCTGTCGCGTTGGTTCCAGCGTGCGGTGCACCGGAGGACCTCCAGCTGCGCATCGCCGAGACGTTCTCGCTGGCCACCCTGGCCGTCGACGAGGGGCCGGTGGGGGCGGCCCCGCGGAAGAAGCCAGCCAGGAAGACGCGGCCTGCCTTCGAGGGCGGGGAGAGCTCCGGCAAGGCAGAGGGCCGCGAGCAGCGGCCGGGAAGTCTCGCCGGGAAGGGGCGCTACTCGTGCACGGAGTGCGGCCAGCGGTGTCCCTCATCTTCCCACCTCAAGGCCCACTCCAGGGTCCACACCGGGGAGAGGCCTTTCCAGTGTGTTCTGTGTGGGGAGAAGTTCTCTGCAAAAACTACTCTAACCAGGCACAGTCTGATCCACACCGGGGAGAAGCCTCACGGGTGCGACGTGTGTGGAAAGAAGTTCAGACAAAAGGAAGATCTAACCGTGCACATGAGGATACACACAGGAGAGAAGCCATTCAAGTGTGCCTTTTGTGAAAAGAAGTTCGCGGATCAACGCTCTTTAGTGAGGCACAAACGGCTTCACACTGGAGAGCAGCCTTTCGAGTGTGACGACTGTGGGCGTAAGTTTGCCAGGAAGGACGAACTGCGAATCCACATCACGCACAAGCACCTTGCGAAGAAACCGTAGTGAGCAACGCTGCGTCGGGAAGCTCCGTCCATGGCCAAGCACGCCCTCGACATCGTAACGCTTTGATTCTTTTTCAATTTGGCGTTTGTAACGAAAAATCTTTTTGGTGGTGGGGACAAGATTTCCATGGTGGAAGTTAATTTTGAATTGTATATTCCTTTTTCGTTTGTATTAGCATTAGGGCTGCGTTGGTTGAGGAAAAGTTCCTCTTGATAAGATAATGATTAAAGTTTACCACTGAGTGTTGTGTTTCAAAATGATTCTCCCGAAAAAAAAAAAGCACTCTAAATGTTCAAGAATATTATGCACACTACAAGATCAAATGTGTGCTTAGTACACAGCTGTGGGAGCGTACTTGCAAGCACACATCTATAGGTGTATGCTTGCCAAGTACACATCTATAGGTGTATGCTTGGACAAGCACACATCTATAGATGTATGCTTGGACAAGCACACATCTATAGATGTATGCTTGGCCAAGCACACAGCTGTAGGAGTATGCCTTTAAATGGGTGGGATTAAAGTGTGCTTGGCCAAGCATACACCTATAGATGTGTACTTGCCAAGCATACACCTGTAGCTGTGTGCTTGCCAAGCACACACCTATAGATGTGTGCTTGTCCAAGCATACAGCTATAGATGTGTGCTTGCAAGTACGCTCCCATAGCTGTGTACTAAGCACACATTTGATCTTGTAGTGCATGCATTGAATGCACTGAAACAAATTCCAAATGTTATTGTAAGACGCTCAAAGTGGGGGCCAAAATTAGACTGTATCGTACAACATCTTAACAATTTTTATATTTGCCCCCCCCCCCCCCGGAACTGAAAGTCAAGAAAAACATGACGTTCTTACGCTGCAAAATTGATTGGAGATCCAAATTTCTATCATTTCCAGCCCCCAAACAACAGCACTGGGACCTGCGTTGTTGTTGCTTGAGGTCTAGAAACGATACAGATCCGTTTCTGTAATTATATTTTGAGATATTAATGTTTGTAACTGAATGTTTGCTTCACGAACGGTAACACGGGGAGAGGCCTTTCGATTGTAGTGTATGTCGGAAGAAGTCCTCGCTAAAGTCTAATCTAACCAGGCACAGTCGGATCCACACCAGGGAGAAGCCTTACGGGTGCGACGTGTGTGGAAAGAAGTTCACACAAAAGGTAGATCTAACCGTGCACGTGAATATCCACACCGGGGAGAAGCCTTTCCAGTGCGACTTCTGCGGAAAGGAGTTCGCGAATCGTGGCACTTTGGTGAAGCATGAGCGGCTTCACACCGGAAAGGAGCCTTTCGAGTGTGACGACTGCGGGCGTAAGTTTGCCAGGAAGGATAATCTGCGAATCCACATCACGCACAAGCATCTTGCGAAGAAACCGTAGTGCGAAACGCTGCGTCGGGAAGTTCCGCCCACGGCAGCACGCACGCCCTTGACATTTTATCGGTTTTTTTTATTTTGGCGTTTGTTTTGCGAAGAATCTATTTGTTTGTGGGGACGAGAGTCCTATGGTGGAAGTTAATTTTGAATTGTGTACTCCTTTTTCGTTTGTATAAGCATTAGGGCTGAGTTGGTTGAGGATAAATACCTCTATAAGTAAGATTATGATTAAAGTTTACCGCTGAATGTTCTGTCTCGAAGTGATTCTCCTCGGAAGGAAGCACTCTAAATGTTCCAAGAAGATTATGCATGCACTTAATGCACTGACACAAATTCCATATGTTGTAAGACTCTTGAAGTGGGGGCCAAAAAAAGACCAATATCGTGTAACATCTTTAAGGGGAGGTTCTGGCGAAAATGCTATTTTCTCCTAAATAGGTCCCACTGTGAAAATAAGTAAAAAATTGGATGTCTTACCAAGTAATTAATAAAAATTTTCATTGGGGACTCACATTCTATGCCCTGAACCCAGTCGAAGAGTCTTTTTGAGCCTATTTTGGCTGTAACTTTAAAAACCTTCTTGCGCATACTATTTTGTCGTAAAAGGTTGGCCTTTACATTTTTCACTTCTTTGATTCATTTTTAAAAAATGCCGGCATGCACAACTCAAAATGTAAATAACATTTTCATTCGCAAGCTTTCTACCCAAGCATTTCACTATAATTGATCAAAAATGTAGAAAATAGACAAATTTTAGGGACTTTTCAGCTTAAAAAGCTGACAGTTAATAATATAATGGAAATTTTGAGCTATGCATGCCGGAATTTTTTGAAAATGAATCAAAGAAGTGAAAAATGTCAAGGTCAACCTTTTACGACAAAATAGTATGCGCAAGGAGATTTTTTAAGATACAGCCAAAATAGGCTCAGAAAGACTCTTCGACTGGGTTCAGAGCCTGGGATGTGCCTTCAAAAATCAAATTTTAGTCTCCTCGAAGAAAGATTTTATATTCCGAACAAATTATGACACTGGGATCCATTTGGGAAATGGCAAGATTTTCACCAGAACCTCCCCTTAAAATATCATTTTTTGCGCCCCGAATCTGAAAGTCAAGAAAAACATCAAGTTCTTGCGCTGCTAATATGATTACACATCCGAGTTTCTTTCATTTCGAGCCCCCAAACAACAGCACTGGGACCTGCGTTGTTGTTGCTTTGAGGTCTAGAAACGATAGAGATCTGCTTTTGTAATTATCTTTTGAGAAATTAATGCTTGCAACTGAATGTTTGCTTCACCAACTGTTTCGGAACGAAAAAATTTCCAGAAAGTGACGTGGGTCATGAACTTATTGGCTGTCCCGTGGTCGTAACTTGCGTGTTCATTTTCCTTCCTTTGCCTGACTGAATCTCATTGGCTGTTCCAGGCCTAGCAACGTCTCGCCTCGCGGACTCGTCTTCTTGTGGCTTGTGCGTGCATGGTTTGCTTGGTGCGAGTTTCGGACTTAGTTTGTTCTATGCAGTGCCGTTTCGCTTCGCGCCGCATGTCCAGTCAATGTGTCTTTGCCTTCGGCTGCTTTGTGCGGGTGGTGGTTTTTACATTGGGCTGGCCTTGGGAGGGACTCACTCCGCGATTCCGACCGCCCGTCGCTCAGTTCCGACAAGGCAGTCTTGGCGATCGCGCTGCTGTGCCTCGCTCGTTCCAACTTTCTGAGACTTGCTGTGTTGTTCGCAGGTGCAGTGAAGACAGAGGACCCAGATCGCTCTGCGCCGAACGGACGGGACCTCGAGGAGGACAGCGGCTCTGGAGGCGAAGGTGAGTGAAGCCTTGCTCCCAGTGAAAGGTTTTCGAACGTATCATTTCCTCGGTTTTGCTGGGTACAGTGCCAAAATCATTAGTAGCTTTATCGTCAGCAACAAACCTGATTGTCTATTAAGTACACACTTACAAATGCATACTTGGCAAGTACGCACGTACAAGAGCAGTTCTCGCGAAATGGTTAATTTTGGGCCCTGAAACTTTTTGAAAAAAAGTTCAATTGAAACCGGTTTTTTTGCATTGATCTTGTTAAGAACATCACTAGGGATCATGGATTCATCGGGGCGAGCTATCACCCCAATAATATAGGAAATATCGCAATTTAAATTTTTTGGCCGTCCACGGAAATTAGACAGCCACAGAAACTGTCCACGGAAATTACATTTTAATGGGCCCTTAGAATAGGTGCGATACGAACGCAAACGCCTAGCAGTTTAGGCAGCTCCCTGCACATCTGTGCATTCTGGTTCCATGTTGCGTACCTCACAATAAAATTTCGGGCTAGACCACAATTTGATCGTATGCCGTTTCGGGCCCGACACATGCCCGCGTGCACCTGCCAAACGGGACACGGCCGTCCTTACTGGGGTGCCACGTTATACTGGCGGAGAAGAACCTCGTGCGGCTACAAGGTCCCACTCGTAGTGTGACCAGTATGTGACGAGGTGTACATTCCCCTCCCCCCCCCCATGGGGGGGGGGGGGCCACCCTAGTACAGCCTCTTTGAGCAGGACTGGGTCCGGTGTCCACCTCTCCCGGCTTAATTCCCTTGTCTCGGTAACAACTGTGAATTCATTTTCTTCTGACCACGGTTGCATAGTGTTTACCTCCCAGGCGGTACCTCTCACACTTGGCAAATGATGGGCCCTAGAGTGGACAACGGAGGAAAGTTCTCTTGATCAGTTCCTGCGTGTCTATGTTCGGAAAATATTAAATAATGGGTGCGATCAGTTGAGGAAAAGTTGATCGGCGGGTCGAGACAGCGGCCCGCTCGCGGTGCGGTCTATTTAGCCCTCCTGGAACACTGTACGAAAAAAACACAGTGAATCCCGTTAATTTTTTTGCCGGGATTTACTGTAGCTCAGAACACAGGATTTACTGTGCCTGGCAACAGTACTTACTGTACCAGGTACAGGATATTCCGTACTTCACTCCTGTGGTACAGTAAAGTCCGTACAAAGTACAGTAGATCCTGTAAAAAAAGTACAGTAAATCCTGTACTCTGAACTACAGTGCCAGCTGTACTAATCACTACAGGATTTACTGTGATTTTTTCCCACAGTGAAGCATATCTGGCACCCACGTTTACTAACCTATTCGGAAAGATTTCTTTTTGAGTTTGAGGAACAGATTGCTGCAATTTATTCGATAAACTGGGTCTTAGCATTCGAACGGAAAGCTTAGGAAAAACGTCATGTTGCTTAACATATCGGTCAGGTTAAGTCCACCGCAAGTCTTAAATGGTCAGCTAGATCCCAAAATACAGCGAGCCTATTTTTCGCAAGACATTAAGCTTTCGGTTAAGCTTTCCGATCTGAATAATCAACGTTGAACGGTTTCACTGACTCGCAGTCACAACTGTCAAGGCAGTATGCCGGCCGCGCCGAACAAAGCAGCACTGTAAAAAAAGTATTACTGAAATTTCATAATTATTAGTCTGAAGTTTTTAAACAGACTAGTGGTCTGAAAATTCAGAGTAATTATTCAGACCATTCTGTCTGAATTCCAAATTCAGACTACTTGTCTGAAAAACATTTTCAGACTGCTCATTTTCAGACTGCTACTCTGCAATATTAAATAAAAGTGCCATCTATAAATCAAAGAGAAAGAAATCAACAAGAGAACAATATGAACCACCAACGTGTGACGGTACCTCCTTTCCCCTTTTCACTTGCTCGCTTCGGCCCGGGTTCGTTCCGGGACTTTTTGGTTACGAGACGAGCTCGGTACAACTGCGCTACGGGCGCTGCCTGGCGGCGGGGGAAGCCGTGCCGCGTGACTCTCTTCAGAGGATACCAGCTCCTTTCGGCAAGTCCAGAATGCAAGTTCGGACAACTCTCACGGTTAATCTACCGTACACAGACGAATCTGCGTGAAGGACGGGTGTACATTATTATTTCCGATAAATTTATACAACGCCTTACGCCTAGACTTGATTAGTAGGCAATCTGTCAAAATTTTCATACCAAAATTATGAAAACAGGTTTCAGGATGACAAGTCTGAAAACTTTATCAGAATTTTCAGACCTTCTGCTTAAAATTCAGACTAACCGGTGTGATCTCAAATTTCAGAGTTTCTAGTCTGAAAATTCAAAGCAACTTTCTGAATTACCGATTCAGACTGCAAAGACTGAACAAATTGTACTGAAATTTCAGAATTTTTTTGGCTGAGCGATAGCGAAGCCCTTGCCGTGTTTGGGCGCACCAAAAACTGACTGGTCGTGCGTCTGTCTGTCTGTAACTCACTCACGTTTCTCAGCAACTACTGATCGAATAGTATCCAAACTTCACACCTGATGTGTCCTAAACACCCTTCAGGGGGAGTTTATCTTAGATCAGCAATAATCATCGTTTGAAATATTCAAAACACCGTTTTGAACTAGGTTATTAGCGTTGTTAGGTTGGTAGCACCGTGTGGCCGCCCAATTTCTCATACCGGTAGCCGCGCTTGCAAGCCGTCTGCAAGACGGGACGGCACTTTTGCAAATAAACAAACTGAAGAGCAAAGGAGCTCCGAAATAGGTTCTGAGTTACTTTTTTAATATTTAAGAATGATTGAAACCCTCCCGGATTGTCAACAGAGGAAAATACGAAAACTGAAAGTGAGAATGGTTTGCGTGTTTCGTTCCCCTCTCCCCCCTCCCCCGTCACGGGGGAATCTTCCTTCAGGTCAGTGCACTGTGAGTGTAGTTGTGGATTGTAAATAGAATGTTTTCTTTGCCTTTTACTTTATATGCATCTACTGATTTTGTTTCCTCTGATAACATCTTCATTTTTAAATAACATAGTCAATCAAATCAGGTAAATGCATGAATAACTTCTGTTGAAATTAGAAGACATGTTAATTGTCTTGGTTTGACTCGGGAAATGTCATTCTATTGCAATGATGCAAGTAACATAAATATTCTAGTCCTAACATCTTTTGTTTAAAAAGAATCAATATATAGATGTGTATTTTAATGCTAACAGATTTTGAATTGATATTGGGTTTAAAGAGACGATTCAGGTTTTGAGCGGTGAGTGACTTGGCAATCGGATTTAATGTGAAGATTCCTTTCACTTCACCAAAGTTTGTGTCCGGTAAATGGAACTTAGTATTGGTAATGATTTAAAAGTTGGCTCTCTGAACCTTAGCCCAATACCCAATGTTAATACTATACTGTCATTTTTTACTCCAAAGATAAAATATCACAAGACATGAATAAGATGAATTATGTTGGCGTATTGAGCAACAAGTGGCCTCAGCATTGAACTTCATGAGACGATTGACTGAATTTGACAAAACTTGATCCCCGTAAAATGCTTCAGATCAGACTGCCCAAAAGTGAGTCACTTAATATAAACTATAATTACATATTCCAGTCAAAATTGTTTAATTCACTGGTTGAAAATGAAAGAATGACAAAAGGCTTCTCAAATATAACTAATAAATTTGTGAGTTCATTGGTTTGAAGAAAAATATAAATCGAATAGTAACTCAAGCAGAAAGTAGCCAATTAAGCGATTCAATGCTGGCAAAAAATGTTACTCGACTGAAGGAATCGCAGTGGTTAGGCATCATGGTATTGGTGACGACAAAGGGTGATCCATGAACGCAGCCCCATACTTTACCCATTATAGTTTAAATTTGATATCTATTTTTCTCAATTGAAACTCATATTGATTCTTGCATTTTTTGGAGTGCTGATCATGAAAATCACTTCCTTTTCTGCTCCAGACTTACATTTTCATCTCAAATTGGGTCATTTTGGCCCAAAATTCTTAGGTCGAGTTTAATATTATTGATTCCTGCAGTCTTTGGTGAGCTGAACTCAAAAATAACTTCCAATTTTTCCCAGACTCACGCTTGACCCAATTTTGACCAAATTTGGGCCCAAAAATTTTTTTAAATTTAGTTTGATGTTGATCCCAGTAGTTTTTTTTGTGCTGTAACGAAAATCACTTCCATTTTGACTCCAGACTTATATTTTTATCCCAAATAAGGTCATTTTGGATCAAAATTTTCAAGTCGAGTTCAATTTGTTTCCTACAGTTTTTGGTGTGCTGAACTCAAATATGACTTCTGAAATTTTCTCAGACTCACGCATTACCGAATTTTGACCAAATTTTGGACCAAAATTTTTGAATCGAGTTTGACGTTTATCCCAACAGTTTTTTGTGTGCTGATAACGAAAATCACTTCCTTTTTAAACCCGACCTACATTTCACTATATATGAGCCCATAAGTTGCATATTTCGTCAACTTTAGCCAAGTCTGAAGTGTATAAACTAATTCTCATCGCTCAGCCACACTAGCGCCCCCACTAAACGGCGCGTACCCCCAGTTTACAGTGAGCATAAAAACCCCTTGGTTGTCCAGAAAATACAGTGTTTGACCAATCTGATGAGTGGAGTCGAAAGCTTAGACTCTTGCAAAAAGTCGGCTCGCTGCTCGTTTTGGTCCATTTTGTGACTTGCGGCGGGTTTAACCTGATGGATGTTGTGTTAAACTACGCCACGACTTTCCTCAGCTTGCCTTCCCATTCCCCATGCCCATTTCCCCCAGGATGGCATTCCCTCCATAAGAGAGGTTTAAAACAGATAAATATCGAATACTTTAGAGCTGAGGCCCCTTTCGAGGCCAAATCACGTGAAACGCAACGAAAACCTCATTTTGTCCACGGAAATTACAGTCCCCGGAAATTACATTATTGCATAAAATGGGGTGTACAAGCCAAAACCCGAAGTGCCACCGGAACCAAAATTTTTCTGGAACAACTTGTCCACAAGGCAAAAAACAAAGGGTTGGTTCGCAATCAAAATTTTTAATGGTCTGCAAGCAATGGGTGGAACGGAAATTACACTTATTGCTTGCTAGGCCAATTTTTTTGCCGCTTTGGAACTTATTTTAAATTTTTATTTTTTGTTCTAATGGTGCCCATTACTCCGCCACTTTGCAAATTTTGTAGAAAGAATGCACCAACAATAAGAAAAGTTTCAGAACGGTCGCACATAAGGTAGAAAAACCGCCCCAAAAAAAAACGATTTTAGACTTTTTGAATTTTAGTTGTGGAAGACAATTTTCGGAATCATCTTGTGTCTGCAAATTTTACCCGAGAGATACGTTCTACACGTCAAAACGTAGCCTCACTTGCGTAGAACAAAATGCACTTAGCGAAAGTGATTTCTTATACTCCCTTGGGCTGTAGTAGAGGCGGGAAGCCCCAAATCTGGAGCGTAGGACATCAAAAAGTGTCCAGGGAAAATTACATTCTAGGGAAAACTTGCAATTTAACGGTGGAAGGAGGCAAAATTTCATCTTGATGAGAGTTGTACCTTGTCCGCAAGGTAAAAAAACATAAAGGTAGGAAAAGACCCGGTTAAAATCGACTTTAGGTTGGAAAAACCAGAGAGAGGACACGAAATTATCACATCTCGCGAGAACTGCTCACAAACGCCTATGCTTAGCATGGTGTTATTCGGCGCCTAGAATGCGTTTGTGTGTTTACTTGCAAGAAGCATTTGTAAGTGTGTGCTTGGTAGACAGTTACGTTTGTAGTGTGGTTTCAAGCGTACTTCTTTTTTTAAAACCCGAGTAGCGCAACCGCCTCATAGCCCTGGTTCACCGCACCTTCAAGCAAGAGTACACTTTCAGTCGCTTGAGAACATTTCAAGCATAACGTCCTGAAGCGTTATTTCACGCGTGGCTAAAGCGTGCAGCCAACCAACCTGCCAACGCTTATTCCTGTCGCGTTGGTTCCAGCGTGCGGTGCACCGGAGGACCTCCAGCTGCGCATCGCCGAGACGTTCTCGCTGGCCACCCTGGCCGTCGACGAGGGGCCGGTGGGGGGGGCCCCCGCGGAAGAAGCCAGCCAGGAAGACGCGGCCTGCCTTTGAGGGCGGGGAGAGCTCCGGCAAGGCAGAGGGCCGCGAGCAGCGGCCGGGGAAATCTCGCCGGGAAGGGGGGGCTACTCGTGCACGGAGTGCGGCCAGCGGTGTCCCTCATCTTCCCACCTCAAGGCCCACTCCAGGGTCCACACCGGGGGGAGGCCTTTCCAGTGTGTTCTGTGTGGGGAGAAGTTCTCTGCAAAAACTACTCTAACCAGGCACAGTCTGATCCACACCGGGGAGAAGCCTCACGGGTGCGACGGGGTGTGGAAAGAAGTTCAGACAAAAAGGGAAAATCTAACCGTGCACATGAGGATACACACAGGAGAGAAGCCATTCAAGTGTGCCTTTTGTGAAAAGAAGTTCGCGGATCAACGCTCTTTAGTGAGGCACAAACGGCTTCACACTGGAGAGCAGCCTTTCGAGTGTGACGACTGTGGGCGTAAGTTTGCCAGGAAGGACGAACTGCGAATCCACATCACGCACAAGCACCTTTCGAAGAAACCGTAGTGAGCAACGCTGCGTCGGGAAGCTCCGTCCATGGCCAAGCACGCCCTCGACATCGTAACGCTTTGATTCTTTTTCAATTTGGCGTTTGTAACGAAAAATCTTTTTTGGGGGTGGGGACAAGATTTCCATGGTGGAAGTTAATTTTTAATTGTATATTTCCCTTTTTTGTTTGTATTAGCATTAGGGCTGCGTTGGTTGAGGAAAAGTTCCTCTTGATAAGATAATGATTAAAGTTTACCACTGAGTGTTGTGTTTCAAAAAGATTCTCCCGAAAAAAAAAAAGCACTCTAAATGTTCAAGAAAATTATGCACACTACAAGATCAAAAGTGTGCTTAGTACACAGCTGTGGGAGCGTACTTGCAAGCACACATCTATAGGTGTTTCTTGCCAAGTACACATCTATAGGTGTTTCTTGGACAAGCACACATCTATAGATGTATGCTTGGACAAGCACACATCTATAGATGTATGCTTGGCCAAGCACACAGCTGTAGGAGTATGCCTTTAAATGGGTGGGATTAAAGTGTGCTTGGCCAAGCATACACCTATAGATGTGTACTTGCCAAGCATACACCTGTAGCTGTGTGCTTGCCAAGCACACACCTATAGATGTGTGCTTGTCCAAGCATACAGCTATAGATGTGTGCTTGCAAGTACGCTCCCATAGCTGTGTACTAAGCACACATTTGATCTTGTAGTGCATGCATTGAATGCACTGAAACAAATTCCAAATGTTATTGTAAGACGCTCAAAGTGGGGGCCAAAATTAGACTGTATCGTACAACATCTTAACAATTTTTATATTTGCCCCCCCCCCCCCCCCGGAACTGAAAGTCAAGAAAAACATGACGTTCTTACGCTGCAAAATTGATTGGAGATCCAAATTTCTATCATTTCCAGCCCCCAAACAACAGCACTGGGACCTGCGTTGTTGTTGCTTGAGGTCTAGAAACGATACAGATCCGTTTCTGTAATTATATTTTGAGATATTAATGTTTGTAACTGAATGTTTGCTTCACGAACGGTAACACGGGGAGAGGCCTTTCGATTGTAGTGTATGTCGGAAGAAGTCCTCGCTAAAGTCTAATCTAACCAGGCACAGTCGGATCCACACCAGGGAGAAGCCTTACGGGTGCGACGTGTGTGGAAAGAAGTTCACACAAAAGGTAGATCTAACCGTGCACGTGAATATCCACACCGGGGAGAAGCCTTTCCAGTGCGACTTCTGCGGAAAGGAGTTCGCGAATCGTGGCACTTTGGTGAAGCATGAGCGGCTTCACACCGGAAAGGAGCCTTTCGAGTGTGACGACTGCGGGCGTAAGTTTGCCAGGAAGGATAATCTGCGAATCCACATCACGCACAAGCATCTTGCGAAGAAACCGTAGTGCGAAACGCTGCGTCGGGAAGTTCCGCCCACGGCAGCACGCACGCCCTTGACATTTTATCGGTTTTTTTTATTTTGGCGTTTGTTTTGCGAAGAATCTATTTGTTTGTGGGGACGAGAGTCCTATGGTGGAAGTTAATTTTGAATTGTGTACTCCTTTTTCGTTTGTATAAGCATTAGGGCTGAGTTGGTTGAGGATAAATACCTCTATAAGTAAGATTATGATTAAAGTTTACCGCTGAATGTTCTGTCTCGAAGTGATTCTCCTCGGAAGGAAGCACTCTAAATGTTCCAAGAAGATTATGCATGCACTTAATGCACTGACACAAATTCCATATGTTGTAAGACTCTTGAAGTGGGGGCCAAAAAAAGACCAATATCGTGTAACATCTTTAAGGGGAGGTTCTGGCGAAAATGCTATTTTCTCCTAAATAGGTCCCACTGTGAAAATAAGTAAAAAATTGGATGTCTTACCAAGTAATTAATAAAAATTTTCATTGGGGACTCACATTCTATGCCCTGAACCCAGTCGAAGAGTCTTTTTGAGCCTATTTTGGCTGTAACTTTAAAAACCTTCTTGCGCATACTATTTTGTCGTAAAAGGTTGGCCTTTACATTTTTCACTTCTTTGATTCATTTTTAAAAAATGCCGGCATGCACAACTCAAAATGTAAATAACATTTTCATTCGCAAGCTTTCTACCCAAGCATTTCACTATAATTGATCAAAAATGTAGAAAATAGACAAATTTTAGGGACTTTTCAGCTTAAAAAGCTGACAGTTAATAATATAATGGAAATTTTGAGCTATGCATGCCGGAATTTTTTGAAAATGAATCAAAGAAGTGAAAAATGTCAAGGTCAACCTTTTACGACAAAATAGTATGCGCAAGGAGATTTTTTAAGATACAGCCAAAATAGGCTCAGAAAGACTCTTCGACTGGGTTCAGAGCCTGGGATGTGCCTTCAAAATCAAATTTTAGTCTCCTCGAAGAAAGATTTTATATTCCGAACAAATTATGACACTGGGATCCATTTGGGAAATGGCAAGATTTTCACCAGAACCTCCCCTTAAAATATCATTTTTTGCGCCCCGAATCTGAAAGTCAAGAAAAACATCAAGTTCTTGCGCTGCTAATATGATTACACATCCGAGTTTCTTTCATTTCGAGCCCCCAAACAACAGCACTGGGACCTGCGTTGTTGTTGCTTTGAGGTCTAGAAACGATAGAGATCTGCTTTTGTAATTATCTTTTGAGAAATTAATGCTTGCAACTGAATGTTTGCTTCACCAACTGTTTCGGAACGAAAAAATTTCCAGAAAGTGACGTGGGTCATGAACTTATTGGCTGTCCCGTGGTCGTAACTTGCGTGTTCATTTTCCTTCCTTTGCCTGACTGAATCTCATTGGCTGTTCCAGGCCTAGCAACGTCTCGCCTCGCGGACTCGTCTTCTTGTGGCTTGTGCGTGCATGGTTTGCTTGGTGCGAGTTTCGGACTTAGTTTGTTCTATGCAGTGCCGTTTCGCTCCCGGGTGGAAAGAAGTTTAGTTTTGACTTAGTCTGGACTGTAGTAGTAGACTGTAGTACCCAAACTGCAATTCTTATAGCAGTCAAAATAGAGAAAAACCAAAGATTTTATTTATATTTTGGACCGCAGTCCGGAAAGTAGTTAGGAATGCAGTTTGGATGCACTCTCCAAGAAGTTTCGTTTAGACTCCTCACTGGACTTCAAACGATGACTTAATTTTAAGTTTAACTTTCTTCTGTCTGCATTTCCGAAACGTAGTTTGGACGAGAAACTATACAGTAGTTCTCATTTTAGAATTTTATCGGTTTGGCTGCAGTTTTATCTCTACGTTCCAAGCTCAGTCGCAACTGTGCTCTTCTCTGCATTAGTTTTTGCACATACCCAGTATACTTGTAAGGTGCTTTTTCGATTATTGATTGAATTGCAAAAGTATTATTCTTAGGTTACAGTTTCGTATTGCGTACAAGATTTGCAGACTCAACGTTAGATGGGAACGTCAATTGACTGCAATAGTTCTTTGGGGGTTCTTACTGGGTTTCCTATTTTGTCTTGTTTACCCGTGGAAACGAAAACAACCCCGCAGTGAGACAGAAATTAGCTACGTTGTCATTTTTCACCAACCCCTTTTTCGAAAAATTTCTGCCGGTAAAGCACACGGTGGACGTCACTTAAAGGATGACAATGGCGAAGAAAAACGATGTGGACAAGGACCGAGTGCAAATAATCTATTGTAAAACTGCAATGAAACTACAGTTAAACTGCACCATCCGATCGGTGTGCCCCGAGAACAGGCCTTATCATGTGGTCCAGGTCGGATGCAGCAGTTCGCATGCCCGCTTGCCAGCGTAGTGGATAACACACCTGACTCGCAACCCAGAGGACCGACGATCGAGTACCGCCCAAGTCCGAGAACTTCAACATCGAAAAACAATTTCTCTACAGAATGAGAGGCAACGGGGTTCAAAAAAGCTTCCGAAAGTGGGAAAAAAATAAATTTTGAATTTTGCGATTGAAATTTGAACACTATACTCGCAACTACAGCTACCATTATAATAGTCGCATACACTTGCGACCCTACTTTTAATTAGGGTCGAAACTGCAACCGGAACTGCAGTGTTCGAAAATACTACCAGAATATCTGTATTCAAACTGCAGTCAAACTGTAGTTTCACTATAAAAACTACACTTTAAGTGTAGTTTACTGTAGTTTAACTGCACTGAAACTGCATTGATCCATCTGCAGTCTGACTACCATTGTTTTGCAAACAGTTTAAACTTAGAAAGAATAGATTTACTTTACTTTATCTCGAGACGTTCAATAGTTGTCCTGCAGTCTTAAACTGAATTAAGTTGCACTTTACAAGTACAGAAAAAATTACAGATCTTTCCACCCGGGCTTCGCGCCGCATGTCCAGTCAATGTGTCTTTGCCTTCGGCTGCTTTGTGCGGGTGGTGGTTTTTACATTGGGCTGGCCTTGGGAGGGACTCACTCCGCGATTCCGACCGCCCGTCGCTCAGTTCCGACAAGGCAGTCTTGGCGATCGCGCTGCTGTGCCTCGCTCGTTCCAACTTTCTGAGACTTGCTGTGTTGTTCGCAGGTGCAGTGAAGACAGAGGACCCAGATCGCTCTGCGCCGAACGGACGGGACCTCGAGGAGGACAGCGGCTCTGGAGGCGAAGGTGAGTGAAGCCTTGCTCCCAGTGAAAGGTTTTCGAACGTATCATTTCCTCGGTTTTGCTGGGTACAGTGCCAAAATCATTAGTAGCTTTATCGTCAGCAACAAACCTGATTGTCTATTAAGTACACACTTACAAATGCATACTTGGCAAGTACACACGTACAAACGCCTATGCTTAGCATGGTGTTATTCGGCGCCTAGCATGCGTTTGTGTTGTACTTGCAAGATTGCATTTGTAAGTGTGTGCTTGGTAGGCAGTTACGTTTGTAGAGTGGTTTCAAGCGTACTTGTTTCTTTAAACCGATTAGCGCAACCGCCTCATAGCCCTGGTTCACGCCACCCAAATGCAAGACAAAACTTATAGTCGCTTGAGAACATTTCAAACATAACGTACTGAAGCGTTACTTTAGGCGTGGCTAAAGCGTGCAGCTAACCAACCTGCCTAACGCTTATTCCTGTCGCGTTGGTTCCAGCGTCCGGTGCACCGGAGGACCTCCCCCTGCGCATCGCCGAGTCGTTCTCGCTGGCCACCCTGGTCGTCGACGAGGGGCCGGTGGGGGCGGCCCCGCGGAAGAACCCAGCCAGGAAGACGCGGCCTGCCTTCGAGGGCGGGGAGAGCTCCGGCAAGGCAGAGGGCCGCGAGCAGCGGCCGGGAAGTCTCGCCGGGAAGGGGCGCTACTCGTGCACGGAGTGCGGCCAGCGGTGTCGTACACCTTCACTCCTCAAGACCCACTCCAGGGTCCACACCGGGGAGAGGCCTTTCGAGTGTGGTGTGTGTGGGAAGAAGTTCTCTCTTAAGACTCACCTTACTAGGCACAGTCGGATCCACACCGGGGAGAGGCCGTACGAGTGTGGTGTGTGTTGGAGGAAGTTCTCTCTAAAGACTCATCTAAGCAGGCACAGTCTGATCCACACCGGAAAGAAGCCTTTCAAGTGCGACTTTTGTGGAAAAAAGTTCGCGGACCAAAGTCATTTTGCACGGCACAAACGGCTTCACACCGGAGTGAAGCCTTTCGAGTGTGACGACTGCGGGAGTAAGTTCGCCAGGAAGGACGAACTGCGAAGCCACATGACGCACAAGCACCTTGCGAAGAAACCGTAGTGCGAAACGCTGCGTCGGGAAGCTCCGTCCATGGCAACACGAACGCCCTTGACATTATATCGATTTTTTTTTATTTTGGCGTTTGTTACGCGAAAAATCTTTTTGTTGGTGGGGAAGAGAGTCCTATGGTGGAAGTTAATTTTGAATTGTGTACTCCTTTTTCGTTTGTATAAGCATTGGGGCTGAGTTGGTTGAGGATAAATACATCTATGTAAGATTGTGATTAAAGTTTACCACTGAATCCTACGCTTCAAGGTGATTCTTTTGGGAAAGAAGCACTCTTAATGTTCCATGAAGTTGATGCATGCACTGAAACAAATTCTAAATGTTGTGAGACCCTTGAAGTGGGGGCCAAAAGAGACAAATATCGTGGAACATCTTTAAAATATCATTTTTTGCGCCCCGTATCTGAAAGTCAAGAAAAACATCAAGTTCTTGCGCTGCAAATATGATTACATATCCGAATTTCTATCATTTCCAGCCCCTAAACAACAGCACTAGGACCTGCGTTGTTGTTGCTTTGAGGTCTAGAAACGATAGAGATCTGTTTTTGTTATTATCTTTTGAGAAGTTAATGCTTGCAACTGAATGTTTGCTTCACCAACTGTTTCGGAACGCACAAATATTCAGAAAGCGACGTGGGTCAAGAAGGTATCGGCTGTCGCGTGGTCGCGACTTGCGTGTTCATTTTCCTCCTTTGCCTGACTGAACCTCATTGGCTGTTCCAGGCCCAGCGACGTCTCGCCTCGCGGCCTCGTCTTCTTGCGGCTTGTGCTTGCATGGTTTGCTTGGTGCGCGTGGCGGATGTAGTTTGTTCCATGCAGTGCCGTTTCGCTTCGCGCCGCATGTCTAGCCAGTGTGTCTTTGCCTTCGGCTGCTTTGTGCGGGTGGTGGTTTTTACATTGGGCTGGCCTTGGGAGGGACTCACTCCGCGATTCCGACCGCCCGTCGCTCAGTTCCGACAAGGCAGTCTTGGCGATCGCGCTGCTGTGCCTCGCTCGTTCCAACTTTCTGAGACTTGCTGTGTTGTTCGCAGGTGCAGTGAAGACAGAGGACCCAGATCGCTCTGCGCCGAACGGACGGGACTCCGAGGAGGACAGCGGCTCTGGAGTCGGAGGTTTCCTTTCCTTTTGTAAGGGAAACGGTTCAGGTGAAGGTTGGGATCGAAATTTAAAAAAAATAATTCAGGGTTCACACCAGATTCCCTTTTTCGTTTTCCCTGACTTTTCCCTGATATCCAGCGTAAAAATTACCTATTTTCCCTGACTTTATTTTCAAAATTTATGTGCAGTTCTAGAGTCAATTGCATGCAGCTTCCACAAGTGCGGCGTTCAAAATCCATTCTTTGACGAACTTTTAAAATTTTCCCTGACCAAAATCTAATTCCCCTGACTTTCCCTGACTTCCAGTGCCCATTTTATTTTCCATGACTTTTCCATGACTTCCCTGATTTTCCTGACCGGTGTGAACCCTGTAATTAAAAATTGGTTTTCCCTTATCCACTAATTTTGTAAGGGGGGGGGGAGGGTGTCAATTGTAGCCGCCACAGGTCGGGTACATCGGTGGTTTATTTCGACCTTGTAGGTAAATGTATACAATAACACACGTCCGAGCTCGTAAAGAGTCGAAAGACCCTATCAGTCTCCTTGTAGCGGCATTGCCACTCTGACCTTATTGATTCGGAACCGTAGGTAAATCTCCAATTCATTTTAAGGATCCTCTACCTACCTCGAAAAGGCATCACTACGTTATCGTCAACGTGACAGTTATAACCCGTAATTTACAGTTTAGTTTTAAAACAATAAGTTTTTGTTTTAAGTTTTGTTTGTCGAATCTCTTTTGAAAGTACTTGAAACAGCCCATAACCTTGACCTTAAGCGAACGTTGTATCCTATCACATAGAGCAGTGTCACGTAAATAAAATGTTAAGTTGAGGGCCCCTGATTTATTTCTCAACCCAAACATGCCCCAGTGGTTGCAGGGAACTGGACTAACGCTTCCTGTCGCGTTGGTTCCAGCATCCGGTCCACCGGAGGACCTCCACCTGCGCATCGCCGAGTCGTTCTCCCTGGGCACCCTGGCCGTCGACGAGGGGCCGGTGGGGGCGGCCCCGCGGAAGAACCCAGCCAGGAAGACGCGGCCTGCCTTCGAGGGCGGGGAGAGCTCCGGCAAGGCAGAGGGCCGCGAGCAGCGGCCGGGAAGTCTCGCCGGGAAGGGGAGCTACTCGTGCACGGAGTGCGGCCAGCGGTGTCCCTCATCTTCCCACCTCAAGATCCACTCCAGGGTCCACACCGGGGAGAGGCCTTTCGAGTGTGGTGTGTGTGGGATGAAGTTCATTCAAAAGAGTAATCTTACCACGCACAGTCGGATCCACACCGGGGAGAGGCCCTACGAATGCGAACTTTGCGGAAAGAAGTTCAGACGAAAGGAAGAGCTAAAGCTGCACGTGAGGATCCACAGCGGAGAGAAGCCCTTCAAGTGTGGCTTGTGTGGAAAAGAGTTTGCAGATCAAGCAAATTTTTTAAGGCACGACCGGCTTCACACCGGAGTGAAGCCTTTCGAGTGTGACGACTGTGGGAGTAAGTTTGCCAGGAAGGACGAACTGCGAAGCCACATCACGCGCAAGCACCTCGCGAAGAAACCGTAGTGCGCAACGCTGCGTTGGGAAGCTCCGCCCACGGCAACACGCACGCCCTCGACTTTGCAACGCTTTTATCCTTTTCTTATTGTATCGTGTGAATCGCGAAAGATATTTTTGTTAGCTGGGACAAGAGTCCCATGTCTGCTAGAGAAGGATGTTAAATTTGTGTTATCACTTTTTGTTTGTAATGCTGAGTTGGCGCTAACGTTCAGAATAAATTTATGTGGATAAGATAGTCTTTAAATTATGACCACTGAATGTGACTAGGGTCTCCCTGCAATAAATCAAACAATTGAAGGCTCGGTTGCACCATCTACGTGAAATCATTTCTTCCTTTGTTTAGGGTTCAATTAGAAGGTTTGGGAGGGCCAATGATTTCTAGAAAATGGAAATTTTATGCCCTTTGATCAGGCCAAGCTGTTTTACCAACAACGGCCTAGTTTGCAGTATCTCGCACTGGTGAAACAAGGGCTCGACGGCGTGACGTCACTCTAAGTAGGGTTTGACGGCTGTTGTAAGATTAAGAAGTCCTGGAATTGCAATTGTGACAGCCAAAAATTTCCCGTGGTTGGGTATTTCAAGAAGTGGAGCCCAAAACTGTTGATCTAAATCTAAACCGTGCCTTTGAAACGTGATTGTTTGCACGACATCCCTCTCATTGAAGCGGCCGACCACGCTTAATGAAGTCCCGTAAGGAGACCACAGCCGAGGGGGTAAACACTCCGTTGAAGCTTGTACAGACTACTCCCTATTACGGGGTATTACACTTGTATTACGCCTCGATTTCATTGAAAAATGCCATTTTTTGATACTTTTGGTCCCAAAATGTATTACTATTACGCGTATTACGGCGTAATACCCGACTTTTGTGTACAGGGTATTACGCAAGTGTTTACCCCCTCGACCACAGCGCTAAACACCACTCATCAAGAGGCTGAAAATCCAATCTTCCGCTCCATCCTGCCCGGTTGGTCTCCCGCCTCTTGTGTCACCCTGCTGCCGATTCTGCTCCCAGTCCACGATGCTGCCGTGCTCGGCAACTCGATGAACCGCGGATGAACGACGTTATAAATATTCTGATAGAGCGGTAACTGACGGCTTCCACATTCCACGCCACTGTTATTTTATACTTTCGTTTACCAAAAAAGTAAGTTCAGCAAAAGAATCTCAATAATCATCCCTTACTTCCCCAGTTCAAGTTACTCGACCTAACGGTGGCGTTGGGAGCCCTGGGAAGTTTCCAAAATATTTCCGGCAATATATCCGAAAATAGTACTAGTATTTAATACCAGCAAATTGTAGCAGTCGAAGATTCTTTTTGGAGAGTACTAATCCCGAGGCTTCTCATAATGTAAGGAACGACGGGTGTGTGTATATAGCCTATTTCATTTCCTCGAACCACTCTAAAAAGAGTGCAGGATCTCGAGCACGAAACTCTAAAAAGACTGCAGGATCTCAAGCACAAAAGGTTCATTTCGGGTTCATTTCACCAGTTAGTTCAAGACAGTGGCTAGTAGCTCCTGGTCCATACCTACCTTCCTTCACTACTGAACTTCCGGTTTCAGTCCCCGCCAACCTGTCTGCGACATAAGCCTCCACAGTTCCGGCAAAGCTCCGACGTTTGCAGATCATCAGCCCGGAGGTACTGTCATGCATTACACACTAAGAACATTAACGAAGACAACCTTCGTCTTCACGACGCATTTACGTCGGAAGCTTACCGACGGACCAAGATCTGCACTATGGGCGGCTCCAGGCAGGCTCACGCCCAGACCCTTCTGCGCACACCCACACGACCACACTTACACTGCTTCATCTTGTCTATTAACTACGTTACCCCCCCCCCCTCTCTCTCCCGACCCCTAGAACGCGGCGTTCCTTTACAGCGACCCTCAAACCCCTACCACAGCATAAGGTTACGTTAACATTTCATTCTTATGCAATTTTTACCGTTCGCTCTGAGATGTGCTAGCGTAACGTTACGCTGACTAGAACCCCACGTCTCCCCATGTATCGCAGCGTTACGCAGATTGGACCACGCGCGCGCACTCACACACACACACTCACGGGCGTAACGTACTAAATCTAGGAAGCGAAAGAAGGTATTGAATTGTTTTCAAATCGAGTTTTAATTTAATTATTGTGCCTCAATGTGGTCTGCATCATTCCACCAAATTAAGTAAATCTATTTCTAACAGTTAATGAGAAAATCCTCTAGGCAAATAGGAACTGGCTCAACTTGCCCCTTCTACGATTTAAATTTCATTGAAAAGTGGAGATACATAACCCAATTAAAGTCTACACGACTCTGTTGCGCGAAGTGGCGAAAGGAGATAACTCATCTTTTATTTTTATGAACCTACACTGATATTAGAAAGGTGAGACTTTTGACCGAGGGGTTACCCACTCGGTACTTGGGCGTACACACGATTGCGTAATCCCCGAGATTCCTGAACATATCTTGCCTAAAAGGAGAGGTTTTTGAAGATTTTTCTTAGCTTTTGAGTGTTTTGTGTCTATTACATATCCCGCTCCATTGAAACTTTTAAGATTTTCGATAAAATTTTGAGCAAATAACGAACGATTCCCGAGGTGGGTAACCCCTCGCTTTTGACCCTTATAAGGGTCATACGTCACGTCTGACCCAAGAAGGGTCATACCAACGGGTGGAAAATAGCTAAAAAAGACAGGCCAAGGTTTTTCTGTACACCTCAGATCTCGGAACCCAGAGGTGGTAGGTAAAATCGAAAGTCATTTGGTATCATTGTAAACTTTGACTCGGCGTAGGGTATGTTAGAGTCGGGGTTAAGCAAATGGTCAGTTATTTTGCTATGAGGAAAAGATTGAAAGGGAGAAAAACGCTTTGAAACCATGTTGCATTGTTTTATTTTATGTACTCTGTGCTAGAAAGGACCTCGTCGGTAGATTCTCAGGAAATTTCATGTGCATGAGACTGCCACGCCACGAAGTCTTCAACACCGTATAATAACAGAAGACCGTTGCCGTGAAATTGAGAGAGGTTATGCTCGATTGTATTGCTTAAAACTACCTTACAGTCTGCCATTGACCGCATATTCCAAGGGTACAGACCCTCTTTCTTCATAACTCTGTAAGTGCAATGCTCACACAAGATCACGCTGAATTCATATCTGTGCTTGGGTTTTGAATTGGTCTTTCCGTAAAGGTGGGGACCCATGTATCACGGGGTCCCATGTATCACGGCGTATTTAATTTCAGTTTCGCCCGCGAGGCGAGTCACGTGGTGCGGAATCGAAACACCATCTAGAGAGCTTCATTTTATGGAAGGATGTGACCTTGCATCTCCAACAAACAAGGCGGCGCGACTAAGTAAAAATTTTGGTCCCCAAAACTTAGAGAAAGTAAAAAAGAAATTTCTTCACATATCTTTTATCAGCTTCCTGCTATGTAACATTGTCGCAATTTTTTGACGTGGGAGTGTGCGGAAGGGCTTTGACAACAATTAGCTGTGCCGAACAGCAACATCCGAGCATAGGTTCTGGCAGTACACCGCAATGTCCAATGCTCCGACAAGTGGGGACCGATGTATCACATTTTTTGGGGTCCCATGTATCACTCAAATTTCATGTTGGGGGGCAATTAATCACGGAAATTTTCCTGTTTTAATGCCTGTGCTGTAATCATTGCAATTTTATAATAGAGTGACAGGCGACAGGTGTTACAGTTTAGTTAAATTTTGCCATTAAACAAATACCACAAAAATAGAGTGATACATGGGTCCCCACCTGTGATAAATGGGTCCCCACTTGTGATACATGAATCTTCACCTTCTCTCTTTGACCTCAACTTACCTTAGGAATGGTCAAACTCGGTCAAACTTATAAACATATTGTAGAAATTAATGCTGCAAGGAAATGTTGCATAATTTGTCCTTTTTATAAAGTTAGTTTTGAAGAAAATAGCTGTGATACATGGGTCCCCATGGGTGATACATGGAACCCCAGGCATGGGGTCCGATGTATCAAATACATGAATTTAGTAGATTGCGCTCCTATCCAAGACCAGATGAGATACATGAACAAATTCAGTTGGCCCTTGTAGAAGGAAGATTATCTCATGCTTCTGACCCAAAACATTTAATTTATGCCCAAAACCAAAATTTTGACACTCAAAACAAAACAAGAAGGAAAGACATCAAAGAATTGATATCACATGGGAGGGACTCGTTCTTTACAAAGCTAGATTGATGTGTCAGTCGCTGATCGTTACATGAATTGTCCTCAGACGATTTGTAATTTTGCATTTCAACGAACGCTTCCGGTTGGTTCTCCTCTCAGGCAGGGAACATCGATGCATCGCGATATCTCGAGATATCGATTCTCGTGCATAATCGAATTTACACTAGAGTCCGTGAGTCCGTGCCAAAAAACCTGCTTTTTCCATGACCAAAACCCTCATAGGACACATTTCTTAAAAAAAGAAGTCAAATGAAACTTATTATTTCGTCTCTCATCTCCAACATAAGACATGAAACACCTGCCATGAAATTTTCATTAGGAAGAAACCGCTAGCAGTTCTGAGACATATATCACGATTAGCGTGAAACGATGTTTCTTTATGACCGAATTTCTCAAAATTATCCATTGTCACTTGGAAAATACCCTCCTAGTTTTTTGTTGGCCAAAGATCTCTGGTCGTTGTCGTTGTTGTTTGCGTTCCAGTGGCGTTCTATATCAAAAGTTGCAAACACTTGAAAAGAGGTTAGTTTCACAAAATGCACTAAAAACGTCTCTCTTTCATGTTCATTTTCTCAGTATTTCTCATTGCAAGCAAAAAAAAAGTTCATTTACGATCTAGCGACTGACACTCCATCTTTCATTTGATACCACTCTCATTTTCCCACATGCTGTCAGATCTGAGATGAAAGATGTCCCCCCAAAACTCATTTTTGAACACAATACTCGTTCTCTTCACATAGAGTTTTGTATGTTAGTGAGTGGTGTGTAAAGAACGAGTAAAAAAGTGATACATGGGTCCCCACCTTCCCTTAAGTACTCTCATCCCAGGTACGTGACATCACGTTGAAACGAAAGTGAACAAAACGTTACGCTCGTTTGAGCATTGTGTCACAATCGTTACAATGTCAATCGGCAATCCGCAAAAAATTAGCTTGTTCACATTCAAACGAATGTGACACAATGCTCAAACGAACGTGAAATTTTATCACGTTCGTTTCAACGTGATGTCACGTACTTGGAATGAGAGTGAGCAAGCCAAATTAGCAAATCCTGGGATAAAGCGTAAATTTCGATCGTGGTTCCATGCGTTTTTCACCTGCCTTTTATTACTTTCTCATGACAAAATGACCGACCATTTCCTTATCCCCCGGAGCAAAACTACGCCGAGTGGGGGCCGAGTGAAATTTTGGGAGGATTCCAAACATACACTCGGATTTAACCTACCACTTTTGAGTTCTGAGATCTAAGTTGCACAAAAAACCTTTGCATGACGTTTCTGACAACAGAATTTCCACCCGCTGGTCATACTTCGATGTATGACAGAGAGATGGTCATACTTTTTTTGTATCACTGATGAGGGCAAGTCTCGCTGATGTCTGACCTTTATTTCGGTGATACGTTTGGGTGTGACCCTTTTTTGGCCATATGTGTATGGCCTTTTTGTATCGCCGAAAATTGCTCAAATGTCTCACCCTTTTGAATTCCAGTATTATATCAAAAGAGTCAAGTCAACTTACCTCCACCTTTATTATGCAATTCTTTTGAAAAAAGAAAAGAAAAAGAGGCATCTCAAAAATTACCGAATTTCAGCTTCACTGGAATTGTCTTTAAATTTCACCTTGTTTGGAAGAACTAATCGAACATGTTTCCGTTGTCCTTTCTAATGCCAAGATATAAATCACAGAAACCGTCTTCGGAGTGATGCAACATTTAAAAAAAATCACTGTTATTTAGTTGGCTTCATTACCTACAAGGTAGGCTTACGCCAGACCGCGTCTTGTCGTAACAGGCTTCGCGATGTCTCGCTGCCCGTTCCTCCAATCCGCGCCTGGCGTACCTACCTTGGCCTGCGGCGCTAGCCTGCCTTCGGCAGGCAATGCTTGTCCACCGTCGGTTACTTCCAATTTGTTGCATGGTGGGGGGCGCTCCGCCCTCCAGACCCCCCTTCATTCTGTATAGAGTTGCTTCATCTAGAAATTACACGACCTTGACCCTTGTAACATTATAACTTGTCGAGGCTGGGGGACTCGGCGCCCCAGACCCCCCTTCCATCAAGACAGGGGAGATCTGCCTGCAAAAATCTCGATTTTTCGCCATTTTTTAGTTGTTTTTCGGCTATAAAAACTGAACCAGTGGAGAAAGGATAGTGATATTTCGCGTGTGCCGAGCCAAGAACCCACCTAATGAGCCTGCAAAGTCTCAGCCAGATCGGCCGAGCCGTTTAGGAGGAGTAGTGCACACACACACTCCGACAGACGGACAGACAGACAGACAAAACTTTTCAACCGCACTGGAGTAACAGGCTTTGCTATCGCTCAGCCAATGAGTTGTTGACAACTATTCTTTTGCATCATTCCTTTGCTAAGGTTTAGTTTTCCCTACAGAGTTCTTTTTTTTCTCCTGATCGAAAAATGATGTTAATGGAGCTGCCCCATTCTGCCGCTTCATGGATACTGCGAGAAAAAAAGTACAGAAAAAGTACGGAATGGTCTGGACGAATTGGTCTATAATTTGCCTGGACCCAGGGGAAATAACTTAGAATTTCAGTATTTTTTTTAGTTCCGCAAGAATTTTGCATGAATTTCAATGAATTGCAGATAAATTTCACTGTATTTCGTTCCAAACTTAACTGATTTTTTAAAAAGAATTTCTATAAATCTCAACTAAATTTTAAGGACTTTGAAGAAATTTGACTAAAATTCAAGATAGTCCATGAATTTCGGTTTCTTTTTTTTAAATTGTTTCTCCTTGGCCTGGACCGTCCGTACCTGGTACCGTAGAACGGAGTAATATGAGACATGAAGGAAAATCGAGACAAAGCGCACTTTTTTCGGTTTTTGTTGTGTTGCTGTCTAGTGGTTAAGTCCACCGTGAATTTTTTTTCGTGATCTAGGAGGCCTTGGCAACTCACGGGAAACGCACGTAAGCTATCAGAGACTCGCCATAGGGTTATTTAGAATCAAAGGAAAAACCTCTAAATTCTAACAAGTTTTATAAAGTTGGTAAAAACCTCCCCGGAAACCACGGTTAGAACTCGGGTTCTCGTCTGAACGAGGTTTAAATCTGTAAGCAATTATGTCCAGGGATCCTTAACTTAACTCAACATTTAGCTAACACTGATGTCATAACGCAACATAAGACAATGTTCGCTATAGGTTAAGGGTACGGACTTATGAAAGTACTTGCAAAAGTATATCCACACAAATTCGAGACATAAAAAAATAACTTACCCTTTTAAAAAGATGTTAGAAGTTAAGGGTAATAACTTTAACTCTTATGATAACGTTATGATGCCCTTATGAGGTAAGTTAAGGATCCCTGATTATGTCAACATAATCAGGACAAAATTTGGTTCCGTTATGTCTACTCCCGGGCTGCCTGTTCCAGATGGAATACAATTTTGTTACCTTGCAGGGAATAAAAAACACCTCTTTTCGCTTGAAACATGAGGCCAAACATACTCCACTGTTAATAATTTTAAGTAACAATGATAACACGAATTTGTTTTACTATCTGATCGGCATCTATGCTCTTCGTTTAGTATTTTCATGTGACACACACTTAATGTCATGGGACTTTTTTTGTCCCACGGTTTATGCAATTTTAAGCACATCCGACGCTGATACAATTTTGTTCCGGTCTGGTAACACATTTTGTCCGGCGCCAGCTGCAGGGATCCTTAACTTACCTCATAAGGGCATCATAACGTTATCATAAGAGTTAAAGTTATTACCCTTAACTTCTAACATCTTTTTAAAAGGGTAAGTTATTTTTTTATGTCTCGAATTTGTGTGGATATACTTTTGCAAGTACTTTCATAAGTCCGTACCCTTAACCTATAGCGAACATTGTCTTATGTTGCGTTATGACAGCAGTGTTAGCTAAATGTTGAGTTAAGTTAAGGATCCCTGGCCAGCTGCAACCTGTACTTTCACTAGACAATTTGTCCCGCCTGGCGGACACAAAATTGCATCACCACCGGATGTGCTTAAAATTGCATAAACCGTGGGACAAAAAAAGTCCCATGACATTTAGTGTGCAGGCACAACTCATGCCTTTTTATACATTTTTCAGCTCTCTTTAGTGACACCTATTTTTCTCTCCTCCAGATTTTATATCGTCTCCATTATAGTTTCCAATCATCTTTAAAATGAGTGAAAAGAACTTTGAAAGCTCCAAACCCGCCTAAATGAGTTATTTCTCCATTCTTCTTTAACATCACTGTTAAAAAAAATCTGAAAATTCAGACCACTTTTGTCAGACTTGGTGGTCTGAATCTATTTTTCAGACTAGTTTCAGACTGCTTGTCTGAAAATTTTGCCTTCCGGTATGAAAATTGCGACCTGATCGTCTCAGAACCTGAATTCAGACCAGCGCAGTCTGAAAATTTAGATGGTTAAGTCTGAAAATTCAGACCAACCCAAGATTTCGTTTGTCCGCTAGATGGCGCGCATGTTGTGGAACATACCTACTTCTGTTTAAAAGGCTTCTAATGTGAAAATATATTAGTTGAAAAGTTCCAAATTGACAGGACTTAATCGGCCATATGAGAACCATTCTCTGCTGCAAGATTTATCTCCGTAATATGGGTGGAAGTTGAACAATCCACATTCTAATTTACCTCTCGCGGGTGGCTCCGTGTCGCCATTTCCTTGGGTGCCACAGGCCGGCCTCTCGAGAGTCAGGGAAAAGGACAGAGGTCCTTCTCCCTCATCACAATTTTTACTCAACGTTGTCCTCTCGGGAGGTTCACACACACCTGAGATTCTTCCTATGTCATATTGAACATGTCACGAACCTCAAAGTTCACAATCTTCGTACAGGACTGAATTTTCAGACCACCAAACTCTTAAATGTAAGACTCTCGAGTTCTGAGTTTTCAGACCATCTAAATGGTCTGAATTTTCAGACCTCAAGTCTGTTAATAACTTCTTACCAATTTGGTCTGAATTTTCAGACTTTTTTTTTAACAGTGATTTCTTTCTTTTGTCTCATATTACCCCACATTGCAGGGAAATATGGGACGGCATTCCGAGGGTTATTGAAAGGTCCCTACTGCACCTAAAAATCTGAAATTTGGTGGGAGTGTAGCCAAAGGGTCAATGAACAAGTGATAAACACCTCAGTACGTCAAATTGAAATTAAAAGGGGAAAATTCACAAAAAAAAAAACTCGAAATTTGTCTCATATTACCCCGTTCTACGGTAACATGAGTTCTTATGGGACGAGTACGGACGTTGCGTACTTTCTTTCCAACCTCCCTCACTTTATCCATCTGTTTATTTTCTGTACAGAAGTACTGATCTTTTTGACACTGGATCAACTATAGGACGTTCCCTTAATAAGCATAGCGGGAAGCGAAGAGGTCATGTGAAAATTTCAAAGGGTGTGTGTCACTGTCTAAAGGGTCCCCCGTATCATCGCCAAGTTTCGGAACAGTAGTTCTACTCGCCTCTTATAATACCTGTCTCGTCGGTGCAGGTACTCAAAGGATCACCTCTTGGGCTGTTCGTACCAGATCATTATTCTCTGACTCATTTCAGGAACGTGACATCACGTTGAAACGAACGTGACAACATGTCACGTTCGTTTGAGCATTGTGTCACGTTCGTTTGAATGTGAACAAGCTGTTTTTTGGCCAATTCATCAAACTTGTGAAATTCATCGAAATTTGACTGAAATTCATAGAATTTTGATTGAAATTCATCGATGTTCGACTGAAATTCATTGGATGTGTACACCGAAATTCACAGTCATTTCCCCTTGATTACAGATCCAGCCGACGAAGGGGCGAACATGGAGGAACCGACCCACCACCAACCCAGCGCATTCAAGTGCGGGGAGTGTGGGCGCTCCTTTGGCGACGAAGCGGACTTGCGGACCCATCTGATGGAACACCTTGAAGCTCCACCGCAGTCCAGCGAGGTTTCTGCTGCTGCGAATCCTAAGCGCACGGGAAAACCCACAAGCATGAAGAAGCCCTTTCAATGTGACGAGTGTGGAAGGAAGTTCTCTCAGAAGGCCAACCTCGGCGTGCATATGAGGACCCATACTGGGGAAAAGCCTTATGAATGTAACATTTGTGATAAAAAGTTCGCGCAGCTGTCCAATTTAAAACAACACAAGAAGGTCCACACCGGGGAGAAGCCTTTTAAGTGTGACACGTGTGGTAAAAAGTTTACGCAGCTGTCTAACCTGAACCAACATGAGAGGATGCATACCGGGGAGAAGCCTTTCAAGTGTGACGAGTGTGGTAAAAAGTTCACGCAGCTGTCTAACCTGAATCAACACGAGATGATGCACACCGGGCAGAAGCCTTTCAAGAGTGACATGTGTGGGAGAAGGTTCGCACAGCTGTCAAATCTGATTCAACACGAGAGGATTCACACCGGGGAGAAGCCTTTTAAATGCACTACGTGCGGTAAAAAGTTCTCACAGGTGTCCAATCTAAAACAACACGAGAAGGTCCACACCGGGGAGAAGGCTTGAGTGATGTTTGTGTGACAGGAGTTGCCGAACACGGGAAGCTCTTACTTGAGTCCCTGCACTAAAGATTTCCTATCATTTTAAACTTTATCGAAGTGCCTAATGAGAGTTTGTTTAAATTTAGTTTTAATTCTCTGTCTAATTGCTTGAAATACATGTCTGTCCAAATAATTTGTTTCTCATCATTTTAAACTTACCCAAATGCCTTCTCAATGAACCATGGACCATGAACCATCAGGATAGAGCGAGAGCGGCACTGGAAATTTTGAATCCCGGACCTGTTCGGGCCTTAAGTGATTGTCTTGGTAATTCAAGAGCGTGACAGATTAGGTTGATCAACATTCAAATAATGTCTTGTGCGATACCAAGGGAATGGTTGCCGATTTCTGACGAGCTTAAAGGGAATAAGGAAACGCAATTCATAGTTTTTGAACATTTTTCTGAAAACGAGACCTTTTTCAACTAATTTGCAGCGAGCGAAGATTTCCTTTTGCCCCTCTACCTATGAATGACAATAGTCGGGAAGTCACGTTAGAAAGCACCGCACGGAAGGAAATTGCGATTAACGCTGGCCTCTTTTTCTCACGTTCACTCTCATTCCAGGAACGTGACATCACGTTGAAACGAACGTGACAGCATGTCACGTTCGTTTGAGCATTGTGTCACATTCGTTTGAGTGTGAATTGGCCAAAAACCAGCTTGTTCACATTCAAACGAACGTGACACAATGCTCAAACGAACGTGACATTTTGTCACGTTCGTTTCAACGTGATGTCACGTTCCTGAAATGAGAGTGTTCGTCCAAAACTTTGATACTTGACCCAGAGGTCAGAACAAAGGACCAGCTAAAATAGATTTTTAAGCTTAAGGTATTCAGCTAACGCACCGGCAGCATCTGAAAGTTTTTGACGAATGCTAAGACCGCCTGTTTCCCTCGAGGTTTCACTACATGCTTATCTACGTGGCTTTCTGCTATTCTGAACCTAGTCACAGAGTTGCAGGAGGTCCAGTTGAAGCTGATTATCAACTGAGAGCGCACCGGTACCGGTACAGACCAGAAGACAGATTAAGACAAAACTGAACGCTTTTGGAGTTCCAGAGTCGAGTCGCTTATCAGGATTCGAACCGAACGTGTGACCCCACCAAAGGATTCCGCGTTGGGAGGGCAATCCATTGGTGGGGTCACACGCTCTGTTTGAGTCCCGTTTAGCGACTCTGGAGCTAAAAACGCGTCTGGAAGAAAGGCCGCCTCCACCGGTTATCTGGCCCACTGTGCGGTGGCGTCCGGAAGCCGCGCGCCACTGACCTGAGCCTGGGATGCCGGGAGTTCCGCTTGCAGACCACGGTGCGGGCTAGGCCGGGCTAGCCGTCGCCGTGCCAAGGTCACCCGGTGTATTGTACACGTTCCATAAGTCATCGCGCGAAATTGCTCGGTGCGCGGGCCAGCGCGTCCGCGTAGAGCACTGCAGGCCCACTGATTCCGACTGGTGGGCCCGTCCCTGTCTCTCTCGCACCCCTGCGAGTGCGAGAGAGAGAGAGAGAGAGCTCGGACGGCCGCTCCAGGCACTCCAGGCGTCGAGGCAGCGGCTAGTCGTTAGCGCGTCGCGGACGAGGCATGGTCGCGGTCCGGAGCCCCCCGCGGGCACTGCTGGCACTCCTGCTGCTGCCGTTCGCGCTCAGTGGCGCTCGCAGAGGTATTGTCTCCACTGCGCGCGGATATGACGTCTAGTTGAAATGTGGATTTTGTCACGTTCGTCTGAACGTGACAGGACCCGTTCGTGTGAACGTGGACCAACATTCAAACGAATGTGACATCATCAACAGATTGATTCGAATGTGTCCTGATTCGATTCGATCGTGTTTCGACGCTTCCCGCACACCACCCTTATGTGCGTTTGTCTGCCAGGCAAGTCCGGCCAGCCCACGAGTTGTTTCCACGTGGAGCAGATGAGGCCCGGTAGGTGCGAGCTGCTCAGCAGGTGTCCCTTCGGCATCCAGGAGCTGCGGCAGGGGGCCCGGCCGCAGCTGTGCGGATTTCCCCGAAGCGAGCAACCAGGTAATACCAATTGATTCTTCAAACAAACCGTTCAGGCCACTCGCTTACGCACGCACTTTTGTCTCCCGGGGCTCGTTCTCCTCGGAGTCATCGAGCCGACCCGACTCACACCGATCGTACGAGGGGTGCACTCCTCACACTGATAAAAAAAAGTTTCTTAAAATTACGAATTACTCGGACAGAAATTTCGTAAATCGTAATTTTACAAAGAATTTGACGATGAGTTTTTCGCGAGGGGTCGGCAACTTCCCTTGGCCGTGTACGAGGGAGTATACGTATATTACTAGAAATATAGGTAATATATGTGTAATATAAAGTAATACAAAGTAATGTATAGTAATATAGGGGTATTATAGAGGCGAAATTGTGGTAATATGCAAGTAATATATGGTAATATACAGGTAATATACGGGTAATATAACCACCGCGTACGAAGTAATATATGAGTTGCCGACCCCTCGGTTTTTCGTGAAAGTTTTTCGTGTGTGTCTTACCGGCACACTGAAGTTATTCAGCTAAATCAACCAACTCTGCTTATGAGGTCATTCATTGGATTTATGTGATGCGAAAGGAACGCTCTCAAATTTTATTATATTCAAGTTGGCCATTGAACCTTTTGACGGTGCTCTTGCTCGGACTAACCAGGTGTTGCGCGCACAGCACCCACCCCCATTGTGTGCTGCCCCAGCGAATCCAAAGCGCGGCAAGAGGACGGCGGCGACAAGGTCATGCCACCCGAAACCTGTGAAAACTTCCTGGCCACATCTAGAAGCACTCGTTACGAGACTGTGTCTGAGAGAAGTAAGTGTCTCTTTTCGCTATGTTAGCAAATAGTCTTGAGAATCCAACGGTCGGTTGGATCGTTAAACCTTTCAGACTATTTTGGACGTTACAAAGAAAAGTAACTGCTTGTGATACAGATTTCTTTGTAAGACATACAGAGTGAACGAATTTGATATCCTAACGGCCGTGTCACGCTCCCAAGAGTGTCATGGCATTTAAACGAACGTGACAAAATTTCCTTCCTAACGAATATTTGCGTCATATTCGTTGGCACTCTGAACTGAAAACCTTACAAACTATTTCAGGCCTTACGAAGGAAAGTAATTTGTTATAACGAAGTATTTTCAGCATACATACGCTTTACAAAGAAAATACTTCGTAATTTACGAACTATTTCTTCGTATAACAATCTAATATAGTTTGTACACATCTGGTTCAAATACTTCGTAAGGTTTTAAGCGCGTTGTGGCAAGCCGTTTTGAATGCCAAAATTTGACAAGCTATGGTTGGAAATCTTCACAAGCTTGCCAAATTTTGGCAAGTTGGGTGGTAGTTCCAGGTTAAGCTTGCCAATTTTTTGGCATTCAAAATGGCTTCCCAAATTTGTGGCAAGCAAACTTACCACCGCACTCTCAGCCGTTTACTGACTCTTTCTCATTAGCAGACGCATTTCTGTAAGCAACCATAATACTCAGTATTTTTTGTCAGTATTACTTAGCAATTACTAATTACTGTACTGATATAACCGTTTTCTTAGTAAATTATAAAGAACTTTTTAAGCATTTAAGAACTAAATACTAAGTATTATGGTTGCTTACAGAAATACGTCTGCTAATGAGAAATAGTCCGATGGGTCCTATGAACAAAGACCGATGTCCTTTGGGTCGCTCGAACAAAGTCCGATCTCCATTTCCTAACCTCTCAACGCGTTCATTTTGAAGTCCCAGAACAATCTCTACGTTTTGATTCCGCACAAATGAGTTTTAGATACTCATTCCCTAATATGTTTGGAACAAAACCTGCAAACTATTGTTTGAGTTGGATGCCTGTTGCGAGAACCACAAGATAAAGAAGCGGCGAATGCAGAAACGGCCGAAATGGAGATCGGTCTTTGTTCGAGCGACCCGAAGGAGATCGGTCTTTGTTCGAGCGACCCAAAAGACATCGGTCTTTGTTCATAGGACCCATCGAGTCAGTAAACGGCTGAGAGTGCGGCTTTGCAGTGTACTCCGTAACGGTGGTCCTTTGCCCCACTGCAGAGTGCACGGAGTACGCCCGCGCGGCCTGCCTCATGTCGGCGCCCTTGGTGACGGCGTCGGCGCCGTCCGACGGCGAGCCGGCCGGCCGCATGGAGTTCCCCCACATGGCGCTGCTGGGCTACGGCGAGGACCCCGACGCGCTGGCCTGGCAGTGCGGCGGCTCGCTCATCTCGCCGGACTGGGTGCTCACGGCCGCGCACTGTCTGGGCAATGCCAGGTGAGGTCAAGCAAGTGCAGATCCAGCAGGACAGAAATATACTTACTGTTCTTCACACGTAAATAGCCGCGTGAAAGGTTGGCAAAAAAAAAAGCCTAAAACGGCCAACACACTGAATGTTTAGGTAGAATTTTGTACGTGAAACTTGCACGATTTTGTACATACGTGAAATTTGCACAATATCATGCTTCAAGATGCGTAAATTTGTGCAAATTGACGCACAAATTTTGTGCATGACGGTTCATGACGGTTTATGAAAAGTCATACTCTTTTCGATATTTTATTTCAGAACTTTTTCTGAGAGTAATGCTAGAACACGATGTCAGGACCTAACTAAACCTAACTGTGTACTTGCCGGTATGCACTTGTAAGGGTGAACTAACTTTCAAGTGTAGTGTGACTTCAGTCTCGCCGCTCCAACCAAGGTGAAATAACTCCAAAGAATTTGTCCACTGAAATTAAAGGACAGTCTTCAATCTTTCTTTTCACATTTCTTCGAGGTCTCTCAAACTGAGTCAAAAGTTTAAGAAATTCTTCAGAATCAGTTAACTTTACACCGAAATTTGGCTGGATTAATTGAAATTCATCCAAAATTCATGCGGAATGCAAGAATTGATCCAGGAAGCGGAAGAAGGGGATAACTCAATTTTGGCCATTTTCCAGGAGAAACCAAAAACTGTTGGGAGGGAAAACTAAAACGAAACAAATGAATGTTGCACATGTTAATAATTTCAAAAAGCCTTAGTAAAATTTTGGAAAAAAAATCAAAAGTGTAAGGTCACTCCGTAGAGGATTTCTGCGACTTATCGCTTTCCGTTGAAATGGAAAACAGAGTCAGCTCACCTTATATTTCCTAAACAAAGAGGAATTTGGAGACAAGTCAAGTGGAACAATAGTCTGCATAAAGTGTATGTTACTCTGGTGTATTTTTTGGACTTAGCTCTTTTTTCCAAATTGAAATTTAAAATTAAGGGGGGGCTAAGTTGAGTTGATTCTTTTTACACAAGATTCATAAAAATACAAGTTGAGTTATATCCTTTTGCCAATTTGTCAAACGGACTCATGTGGACTTCCGTTGAGTTATCTCCATTTTCCAATGAAATTTAGACCGTAAAAGGGGTTAAGTTGAGTTATACCCTTTTTCCATGTGGATTTTCTCCTAAACTGTTTGGAATTCAGTCAAATAATTTGGTGTAATGATG